ATAACTGCCTCCATGCATTTACTTCAGTTGGATAAAGGAACGTTGGAACTTCGCTATTCTTTACTTGGAGAACTCTGATCATTTCATCATTGACATATTTTGATAGTATAATAAAACCAAGGGATAAGAAGAAAAGATTGCCCATCGAAGGTCATTGAGCTGAATGCTTAACAGATTTAATAATAATTGGGATTTCAGATAGGTATGAGGATCTTCATGTCCGAAAGAATTCAATTAGGTTCTGTGACCCTTTTCGGGCATCATTTCTTCATCTTCACATGTGCTGTGTTTCAGGACTTTTTATACCCCCACACCACATAGTGGTAAGGGTATTATGTCTTTGTGCTGATAGACCCATAGTTACTTTTGAGGATCTTCAAAGAATCACTTTCTGAGTCGATTCATGCATTTCGGTCCGTCTGTCCATGTATTCTTGTGAACATTTATTATCGGATTGAGCTGAAATTTTCCAAACAATATTTCTTGGGCCCAAGGACGAACCCTGGTGATAATCGAACCGATTTCGGGTTTATTGTCCACCAAATGGCCAATATAGGTCCAAATGACCTGAATTTTGGTACATCCCACCGAATTCATTCTAGAAAGCAGTACTTCAAATTTGGTGTAAATCGGTTCAGATATAGCTATAGCTCCCATATATATGTTTTATCCGATTTGGGGTTTGAAGTCCTTCAAAAGCGTGATATGCATTCCACAACAATGATCTTGGGTACCAGATATAAGATACAGCTTTGAAATAAGTGTATCAAATTTTGTCACGATCGGTTTAGATTTGGATATAGCTTCCACATATATCTTCAACCGATTTCGGGTTAATTGTGCACCAAGTGGCCAATATCAGTCAAATGATCTGAATTTTGGAATATCCGACCAAAATCAGTCTAGAAGCAAGTACATAAAATTTGGTGGAAATCGGTTTAGATATAACTATAGCTCCCATATATATGTTTCATCCGATTTGGCGTTTAAGTCCCTCACATTCGTAATATGCATTCGACAACAATGATATTTGGTATCAGATATCTTATAGAGCTCGGAAATACCTTTGCAAAATTTTATGGAGAACGGCTAAGATTTGGATTTGGCTCCCATATATATCCTTAATCCGATTTATGGTTTATTGTGCAAATAATGGCTAATATCAGCCGAAATGGAGTGAATTACGGGACGTAAGTTTCCATTTTGTGGAACTCGGCTCAGACATATATTTTTTAATATATATATGTTATTTGACACAAAAGATAAAAATATCTCCGTCAAATTTAGTGAAAATCGGTTCCATCTGAAACCAAACTATAACTGCTCTAAAGTCAAATGTTGATAGGTGGTATGATTTACTTCAAATTAATTCTTTTGTTACGGGAGCTCTACAAAATATGCATAGTGGTGGTGTAGGGTATCATATAGTCGGCCCCGCCTGACTTTGGACTTTTCCTTACGGGTTTTATTGTTAGAATTTGTATAAAAGGGAAATTGAAACGCTTCCTGAGAGAAAAATACTGAAAGTTATTTAATATAGCTCAAACAATGCTACTACTTTTTAATCGGCACAATTTTCCGTAGCATTATTTGCCCCAGTCGTATACTAGAAACTGCTTCATCGGTACTTAGAGTAACACTCATATATTTCATAATTTTTTTATAATATTTTTATTCTTACCAACAAAACTCAATAATTTCTATTGATTTCGAAACCACTATATGAAGATTTGTTTACATTCAATTCAACACCGGACTATATATTCATACAACACCACCCAATAGCCACAGACATGCACAACAACAAACCAAAGATGTAAGTCGGCAAAAAGTTCGTGCGTGCGTGCTTCTATGCTGAAATCAAGACGCAAGATATCGGTCAACGAAAAACAATCAACAACAAGAACAAAATACGCTAACTCTGCGGGCACAAGAATTAAACCATAAATATTTAAAATGAAAATAAACATATTTTTTGTAGATCCTCCCAAAATCATGATGCTTACATGTATGTCTGTCTGTCTGCCTGCCTGCCTGCGTGTCCCCCCAATATAGTACCAAATCTGCTGTTCTTTATTTCTATTTAAGAAACAGAAAAAAAATGAAAACTAAAAATACTTAATGCCCTGATTAGAATTTGTATATGTGTGTGAGCGCGCTTCTTAGATTTGTACGGCTCGGAGACAAAATGTAAAATGTGCGTATGATTTCGTATTCGAATGCATGGAATAGACTATACCTCAACCAATTCAGAGAGGAGGCATTCATTTATAGATTTAACAAGAGATATCCGTGCTTTTCTTCTTTTTCGAATTTGGTTCACTGTGACAAACAAACAACTGCAACAAATCTATACATTTTTATGTCTGCCTAGTTCTGTGTGTTCTTTCGTTTGCTCTTTTTAAATGTTAATGACTAGGAAATATTGTGAATAGGCTTAGTTAAGTCAAGAAAGATATGGGTGTTTCCACATAGAATAAAAGCTATTTTAGTATTTAAGATTAAAAAGATTTGAATAGGAAGAAATTCTAGATAAATTAAATTCATTGCAAAGATCTCAGTACTTCTGCGTTCACTGAAAGAGAGTGCTACCTAAAGTCAAGACATCATTCCTTCCGGCAAGTCTTAAGGTGGGGTACATAAGAAACTAGGCATATTAATGTCAAATTATAAAGCGAAACGACGGCTCTGGCATCCCTTTATGATATGTCACAAAATATGCCATGAGAAGATTTCAAGCTGTTTATGTACTCCCACCTTTATCATCGACTCCATTTCACAGCCATTGATGAAGAAGATAGTCTAGTAATCGGAAGCACAACAACCGAGATCCAGGAATATTTGTCCATCTCAGACAATCCATCTTTCCTCCACAGACTTTACTTGAAGTTTTGATTGGAATAGTGAGGAGGTGATGAGAAAACTATATAATCCCAAGCCTATACCGATATCGAATGGCCATATAGGCAACAAAAATGTTGCACTATATACTCTGGAGAGTCAGTATTTCAAAGAACTCAAACATTTGAGAAATTCAATTGCATTTATTTATTCTTCACTTTGAAATTAGGTATAAACTCCTGTATAAATAAGTAATGGCGCTAATATCTAGCTGGCCGAGACAAAATTGTAGCAAATTCTAAGTTCGTTGATGTTGCTGTACCAGTTTCACATATAGAGTGAAGTGGGGATTATGTCCGGGCGACGTGAAAAACGTCTGCCTGGCGTTTGCTATAGGACCGCACAATGCTCTCCAACTCTTTAACTGACTCTGATCTTTGGTTACAGACTGCGAAAGTAGCCGAATTATCGAACCTGCTTCCACAACGGACATAATCCCCAAGGGGGGGAGTATGACCGTTTGCTGTGGAGACTACTTATAAAAATATTAAATGTATCAAACTTGGGTTCGTGTTAGCTGGTGCGGGACATAACCAGTGGAGAAAATCTCAAGCCCCGGCCGAAGGCAGGGGTTCGCATTAGCCGCTGCTGGACATACTCTCAGGAGAAAATCTTAAAGCCGGCCGAAGTCGTCTATTTACAAAAAGTTTAAAAATTAGAAATCTTTGGTTTGCGATATCCAGTGCCGGATACTCTCAGAGTAGCAAAAAAGTTTAAAATTCGCAAAAAGTTTCAAATTTAGAAAAACTAGGTTCACGTTAGCCGCTGCCGGACATACCCAGAAAAGAAAATCTTAAATCGGGGCCGAAGGCTAGCTACTTACAAAAAATTTAAAATTTAGAGAACTTTGATTCGCCACAGCCGGTGCCGGACATACCCAGAGGAGAAAACCTAAATTTTTTCGCACAGCCGTTTATGTTTGTATTCGTTTTGAACATACCCATTATGATGGGGATTATGACCGATTTTTTCTTGGAAAAAATCCCCATTCCTTTATTGGAGTTATGACCGAAAATGAAACGGTCATAACCGCCATAATTGAAATGGAGATTAGCACCGTTTCGCACATCTTCGTCAATTTGTGCCCAATACATTTAGGACAACATCCTGACAATTAAGACACCATCCTGTACGTAATTTCATAAAAAAAATGCCCTAATTTATCTAGGCCGCCGACGGGAGTGGACACCGAGGACGGCATTCATATTGTCATTGTTGATGGCATGTGTGCCTGATATGCTTATTGATCTAGAGGCTCTCTCTTATAGCGTTGGACCTCCCTATCTAGATCATGTATTTCCTTCCTGTTACGCCTCGGCGGAAGAGTTTTATCCACCATATGATGGTTTGGATGACTTCCACGATAACAGCCAAGCAGGTACTGCAACGAAAACTTATTGTACGGCAAGGAACTTCGCTACCTCATGTGGATGGTCCCTATCGCAGTTTTCAGGACAGCATTCTGATAGGTTTGGATGTTCTTCCACGGCGTAACACTTGTATTCCCATATTCGCACACTGGGGCTGCATAGTTGACCATAGCGTTATAAGAAGTCAACAAGGTCTCAAGTGCATCAGAGCTCTAGTAAGAAAAGATTACATTCAAAATATCCAAGAACTGCCGACTTTTCATATGTTTTGGAAGGGCATCTCGCAGTAGGGATTGAACGATTTTGATGAACTATTCGGACATACTTATCTTTACTTATGTATAATAGAAATATTTTTCGGATTCGCGCATAAGTTATTTTGGTTTTTTATTTAATTTTTGTTTTGGATTAATATGCGGAATGACCCATATTGTAACACAAATTTTCTTTCATTCTAAATAGGCATAATAATGAAGTGTCGATGCTGTGAATGAAATCATTTGTTTGAATACGGCAGCAGTGGCGGGCGGAAGCAACAGCAACATCTACATTATTCCTATTGGAAGAATTTTTGACGTCCATTCGTTGATTACATCAGAGTACATCGGCACTTCATTTAATTTCACTAATGGTTTCACATTAAAATCACCACTTAACCCATTCCCCATTGACTTGAAGTAGGAAGAATAACACATCATTATTACGTATTTTATGTTCTTTTCATTGCAGATATTTTTCTTCCGTAAATAAAACATCACCCCTAGATTGGAGGGTGGGAGCGCTATGACAAAGCAACGCCATCGGTGCCTTATACAGTCGATGCTGTTTTTTAGTATCACATTGGTGGGCATTTTTCCACTGATAACAGCTCAACAAGATTTCTATCAACAAAACCAATACTCCACACCATCTTCATCGTCCTCCTCATCATCGAATTATGATATTTACAATAACAACAACAATAATAATCCATATGCCAGCAACAACAATGATCCCTATAATACCAATATAAATGATCGAACACGTTACCGAACCGATGGCAATAACAACAATCTCAATGATCTGGATCAACAGGATTATGGCGGCAAACGCCCCTCGTATGGCGATGATGAACCCTCTTTGAATCGTGGCAAAACTTCATATAATGTTAAAACTTCCTTTTTGGAAGCTTATCATGCCAAAGAGCCCACCTATTTTATTGTGGCATCACGTATGGTCCGTCCTGGTCTCATCTATCAAGTATCAGTAAACATACTGCAGGCCCAGTATCCAACAACTGTACATGCCAGTATATCATGTGATGGTGTGCAAATAAGCGGTGAATCGAAAGAAGTGAAAGAAGGTGTGCCGGAAACCTTGCTGATGCGTGTCCCACCCACCAGTGTTAGCGGTGAATACAAGTTGCGAGTTGAAGGATTCTACAATAATGTCTTTGGCGGTTTGGCATTCCTCAACGAGACACGTTTGACATTTTCACAACGTTCAATGACCATATTCATACAAACCGACAAACCTTTGTACATGCAAGGTGAAACAATACGTTTTCGTACCATACCAATAACAACGGAGCTGAAAGGTTTCGATAATGCCGTTGATGTTTATATGTTGGATCCAAATCGACACATTGTGCGACGTTGGCTATCAAGGTATGTAGACAATTAATTAACGTTTTAAGTGATCTGTAGTGGGATTCTATAACTAGCTAACGACACAATCAACGGCAATTATCGTAATGTTTTAATTGTTTATTATAAGCAATTGGGTAATTAAAAAAATTGTATTTTAGCGACGAAAAATAATAGTTGATATCTTTACCGACGGAAGCAATGTTGTTAATATTTTGTTTGAACATTTTTCGATTGATAGACTACGATTTTTGTCCTCCCAGTACTGATCTGACAAATTAAAATTTACAGCACTACTGATATGTTTATCGGAAGTTTCTTTAGTGTTGCGTTAGGATATGCCCTTTCGAACTTTCTAACGATCTTCTGGTTCGTTCTGATAAGCTGCAACTCCTTATCAGGGAGCTTTGATGGAGCTCCATTGAATATTGGCTGCAGTAGTTTACTGCTCGTGGATATGACTTGTTATCCCTATCCCCCATATCGATGCCGAAGGCGCCCTGGCCTACTTCTACTTCAATTGCTTCCTGCCTTAGCATGGGCTTGTCGTATTGTATTTACCGATGAATTGGTATTGGGGCAGCTTGGTATTCTCAGGTCGGGAGTCAATTCTTGTGAGGCATGGACTACCGAGGTATCAATTGCCTGCCACTCGCAAGACAGGGGGCTTTTCCAAAATTTACAGATATACTGTCCTGGCTCAATTGTATCAGTCCCATATTCGCAATAATTTTTCGGATATCCAGCTGTGGTCTTGTAACGCTTTCAATTCCTAAGTCCATCGTCAGGGCATTGTCGCCTGGATATAGACATATTTCTAATTTATTATAAGTTTTATCCGTTAGGTTAGGTTAAAGGACGCTCGGTTGCCGTTTGGTAACCACTCCACCCGAAGACCTGCTGGTCCATTGTGTTCATCCTAAATGAAGAAAGTGTTAAGAAAGAAAGATTGGTGGAAAAGGTGAAGATACTGTTGATAGGAAACTGAGTGATATAGGTAATCCACGGCCAGAAATTTTGCTGTGTCGTCTTTAGTCCCTTAAGTCTTCTGGCTAATTAAAGAATTACTGTAGGGTCAGCATTAGAGAACGAAGACAAATCATGTGACAATTGCTCCCCGACCAACCTGTGTCTCAAGTTAATGAGTGCTGGACAGTGGCAGAGCAAATGTTCGATCGTCTCAATTTCTTCCTCGTCTCGACACATTCTTCAGTAATCAATATCATCGCTGTTCCATTTCGAGGTCATTGCGCTCACCTTGCAGTGACCTGTGATGATGCCCACCACAAGTTTTAAATCAGGTTTCGACAAGGACAGTAACGACTTTGTTCTCTTCTCAGAGAGTATGGGCCAGATTCTTTTGGAAATGCTACATCCCCTTTCATCCAGCCATTTTTGTTGAATTCTCTTAGAGTAATGTCTATGAATTACCTGTAGGAAGCGACTGTGTTTTCAACTTTAATGGTTGCTGATTCGGGCCCTAGCCTAGCCAAATCATTTGCAGTCTCGTTGCCTGGAATATTGTAATGACCAGAAACCCAACAGAGCTTGATGGACAACCCAGTGTTTTTCAAGGATCTCCTGCATTCCAAAACAGCCCTAGACTTAATGGTGGAGGAGTTAAAAGTTTTCAGTGTCTATCTTGGCTATCGAAATATATAGTCACCGGACCGTTAACATCGTCGTTCCTCGTGACCAACAGGTCTATGGCTTTTTTGACCGCAGAGATTTCCGCATGAGACAGGCTACAATCTTTTCTATGCTTGTAGGATTCACGAACATTAAGAGTGCCACAGGAGACCCGGCGATGTGCAATATCAGTCCACTCCTTCTGGTACCTTCCCCGCAAAATGTCGACATTTTCAAAGAAATCAATTTACTGCACAGAATGTGAAAGGTAATCCGATTTTGCTCCAACTTTGCAAATATGCATCAGTGCTTGGTCTACTCATCAAGTACCTCTCCCACAAAGGGTCAACATTTTGATTATAACTCTTATAAAATGTGATGTAAGTGCCCGATTGTCTCCAAATTACACAAATCATAATATTTTTATTAACCCAAGGCCTGGTGTGAAGATGGAATATGTCGGTAGAGATAGGACCATTTCTTCTGGTACCTCCTCCACAACTACAACTTGCTATATCTAAATGCAGGGTGAGATGAAAAAACTGCAACAAACTTCAGACTGCTGTCATTTCTAATTCCGACAGCTATTAAAATTATTCCAGTGACAGCTCATTATATTGTTTACAAGCGTACAAAAGCATTTTGGTGAGAATTTTCCAGAAAAAAAGTTATTCGTTATGGAATTAAAGCGTAATAGTGTGATTACTTTATATTTGGCTGGAAAACCACAAGTAGCTATCGTTAGAGCACTCCAGCATTTAAATGTGAATAAATCTTTTGTGTCTCGTACCATCGCTCGTTACCGTGATACTGGTAGCGTAGCCCGACGTCAAGGAAGTGGACGGAAGAAAACAGCAACATCAGCAGAAATTGTTCGAAAAGTAAAGAAGCGACTTGATCGAATCCCTCGTCGCAGTGGCCGAAAAATGGCTCGTGATCTGAACATATCGCAATATTCCATTCGGCGAATATTGAAAAATGAGCTCGGGGTAAAGCCATTGAAACTCCAAAAAGTGCAAGAACGTACACCGCAACAGAAAGAAAATAGACTCAAAAGAGCCAAAGAGTTGCTTCGCTTGGCCGAAAGGCCAAAATACCGCAGAGCAACATTCGGGCAGCGTGTGACGGTTTCATTGGCCATTTGAAGACCATAATTCGCGCCAATTCAAACAAATCTAAACTTATTCTAAAATTTGATGCTATTTCCGATATTTTTTGCTCTCATTCAATAAAATTATCCCACCCTGTATTTCTCTTAACCAGAAATCTGATATGAATATGTAATTTTTATAAAATATCTCATATAAAGTATAGGTAGTAGTCGATATAGTCCCAATCTGGCATCTTGCAATATTTGTATCAGTCTTGAATATGAATTGGTCAGTATTGGCCAACTGTTTCGGAACCTCCCCCATAAAAGGTCAACAGTTTGAATAATCATAACTGAAGACTGGGGGTATAAATCTGTCGGCAAAACCGCCTGATACTATTTTTCTTGTTGTTGCCCAAAATCTATTCTTCAAATCGCACGCAACCGCACAAAAAAGTTTGTTGATTTGGAACAGAGTTGTCGTTATCCTTCTTTTTTTTTTTTGCTTTAATAAAACCACGTTTCTTTATAAAAATTCAGAAAAAGTTAGTTACTTTAAATGTGTTCTAAATACTAAGATCGCAATTTTTAATTGCACTAATAAAACGACTGCATCCAAAAACAATTTATTAATCTATTTCATTATCTTTCCGCAGGCAATCAAATTTGGGTTCCGTTTCATTGGAATACAAACTTTCCGATCAGCCAACATACGGAGAATGGACAATTCGTGTTATTGCCCAGGGACAAACGGAAGAAAGTCATTTCACGGTCGAAGAATACTATCAAACACGTTTTGAAGTTAATGTAACAATGCCGGCATACTTTTTCAATACCGATCCCTATATTTATGGCACAGTTATGGCCAACTTTACAAGCGGTGCTCCAGTCAAGGGTAATCTAACGTTAAAGGCATCGTTACGGCCAATTGGCTATTTTAGCAATCAGGCATTGAACGAGAAATTCCGTTTGGGTAGATCACCATTGGAGATGACAACAACACTGGAACATGAACATCAATTGCGTTACAATCAGAATTACAATCCCACCCAATATAATCCGAACATTATAAATCCAGAATATCCAACACAATTGCCACAGGATCAGCAGTTCAACTTTAATCAATATGTTATTGAACGCAACTATCAATTCGATGAGGAGTGGCCATTTTGGGTTCAGAAACCAGATGTACCGGAAACATTTGATCCCTGGACAGGGGAATATAAGAAAACATTGCCATATCTGCGCTATTTCAATGGTACATTTAATTTCAAATGGCCAATGCGTGAATTGGAGACACTTGTTCCGAACTTGGCAAATATGGAAGTTTTGATTACGGCCACTGTCGGAGAGAAATTTTATGATGAAATTATTTCGGGATATGCCATTGCCAGGGTATACAATTCGAGTATACGGGCAAAATTCCTTGGCGATACTCCGCAGGTGTTTAAACCAGCTATGCCCTTTACAGCTTATGTGGCTGTGGAATATCATGATGGTTCACCGATTGATGAGAACATACTACGCCAAGGTGTTATGGAGGTAAATGGTTTTGTGGAAAGTAAATCTGGTGGTCGGCGGGATTGGCCAGCTCAACGTTTGAAGATGATGTCTCAGTCACCGGGTGTGTGGGAAGTTAAAATTGATCTGCGCCATGACTTGCAGTTGGATGAGCGTCCACAATCCAGAGATTTCCTCAATGGCGTTTCACAAATGCGTTTACAGGCACAATTTGTAGATCCGCGAGGAGAAAGGGCACAAACTGAACTATTGCTGGTGGCCCACTATTCGCCACGTAATCAACATATTAAAGTAACGACCAGTACCGAGGCGCCAATCGTTGGAGAGTATATTATTTTCCATGTTCGTACGAATTTCTTTTTGGAAGATTTCAATTATTTGATCATGTCCAAGGGTGTAATTCTAATGAATGATCGTGAAACGATACGTGAAGGTATAAAGACCATAGCAGTGGTGCTCAGTGCCGAAATGGCTCCGGTGGCCACAATTGTCGTGTGGAAAATTACCCAGCAAGGACAAATCGTGGCAGACTCGCTAACCTTCCCGGTCAATGGCATTTCGAGAAATAATTTCACAGTTTACATTAACAATCGAAAGGCCAGAACGGGAGAAAAGGTAGAAGTGGCCATTTTCGGTGAACCAGGATCTTATGTGGGCCTATCGGGCATTGATTCGGCTTTCTATACCATGCAGGCAGGCAATGAATTGACATACGCCAAAGTTATTACCAAAATGTCAACTTTCGATGAGCAGACCAATGGAACATATAGACAAATTTGGCACTCTCATGCCGGCAATCCCGATGAATTGGTATATTATCCAGCCTCTTCTTTTGGCATCGATGCCAATCGCACATTTGAATATTCCGGTTTGGTGGTCTTCACAGATGGCTATGTGCCAAGACGCTACGACAATTGCAATGCCTCACTGGGTTATGGCGAATGTTTGTCCGGTCGCTGTTATCGCTTGGAAAAGAAATGTGATGGCCTGTTCGATTGTGATGACGGTACCGATGAAATCGGTTGCCATGTACGCAACGATACCGATTTGGAAAATTATCGCAAATATCGTTTCAATCGTGTTCTGAGACATTATGAAAATGTTTGGCTTTGGCGTGATGTTAATATTGGCCCTCACGGACGTTATATCTTTAACATTGAGGTACCCGATAGACCTGCCTATTGGATGGTTAGTGCATTCAGTGTCAGTCCCTCGAAAGGTTTTGGCATCTCCAAACAGCCCATTGAATATGTGGGTGTACAGCCGTTCTTTATTAATGTTGAAATGCCAACGGACTGTCGCCAGGGTGAGCAGATCGGTATACGTGTGACGGTGTTCAATTACATGACAACACCAATCGAGGCAATTGTGGTGTTGCATGGAAGTCCCGACTATAAATTTGTCCATGTTGAAGAGAATGGCATTGTACGATCATATAATCCACGCACATCATTCGGTGAACATCAATTCTTTATTTATTTGGAAGCTCAGGGTACGTCGATTGTATATGTGCCCATAGTACCACAACGTTTGGGTGACATTGATGTCACCTTGCACGTGGCCACACTCTTGGGTACAGATGAGATAACACGTCGCCTGCACGTCGAAGCTGATGGTTTGCCGCAATATCGTCATCAATCTATTCTGCTCGATCTCTCCAATCGTGCCTATGTCTTTGAATATATGCATGTTAATGTTACACAAACTCCGGAGATACCCTATCAAGCTGATCGTTACTTCGTCTATGGTTCGAATAAGGCACGTATATCAATTGTGGGCGATGTTGTGGGACCCATTTTCCCAACCATGCCAGTAAATGCCACCTCTCTGCTCTATTTGCCCATGGAATCAGCTGAACAAAATGCTTTCTCATTTGCCGCCAACATGTATACCCTACTGTATATGCGTCTCATTAATCAGAGAAATAAAACGCTGGAGAAGAATGCTTTCTATCACATGAACATTGGTTATCAACGCCAGCTGAGCTATATGAAACCGGATGGTTCCTTCTCGCTGTTCCGTTCCGATTGGAACAATTCAGCATCGTCAGTATGGTTGACAGCATATTGTGTACGCATTTTCCAGGAGGCCTCTTTCTATGAATGGGAAAACTTCATCTACATCGATTCGACAATTATCGAGAAGAACATCAGATGGCTTTTGCAACATCAAACTCCCGAGGGTGGTTTTTATGAGACCACCTGGTTGCCAGATCGTAAAATGAATCGTACGAATTTCGCCAACAATACAGCACTGCAGAATCGTAACATTACCCTTACCTCACATGTACTCATTACACTGGCCACAGTCAAGGATTTGTCCGGTTCACTGGGAGCACGTGTAGCGCTAGCACAGCAGAGGGCTATTTCATGGATAGAACGTAATATGCAATTCTTACAAGATACTCCAGAACCCTATGATGTTGCCATTGCGGCATATGCCTTGCTCTTGAATAAATCTCCAATGGCTGAGCATGTCTTTAGCATTCTACAGAGGCATGCACGTATTGTGGGTGATTTTATGTATTGGGGCAACAGTGAACTGCCGCCTCCTCCTAAAAAATTGGAAAATCAGAAATGGTTCTCGTTGCCACGTCTGCCCTACGAATATGATTCGCTTAATATAGAGACGACAGCATATGCCCTGTTGGTTTATGTATCGCGGCGTGAATTCATTATAGATCCCATAGCACGTTGGTTGAATGCCCAACGTTTGAATGATGGAGGCTGGGCCTCAACACAGGACACCAGTGCTGCTCTACGGGCCTTGGTTGAATACACAGTTCATTCACGTATTCGTGAGGTATCCTCATTGACGGTGGAAATAGAGGCATCATCACAGGGTGGAAAGACTCAAACCCTACACATTGACGATAAGAATTTAGCCCAACTGCAATCGATAGATGTAAGTTAAAGGGGTTTTTAGGAGATTGGAATTTTTTGTTAAATTTTTTATTCTTCTATCACTACTACAGATTCCCAATGCTTGGGGCACGGTGAAAGTTCAGGCCAAGGGTGCAGGTTTTGCCATTCTTCAAATGCATGTCCAATACAATGTTGACATAGAAAAATTCCAAACTAAGCCACCGGTACCGGCTTTTGGTTTGAAGGTGAAACCCATATTCCATGGCCGCAATCAGTCTCATATTTCCTATTTGGCATGTCAAAAGTAAGGATAATTGTTTGCCAAAAATTACCAGTTATTATAATTTTTCATATTCTCCTATCTCTTACCCACTAGTTGGATTAACCGTCAAGAATCAGAACGTTCTGGCATGGCTGTTTTAGATGTCACCATACCAACCGGTTATTGGATACAGCAACAAAAATTGGATTCATATGTCCTAAGCAATCGTGTACGAAATTTACGTCGGGCTAAATACCAGAACTCGAAAGTTATTTTCTATTTCGACTATGTAAGTATGGAAATGTATAGTTCGTAAATGCCATTTGTTTTTGGCGTTTCGTATTAGTTCGGATAATGTATCGTCTAAATTATGCTCAGATTTTAATTGCCTACTATATCCACCAATAAGCCAAAATAAGCTATGTTATTATTCTTCCATTTTGGCGATTAACAACTATCTTATATCACTGAGGCCTGTTAAAGGTATTTAAAGACCGTGTAGTTCTCTAAACGGGACTATTTTGAATTTCCTGCATCGAATCAGAACTAATATGTAGTAATTATAGATAGTCTCTAAAAAAATCCTCCGGATATAATGTCGATAAATCTGATACCTGCAGTCATTCTAATCGATTTCATACTGTTTGGCAATTGAAAGCTACATAGCATATCAAGAAGTTCAAGGCCGACTTAAGTAAATGTGTCATCATTTTAGTTTAGACTTATTAGTCCTTTCTTTTTTATACCTTCACCATAGTTTGGGGGGTATATTAAGTTTGTCATTCCGTTCCCCACAAAGTATATATTCTTGATCAGCATAAAATTTTATGTCGCTTTAGCGATGTCCGTCCGCCTATCCGTCTGTGGAAATCACTCTAGCTTCCAAACGAAATGAAGTAGGTTCACTCAAATGTATATTATGCAGAGGGCTTTTGGTATTGAAAATGGGCCATGTAGGTCCACGTTTTGGTATAGCCCAGCCCCCATATACAGGGTGAAATAAAAAAAAAACTGCGACAAAGTCAAACGCCATAATTTTTACATTTTTTTAAAATTTTTTTGAATGAAATTAAAAAATGTCGAAAATAGCATCACATTTTAGAATAAGTTTAGATTTGTTCGAATTGGTCACCTTTGGGAAGAATTACGGCCTTCAAACGACCTATTAAACCATCACACGTAGCCCGAATGTTGCTATGCGGTATTTTGACCCATTCCCAGCGAAGCGCTTGCTTTAGGTGATCGACACTTTGGTATATTTTAGTGCCAACATTGCTTTCCAAAATACTCCAGACACAATAGTCCAACGGATTGGTATCCGGAGATTTTGGTGGTCATTGTGCGCTGGAAATGAAGCGAGGAACCTTATTTTGTAACCATTCTTGGCTGGCGCGTGCTGAGTGCGATGGTGCTGAGTCCTGTTGGAATGTCCAAGATCTGCGGCCAAAATGTTTGCGTGTCCAAGGCTTTAATACACCCTCCAGAATATTTTCGCGATAATATTAGGCATTTATTCTGATGCCTCGGTCGATTAATACGAGCGGAGAGGCGGTCATCGGCTGTTATGGCGGCCCACGCCATCAACATGACCGGTAAACACGATCATTTCGTTTGTTTACAAACTGATGGACAACGAATGTTTTTCATCGGAGAAAACCAAATTCGACAGTTCACCACTATCGGCCAAGCAAAGCAACTCTTTAGCTCTTTTGAGTCTATTTTCTTTTCGTTGCGGTGTAAATTCTTGCACTTTTTGAAATTTCAATGGCTTTACCCTCATTTTTCAATATTTGCCGAGTGGAATATTGCGATATGTTCAGCTCACGAGCCATTTTTCGTCCACTGCGACGCGGGTTTCGATCAAGTCGCTTCTTTACTTTTCGAACCATTGCAGCTGATGTTACTGTTTTCTTCCGTCCACTTCCTTGACGTCGGGCTACGCTTCGAGTATCACGTTAACGAGCGATGGTACGAGACACAAAATATTTATTCACATTTAAATGCTGGAGTGCTCTAACGATAGCGACTTGTGGTTTCCAGCCAATTATAAAGAAATCACACCATCACGCTTGATTTCCATCACGAATAACTTTTTTTCTGGAAAATTCTCACCAAAATGGTTTTGTTCGCTTGTAAACAATATAATGAGCTATCATTGAAATAATTTTAACCGCTGTCGGACGAGTGGCTTTGAAATGACAGCAGTCTGAAGTTGGTTGCAGTTTTTTCATCTCACCCTGTATATATATTCTTGATCAGCATAAAATTCTTTGTCGATTTAGCGATATCCGTCCGTCTGTGGAAATCACTCTAGCTTCCGAACGAACGAATGTTATGTCTACAAGACTTTTGGTATTAAAAATGGTCCATGTAGGTCCAGGTTTTGGTATAGCCCCCACATAACGGAACCTCCCGATATTCGGTATTTTTATGATTTTAGCGACATTATTCACTGGAATTGTTTCAAATTTGGTATTTGAAGTTCTTAATGAATACTACAGCCTATGACAGAAAATTGTCTGTACAGGTCCACGTTTTGGCATAGACTCCATATAACGGCACCTCCCGATATTCGGTATTTTGTTGATTTTAGCGGCATAATTCACCTATTTTTTTATCAAGTTTCGCATTTGAGCATTGTAATGGCTTATGAAAAAAGTTGCCTTTGCTGATCCACGTCATCGTATAGACCCTAATATAACGGCTACATTTGGTATTTTTATGATTTTAACAGATTTTTTATCGGATTTTATTTTTATTTTTGAAAATTACAAAATTCGTTCCAAATAGTGGAGAGTATACAGCTTTTTTACTTGTTTTATAACATATTTTCTGTGCTATGACAGAAAAGATTACTACGACATGTATTCACATTTATCCTTCATTTCTAGCTTGATCAAGAAGACGTATGTGTTAATTTCACCATTGAACGTTGGTATCCTGTGGCCAATATGTCCAGATATTTACCAATACGTGTCTATGACTACTATGCTCCTGGTAAGTACAAATGTCTTACAATAATACCTGATCAGAAAACTAATTCTTTTATATATTTTTTCCATTCATTTAGAACGTTTCAACGAAACTATATTTGATGCCCTGCCAACGTACCTATTAAATATATGTGAAGTATGTGGCAGTTCACAGTGTCCATACTGTTCCATATATAACATGGGATGGAGAGCTTCTATGTCGGTGTCATTGATTTTCTTTAGCGTTTTTGTTTACTTAATGCGCAGTCGTACACATGTTCTGCTCAATGTAATACATTTAATGGGCGTTTAGCCGATTAATAGCCAGTCCAAAATACCACAATAATTTCCCAAGAAGTAGTAAATCAAGTGTATTATTAGTGTTTTTTTTTTTTTTATTATTATTATTTTGTAAGAAACAAAAAGTCAACCAACGACGATTTGTGGAGAATCGTAATGCAAAAAATTCCAAATCGAATATATATATTTTTTTTTAATTTTGCAATAACAATTGAAAACATATCCGTCCAGATATATAATCACTTTAGAAGAAAAAAAAAACGAAAACATATTTTTTAAATTTAGTTTTAAGTTTTATCAAATTGAAAGAAAACAAAAAAGAAATCTCTCAGATGTACAAAATAATTCAGAACTATTAAATACCAAGAGATCAATTACCATAGATAGCCTTGCAGCACTAGGAACTTTTCAGGCAAATTATACAATAATGCCAGCCATTTCATTGATCCCTTATTTTCTTTAATATATTTTTTCTTTTCTAATTATCTACAATCATTTTGTATATAATCAAGTGATGAAATTCACAATATTTTTTGGAAAGCTTTATATGACAAAATTTTTAACCATGAAAAATGAATTTGTTTCTCTTTTATACAAAACTATAACTAAAAAAAAACACACGAAGTGTGTTGTAATCTCGAATTGTTTTTTCTATGTTTTTGTCTCAAATTTCAACAATGCCACAAGTGTCTTATATTCAAGCATTTAAGTAAAAACAAAGAATCAACAAAAAAAAACCATTAATGCCTTAGATTTTAGAAATCATAGATCATATTATATACACACAAAATTGGAAAAATGTATTGTCTTGAATATCTATATGTTTTAAAGTAAAATTACATGAATTACGTTTCTGTCTAAAATAATATATAATCTAACGAATCTCGATATCCCTCCTCACTGTTTGCATTGTAGTTTAGTTCAATAGGATTTTTTTGATATATAATACATATTTATACCTACATCCATATCAATGATTATAATCTTTGCAATAAGAGTAAATTATATACAAGCATACTACTTACCACCTTTGCAAAATAAGGCAACTGAAATCCTTCCGTCCTATAATAATTGAATTATTTTTTTATATATAGAAGAGAATAACCATTATTTTTTAAAAGAAAAATGTTTTGTCTCATTTATACAAAAAGTTTTAAATAATACAAAAATGTCATTAAAAAATAAAAACATTCAAATTGTGTTTCTCTTTTTCTTTCTCGTAGGTCTACATAATTATGATAAAATAGGTAGATTTGTGTATGTAAAGGAAGAAATCTCTTTTACTTTAACATTTGTAAGATTTTTTTTAATTAGCCTTAGGCTGTAAGTACATAAGAAGCTTAAAGTCATGGCTATTCTATTATAATAGAATATATTCTATTATAATTTGACATTAATATGCACCTTTACTGCGTCTGGGGTTGGAATCGGAATGATTTCAAATTCATCTGGGAAAACGCCACTACAAATTGCGTTAAAATAAGAGAAAAGATCGTTGCAGTTTTTGTAGACGACCAAATACAGGGTGAAATGAAAAAACTGCAACCAACTTCAGACTGCTGTCATTTCTAAGCCAATCGTCCGACAGCGGTTAAAATTATTTCAATGACAGCTCATTATATTGTTTACAAGCGTACAAAAGCATTTTGGTGAAAATTTTCCAGAAAAAAAAAGTTATTCGTGATATATCGCAGTGGCTAAAAATGGCTCGTGAGTCGAACATATCGCAATATTCCATTCGGCGAATATTGAAAAATGAGCTCGGGCTAAAGCCATTGAAACTCCAAAAAGTGCAAGAACTTACACCGCAGCAGAAAGAAAATAGACTGAAAAGAGCTAAAGAGTTGCTTCGCTTGGCCGAAAGTGGTGAACTACAGAATTTGGTTTTCTCCGATGATAAAACATTCGTTGTCCAGCAGTTTGTAAACAAACAAAATGATCGTGTTTACTTGCAAAAGAGGTCAACTGAAATTGTGCACCTTCGGTTGGCCACCAGAACTCAAGCGCCGGCCATGGTGATGGCGTGGGCCGCCATAACAGCCGATGGCCGCCTCTCCGCTCGTATTAATCGACCGAGGCATCAGAATAAATGCCTAATATTATCGCGAAAATATTCTGGAGGGTGTATTAAAGCCTTGGGCACGCAAATATTTTGGCCGCAGACCTTGGACATTCCAACAGGACTCAGCACGCGCCACCCAAGAATGGTTACAAAATGAGGTTCCTCGCTTCATTTCCAGCACACAATGGCCACCAAAATCTCCGGATACCAATTCGTTGGACTATTACGTTTGGAGTATTTTGGAAATACCAAAGTGTCGATCGCCTCAAGCAAGCGCTTCGCCGGGAATGGGCCAAAATACCGCAGATCAACATTCGAGCAGCGTGTGACGGCTTCATTAGTCGTTTGAAGGCCATAATTCGTGCCAAAGGTGACCAATTCGAACAAATCTAAACTTATTCTAAAATTTGACGCAATTTCCGACATAATTTGCTTTCATTCAATAAAAATTAAAAAAAAATGTAAAAATTATGGCGTTTGGCTTTGTTTCAGTTTTTTATCTCACCCTGTATATCATCCCAGTAGAAATTAGGGAGCTACATGAGCCGATTTACCCATTACAATGAGGCATTACAAAGCGAAAGAACGTATTTATACCCTACACCACATAGTGGTAAGGGTATTATGACTTTCTGCATTGGTGAAGGAAGCGAGTTAGAGGATCGTCATAGAAACACTTTCCGAGTCGATTTATGAATGTCAGTCCGTCTGTCCATGTATTATTTTATGAACAAAATGCAGGTCGCATTTATTATCCGATTGAGATGAAATTTTCCAGACAATATTTGTTTGACCCAAGGACAAACTCTATTGAAATTGGTAATAATCGAAACAGATTTAGATATAGCTTCCATATATATCTTCAACCGATATCGGGATAATTGTGCACCAAATGGCCAATATATGTAAGTCCAAATGTCCTGAATTTTGCCACATCCAATCGATCTTCAATCTACCTCTAATTTAGTGAAAATCGTTTTACTTTTCCTTACTGATTGTCTTATTATTAAGTGATGAGCAACGGGGTATGGTGCACGTTTCTGAATTGAAAACCGAATGTAGTGAGTTCGATAATTAGCGACGACGAACTTAGGAGAATATAATAAAATACGGCTTAACTCTAGTTTAGTAAAAACTATTCGATTTTTTTCCAATGGTTGGTATTGGGGGACGGACCCGGGACTCCATATTTTTGACCCGAAAGTCCGTCTTCAAGACCCCGACTAGACCCGGATTCAGTTACCCCATATAGACTATATAGGTAAACTTCTAAAAATGGGTGAAAAAATTCTAAAAAATACCTGGTCACATGATGGGGTGATTTTTAGCGGTTCGAAAGTTATAGTCAAATTATCGATTTTTTGGACCCGGATTTTTTATAAAACCCCCAAAAAGTCAAAAAGGGGCCCATTATGGGAATCAACCAAATTGATGCCAAATTATTGCTGACACTGTTACCTTTCCAAAATGCTACAATTTATGCTAATACCATTTCTGGGCCCAGAGATATGATTTTGCTGCAATGTATCCCCCAACTTGTCCGGGATTTTAAGGCTTTTATAATCAAATAAATTGATTCCCTAAACGTTCAGGATTGTGCAGTCGTCCTAATGTGCCTGTTCAGCGTACAATAAAAGCACAAACGCTACGCAGTATCACTTTAACTGACCTGCCAAACCTACTCAACTCACAACCGAAGATTTTTAATTAAATAAATAATATTTTGATAAAAGTAAGCTTTTTTACAAATAACGAATTAGTACAAAAGAGATGCTAAAACGCCCCTAGAAGAAATCCCGACGTGTAAAACATTTCTTATTGGAACGGACCAATTATTGTCAGACATTATTTAACACTCCCATTCGTAAACAAATCACTCTCATATTGTTATCTTCTTACATTTCATCGGTTGTTTTCTTTTTTGTTTATTGTTTGTATCGTATGGAACGTTTTTAATTTAGTTTGTATAAAAGCAATATGGCGAGCAGACAACGAAGCGGAACGATGTTTTTGGCGGCGGCGGTCCATTTTGTTCGCGGCGGCGAGAATAAAATTAAAATTATTATATATATATTTTTTAAAAAAGTTTAAAATATTATTTTATTTTTTTTTAAATTTGCTGATATATTTATGCTCTACATTTTTCTAATTATCTGGTGGCGATTTGCAGCCAATTTGAGCGACAGATTCGGCAGCATCTGAAAAACAGAGCGGTGGCGGCGCCGTTTTATAATCGACTCGTTTCCACCTCTGATGCCGAGTTGCTTCATGTAGGGGAGTTGAGTGTTTAGTAGCATTTCCAGTGCATCTTTTAGGGTAGTTTAAGAATATAAGTTAACTTTAAAAGCATAATAAGCAATTTCCAGAAAATTTAACAACATGCTGGTAAGTAAACAAATTCGTTAAAAATAGACTCGGTTCGTTGAATGTGTCTTCTTTGTTATCAACACCTAATGATTAGGCCCAAAAAGTTGAGGAGGCACTGAACGACATAAACAAACTTCATATAACTGTTTTGGAACATGCGGCCGAAATTTCGCCTTTTGTTAATGGAAGGTCCCTGGGAATGGACGTTGAAAACAAAGAGAACTCAGCGAAGAAGCAAAGTGCGAGAAATGGAAATGTGAGCGTTACTTCAAATACTAGGAAAACTCCAACCAAACAGTCGCCACCATCCAAAAGCACACACAGTAAAGTTGCTACGTTGGAATTTAATAGTCTACAGGTAAGATTGTCAATCGAAATATATCAAAATCCCGAAATAATTTGAAACGTTCCTTTAGAATTTGGACATCAATGCTGTTAATTCCAGTATCTTGCTTCGCGAAGCAGAGGAGTCTAGAAAACGATCCATACGACAGCAGGTTTTAGATATGCATGAAAAACACTTGACTATAATGCAGGAATGCCTTCGACCCATTGAAGAACAATGCAAAGAAGAAAAACGCAAATGGTTAGAGAAAAAGCGCCAGAGTGATACTCAGATTATGCTTAAAGCAGAACAGCAATCGGAATTGGATATCAAAGAACATCAACGACAACTGGAGGCCTTGCGTCTTCAAACTCAGCGGCAGTTGCAAGTAATATCTTTCCAAGGAATAGCACAGTATCAATCAAAATTCCGAACAAAATATGAAGCTATAGTAAATTTGCTAATGTCCATCGACAAAGCGGCGATGATGTCCTGTAACGATTACAACAACAAACTCAAGGAACTGATACAAATGTTTGAGCAATTGATTAATAAAATTAAAGGTGGCACATGCGGTGGTGAGGAATTAAAAACCGCCGATAATCTCTGCAAATCATTGGCCGCATTAGAGATTGGTATTGTGGAAGCCCTTAAGCAGGAGAAAGAAAAGCAAGAAAGTATAGCAAAGGAACAGCAAAAGGCGCAGAGCGTTCAGGCTGCAAGCGAGATCGCACAAGAATCGCAAATACCACAACAACCACCACTACAACAAGAACAACAGCCACCTCAACCAAAACCACAAAACGAAACGTCCCATGCTGAGCCTACTCCTGTTCCCCAGCAGCCACCTATGAAAGAAAATGTTCCAGAAAATAGACCCACAGACATAACGGATAAACCACCCAATGTCACTTCTCAGCATGTTAGCCCAGAGCGCCTAGAATTTTACACAAAAATTAATACGTTCTACCTGGAAAAGGTGGAACGTGTCAAAGCCCTACAATCCGATGAATCTATGAAGAAGTATCGCTTCGATTGCCAAAAATCCATTAACATACCCGTCAATGCAATATCGGCAGTTAGTCCTCAACACATACAGGACAAATTTGATAAACTGTATTCCTTTGTAACGTCCCAGCCTCCATTGGGTCGAGATTACTGTATACTACTGATGGCAAAAAAGTTTGTGGGGCAAGGCGAGACAACAATTTCCAGTAATCCTCAGGCAGCATTTCCAGTTGCTTCCGTCATTGTTTCGCTCTGGAAGTGTATACCCGAGTTTGGTCAACTTTTCTTGGCATACTGTTTTAAAGAGTGTCCATTTCTTGTGCCCTACTTTATACCACAGAAAAAGGATCAATCTCCAGAAGAGTATTCCAAAGTTTTGGGTTTTCGAACTGTTGATGGCCAACCAGAAAAACAGGAAATGTATTTAAAACGCCAGGCTGGCATAGCACGTCTATATGCCGCTGTTATGGTAACAAACGGACGCCAGCAAGATTGTAGTCCCCATCCTTATGGTTTGGAGAATGCTTGGCGTTGGCTGGCTAATATGATGAATATTGCCCCCTTGCCATTTCTTTCGGCGACCTTAATAATGGAAATTCTTCAAATTGTTGGTAGTGATATGTGGTCCAGTTATGGCAAACAATTTGTTAAGTTACTGGTGTATATACAACAACATTATTTTGCAAAGCTTTCGGAAGGTGACATGGGTGGTCCCAAGGCAAGACTGGAATTATTGTTAAATACATTTTTGAGAGATGGCCAAATACAAAAACCGGCTGGAATGTTACCTGTAGGCTTTTGGTAAAGCCATAAGAGATCAGTTACATTAGCTAGTCTATTCTATTGACGACGAAATTATGCTATTTTATAAAAGTTGTTTAATTATTAAAATTTTGTAGGGTTTTTCTGATTACCCAATGTGTGTTTTATTACTGTTCATGCTTCGAATAGCAACTTTTTTGTTTCTAGGGAAGATATTTGAAAATTTCCAATATCGTAGTTTCTATGGTGGATCTACATACTTAGATCATCAAAGATCATCCTATCTCGCCGAGCATCCTATCTCTCTGTCAATGTCACTCTACAGGTCGCAGTTATGGGTCGATCCTCACGAAATTTTGCAGGGAGTTAGTGCTCTAAATACCAATTCTTTATCAAATGGATAGAGTGGAGGAAAGGTCAGGATAGAAGCCAGTCATTTTGAATATGATCTGATAATATTAAACAGGTGAAATGGACAATAACACTTGTGTGAAAAATACCAACGTTTTTTTGGTGCTGATAGTCACTTTTGTAATTTTTAGAGAACGTGTGTTTTTGGGAAATTTTGGTTATTCGAAAGGAGGACCTAATAATCACCACATCTGCTTTAAAATTAATTCTAAACTTATTCTACTCAGACTTTACCGTAAATTACAGGGTGAAATGAAAAAACTGCAACCAACTTCAGACTGCTGTCATTTCTAAGCCACTCGTCCGACAGCTGTTAAAATTATTCCAGTGACAGCTCATTAGATTGTTTACAAAATCATTTTGGTGAGAATTTTCCAGAAAAAAAAGTTATTCGTGATGGAATTCAAGAGTGATTCCTGGCTGGAAAATCACAAGTGGCTGTCGTTAGAGCACTCCAGCATTTTAAATGTAAATAAATCTTTTGTGTCTCATACCATCGCTCGTTACCGTGATGCTGGTAGCGTAGGCCGACGTCAAGGAAGTGGACGGAAGAAGACAGCAACATCAGCAGAAATGGTTCGAAAAGTAAAGAAGCAACTTGATCGAAACCCGCGTCGCAGTGTCCGAAAAATGGCTTGTGAGCTGAACATATCGCAATATTCCAATCGGCAAATATTGAAAAATGAACTCAGGGTAAATCCATTGAAATTCCAAAAAGTGCAATAACTTACACCCCAACAGAAAGAAAATAGACTCAAAAGAGTTAAAGAGTTGGCCGAAAGTGGTGAACTGCCGAATTTGGTTTTCTCCGATGAGAAAACATTCGTTGTCCAGCAGTTTGTAAACAAACAAAACGATCGTGTTTACTTGCCAAGAGATCAGCCGAAAATGTGCACCTTCGATTGGCCACCAGAACTCAAGCGCCGGCCATGGTAATGGTGTGGGCCGCTATAACAGCCGATAATCGCTCTCCGCTCGTATTCATCGACCGTGGCATCAGAATAAATATCGAATATTATAGCGAAAATACAGGGTTGCCCATATTCGACGGACCTTTGGGCCCATTCCAATCGACGAGGCTTGTCCGCAGGCAACATTCTTTGCTTCAATTGAATTTTGTACGGGAACAAATTCAAATTAATGCGAATAATCCGTTGTAAAGTGGACCGAGCCATGCCCAACTGCTGAGAACGGCGTTTTTGAGGGACCTCTCAACACTGGCTCATACGGCAGCGATATTCTCGGCCGATCGCCTTGGTCGACTTTTATATGGCCTCTTCGGATTAGAAAGAGCCTTACCAGTCGAAAATTTTTCGTATAAACGCTTAATGGTGTTCTTAGAAGGCGCACTTCTCACATTTTTTAATGTTTTAAAAGCACGTTGAATTTTCACAATTGACTTCTTGTAAATTTCAACTATTTCAGCGCTCGCGTGGCGTGTATTGGTTCATGGTAAAAATCTGCTTGGACTGACGCTTCAAACGCGGTATGTCATTAAGCGATGTGACATCTCTGTCAAAAGTTATGGCGTTGCCAGATGGGTCTTTCGAATATGGGCAACCCGTATTTTGGAGGGTGTATTAAAGCCTTGGGCACGCAAACATTTTGGCCGCAGACCTTGGACATTTCAACAGGACTCAGCACCATCGCACTCAGCATGCGCCACCCAAGAATGGTCACAAAATGAGGTTCCTCGCTTCATTTCCAGCGCACAATGGCCACCAAAATCTCCGGATACCAATCCGTTGGACTATTGTGTCTGGAGTATTTTTCGAAAGCAAGGTTGGCACTAATAAATACCAAAATGTCGATCACCTCAAGCATGCGCTACGCCGGAAATATGCCACAATACCGTAAAACAACATTCAGGCAGCGCGTGACGGTTTCATTGGCCGTTTGAAGGCCATAATTCGTACCAAAGGTGACCAATTCGAACAAATCTAAACTTATTCTACAATTTGATGCTATTTTCGACATATTTTGCTTTGCATGCCTAAGTTGGCCACCTCTCTTCCCGTTTCCATTTTCTGTATCCTTCCCTCTCCATCAGCAAAATACATAACACATATTTGAACATGTGAATAATTTATTCCGATTATTTTGTTATTGGTATTAATTGTTAAAAGTGCATTTAAATGGTATATGTTTATTTTGCAACAATCTACGTAGTTTTATGCCATTTATTGTTGAAAGCAGGAGCCCATTAAAGTTTCAAATCAACATGCATGGGGGCGGGGGCGGGGCCTAGTGGATTAGTAATGAATTCAATATTTCTTTGTGGTTAGTACATTTAATAATTCATTTTCAATTCGTATTTATTTTTTCGTAATTCAAACGCGTTATCTCAACCACTTGAGGATGAGGAAGATGCCGCAGCCGATGATGCTACCGTTGTGGGCAACGTGGACAAGACATCCTCAATAAATGTTTGTGGGTTTTCAATATCACCAAAAAGACCTAAGGCAAGAAGAAGAAGAAACCACATTTTTTATTAACAACAACTTCTCATTAACGATAAATTCCCAACTTACCAGCAACATCACAGAACTCCTCAAACGATGTACAGGGCAGGAAATCATCTGTGAACGTCTCCAATATCGAGTCGGTATGCTTCAACATAGTTTCATCGTTTTTACGTATGTAATTGAACAGAGAGATCGACCAGTCTTCTTCTTTAGGTGTAGCTACAGTTTTGAACAGCGTACTATATAGCAGATCCAAGAGGGCCCATATCATTAAGTAAGGCTTGTAGACAGAGTATTCTTTCTCCTGCCTATCGGCCGGTGATAGCAATGCTTTGCACAACACCGAAGGTGATACATGACGGGCTTGCGCCACAGCAACCAATCGTTTTAAATGAGCTATACGATGTTTTTGCCATGTTTCGTGAGAGTGGAGAGCCAGTGAAACGGTCAACATATAGAGTGGACCCTCTACATCATATGCCGTTTCTAGCCATTTTTCTGAGGGCGGTGCTGTTAGATAGGCCACCAATGTTTTGCTGTCGCGGGCTGCTGAGCGTGATGAGAGCAGCAAATAGACGGCATAGAAAAGCAAATAGGGCACAAAGTGCATATTCGATTGGGGACCACCACCACCGGCATCTTCATGGAAACTGCGTTCCCATGCGAAACGCATTAACAACAGCTTAAGATCGTGTATGCTATTGTTGTAGGAGATATCACAGCGCTGTGTGCTCTCTTGCATGTAGCTGGCGTGGCGCGTCATACAAGCTGAAAATGCTGCCTCGGAAACTTCTGGTCCCCAAAGTGGCAGTAGACCGTTGCAGCGGGTGTTGGCATTCTGTAAACTGGCCCTCTCCCATTCATCACGACCACGAGCCAAGCGTATGGCTGAGGTGTGGCAGTCAACATGTACCACATTGAAGTGGGTAACCGTTGTGTAGCCAATGGTTTTGCGAGATTTGATTTCGAATTCCTCCACATTACAGCGTTTGGTGAACGTATATATGCCCAAGACTTTGGTTGGTTGACAAGCATATCCCTCGCGACAGATAAAGCATGTGAGACCGGTTTCATCGCGTAGTTTTTCTATTTTCTGCAAAATGGAGCCCTTGGCCGTCACTTGGCCCTTTTCATTGGTGCGCATTCCCAAGGCATCCAATTGTTTCTCTCGAGTGGCCATGGCTAGACGTTTCTTTTCAGCCCGTGTAAAGTCTCTGACTTCTTGAACCCGAGATGCTGTGGCAGCATCGGTGCACAAAGCCTCTAGGAGATTTTCAGCCAAACTGCCAACATGTTCATCGCTCGACACCTGTTCCAAACGATGAATGATGGGTATGATGTCTTTGCTAATAGCCACCTGGGTAGCTTCATGTTTTGTAGCCAGACCGGTGAGGAATCGTAAAATATACTTAAGGCTTGGTCGGGAAATGAACTCTTTTAGCTCGTCCGAATCAGTTCTCAATAGGGTTGGCTTAACGCACGGTGCATAACGGGTGATGTAGTCAATGGCTTTCTCAACTATACCCAAACTGACGATATAATCCTTGAGAGTGCCGCCAATACAATTGTGTTCAATTTGATTTGTCAGAACACAAAACAGTTCCAGTTTAAATTCCTCTTCGGCGGTACGTTCCGAATCGAATTTATCAAAGTCAAGTGTGTCCTTAAAGTAATCGCACAGTAGAGCCATTTTAACTTCGTTGCCATAGACCAATGCAGCCAAAACACGTATCAGATGCCTTAGTACCGATGGGTTGTTGCGAACATTGGAACATTCGGTGCATGAAATCAGAGCAGTAACATATTCGGGTCCACCGAAGGTCAAAGAGAATTGTAAGAATGAGTCCAAAGTATCACTGGCAGCCTTTGACAGTATTGTTTCCATGATTTCCAAAAGTTGTTCCGTGACAGATGATTGAATCGAGTCCGGCTCGGATTGCAGACACATTTGTAAGACTTTGAGCAAAGTGTTGACTGCTCCCAATTCCGGTTGACAGAGAACGTCTTGGCAACGACGTACTTTTACACAAATTAGGAATAATTTCAGCAGTACTTGTATCAACTCTCGACATCTGGTTATATTCTGAAGACTTCCAATACGATCGAGCATAACTTTTAGGCCATTACAATCGGCCAATACATTTGCCAGTCGGAACAATTGTTCCGTATCTACTTCTTCCTGGGATTTATTATTCAATGTCTCAACAAATTCTTCGGTAGCATCGCCTAATAAACCTCGCATTCGATATACAATACGCATGGCATCCCTCTCGCCACCTTCGGCCAACCAAATCTTCTTGTAGACATCTTTGACTGGTAAATCGAGACTAATGATTTTATTGTTTACCAGCAATTCCATGCCATTATCATCTTCCAGCAGGGCAATCAGCTCACAATCTGTGCAAATCTTATTTTTAATGTCACGCATCAAGGGTCCCAATCCCTGTTCGCTGGAGGGATAGGGATTGCCCAACATACGACCTTGTAGGAAATCTTCTTGCTGAGGATCCTTTTCGAGCGTCATGAAAAATTCCGATTCATCATTTTCTTCGGGATGTATAATCGAATAGAGTCGTTCGAATATGAAAACAGGTGTTTTTATATCCTTCATTGGTGTCTTCTCAACGGTGTCAATTAGGATTTCCATAAATGCCCGAGTCTCTTCTTCAGTGCCACTGGTCATTTCCTCGAGCATATCCAAAAGCTTTTCTTGCGCATCATCAATTAGGCGGGTTCGCTGCACTACTAGTTTACGTAAAGACAAATAGCCCTCAAGTACCGGGCCCAGAAGACGAGTTTTATAGACTTGGCGTATTTGTGGACTGTCCAGGAAAAGGGCCAACAATTCAACAAATTGACGTAATGCATATCCCTGAGATAGATCCGAAGAAAGTGTGGTCTCCTCTAGGCGGTGAATTTTTTTGATTTCTTCTGCCAACAGTTGCGATATCTCGACGAGAACACCCTTTAGTGCTAAGTATTCACGCCAAGGTGTATCCACTGCTAGTAAACGGTACAAGGACAAAAAGTCTGTGCTGGCCTCACCAGCTTCGCCTACATGCTTCAAGAAGGTCGTAAGTAAATTGAGAATTTCACGTTTACGATCATGGGTCCGACTCAATACGGTGATCAAGGTGCAAACGAGGGGACGTCTAAAGCGGGAATTGTTGTTGAATAAAATTGGTTGCAACCAAGTTGCTGTCAATTGCAGAGGTTTGTAGGGTTGGCCACGATTCAGATGACGCAAACGCCAACGCTGTCCATATTTCTCGCGCAGATAATTTTCCCTCAGCGTTTTCCGACGATTCTCTCGACTTTCAGTGGTGGCACCACTGTTGGCATTCGCAGAACCTGCAGACTCATTTGAAAGTTGTCTCTCCGGAGTGGGTTTATGGGCCACCTGTTCGGCATGCTGAACCGATTCCAGTACAACAGCTAAAATATGTTCATCCTGCAATGAATTCTGGGCCGCTGCTGCGACAAGGGCTTTGTAGCTTTTTGATTGTTGAGCCAGCGAACTGGAGGGCATACGTGCCTTCCAGGCCTCAAATGAGTGTTGCGGGTCATTTTGTAGCCATTTCTGGAAATCGACACTGAGGCCTTCAACACAGTTTATTGAGGACAGTGTCGAGGGACTCAAATCACGTTTCAACTTCGGCGAGGGAATTGTTGGTGATATCAACTTAAGCATTATGTGTAGACATGGCTGTATAACCGAATAAACTGGCCCTCTTGGACACCGGCAGGTGTGTAAGAAGAGTTCAAACACTATTTTCAACTTTTGCTCCCAGCAAAAATCATCCTGCGATATTAAAACTCTTAGCAATTCCATTTCATGGTATATTGCCGAGTCGATATTGGTTAGGGGTATCGAGCCCAGCAAGGCAGACTTGACACGATCACTGATCAATTCGAGCAAATTCATACAGGCATCCTTGTTGTTCTTCGTGAGCAACACCAGCAAATTTCGTACTTCATCTTGGATTTGTGCAGTGCCACGGCGCAGATTATGTTGAGCCAATTCTTCAACCAATCCCTGACTGTACAACACCAATCTGCACTCATAATTTGAGGCCATGGCCCTGAGCAACGTCAAACATTGCTCGGTTGAGGCCAGGGCACATCCGTAACATTTGTTGATATTAAAATTGTCCCGTTTATCGGGAGTGTGTGGCAAACTGCTTTGATCCATTTGACTACGATCGTAGGCCACCAATTCACTGCGACATGCCTTGACTTTTTGCACAATTTTCGAGAGTTCTTCGAAAGATGAACGCGATTCCACGCAGTACTTTTGTGCCAAAAATTGTATGATCTTATTCACCTGCGAATTGCTGTGTATGGTTCCCAAACTCTCATCCATCAAGCGATCAGAAGATCCATGTTCAGCGTATTTTTGCAAAAGCAATTCCAGCATTTGTTTGTTGGCCAACAGTTGGCGATAGATACGATCAGCTCTTTCCAAAGAAGAATGTATAATGTGCACAGTTTTGGCTCGATCCTCTGCCGATTCTATTGGATCAACGGCACAACATATGCGTCCGTAAATACTAAAGTCAAACTTGGCGTATTTGCAGAAACCGCATGAGTGACACAAGAACGGATCCTTTTCGTCGTAATTAATTGCGCGGCATTTATGGCATTGGAATACATTTTCACCACAATTACCGCAAACACCGGGATATGAGGGCACGGCGGCACTACATCTGGGACACTGGAGATTTTCCGAGGAACCCGTTACAGTTTCATAAAAATCAGCATACTCTATCATTAAATTACAGGCCGTAATCGGTAGGGGGAAATCCACCTTAACTTCTGTCTGGCCCGATTGCAGAGTGACAGTACGTGCTTTGTGCCACATGGCTGGTTTGTTCTTTAGCTCCACCACAGCCTGCACTGTACGATTGTTGTAGTAAATATTGATGGTCCTTACCATTTTCGTACGTTTCAAATCAGCAATGCGCACTATAAGTTTGGATATGGTATGACATTGGACCAGTTTTACAATCATGGTACAGGTGGTAAATTTAGAATCCGATTTAATGGATGGCAATTTGATATTGGCCATGGGCACCTCTGGATTGTTGCAAACTAAGCAAGGTTCCGATTCCAAATAGTAACCATTCATTTGCAGAATTTGCTCCAGCGATGTGTAGATAGAAGCATTCGGATGTTTGGAAAGTAAATCGTTTTGTTGTCTCAAAACTTCTACAGCCTTTTCGGTAAACTCTGGCAAACGTTCGGTTATTGTTTTCGTGCTTAACGTCAAATAACCCAAAATATCAACAAATTGGGCTGTACGACGTCCAAATTGCGGCACCAAAGGCCACATATTCCATAAAATATTTATCAATTTCTCCTTCTGTCGTTCGTTGGCATAATCATATATGGCATACACCAAGGAATGGGCCTGCCAGCGGATCGATGTTATGTTGGTTTCCAACAAGAAGATACGCACAAATTTATTCAGCAATGAATCGGAAACGAAGCGGAATATTTGATGGACAAATGTGGAACAATGCGTGGAGTCAAACTTCGAATCAAAAGTCATTTCAATTTCTTCCGATTTATCACGATCTCCACGCATTTTAGAACCACCAGCAACGCTAGATGAGCTGCTACCATTTTCCGATTGCTGTTGTTGTTTTACAGCCTGTATATTATTGCAGAGGGCAGCTTGTAACAATTGTAATATTATTGGCGACACACCATCATCCAGTTGATAACAGGCAATTTCGATTAGAACTGGTATAACATCCTCATGAATGAGACAGAACTTTTGCCAATTTCCGGTACGTATTTGTGAAATTTCCTGGCACGTCCGTAAATGTTCCGTTAGCTCAACTAAAGAGTCGTAGCTAAGAATTGGTATTGATTGATTGGTTAAGACAAGGTTCTGAAAAAAAAGAGTGACGAAAAAAAATTCATTAAAAAAAATAATTAAATAATTTCAAAAGTTGTCGAGAAATACTCGTTTATAGAAGGATGTTTTTAGCAGACCTTCGAAAAATGCGCTCTAATTTGTTCAAAAATTGAAATTTACTCGAATTTGAGTGAGAGCTCTCCCAGGAGCAGAAAAAAATTCGAGCAAGCTCAATTTTTCGATGTTGCTCGAATGAGTGAGTATATTTTCCTCGTATCGAGTGGGAGCAAAATTGGTTCATAATCGAGTTGTTGTATTACTATTTAAGTGTCGTATTCTGTACAATTTGGTATTGGGTGAATAGTGCTTGTAATTTGATATAAGACTCGCCGTTCGAGTGTAGTCGGGACATATGGAGGTGGTTTTGGAAATGTGTTATATAGTTGTTCGAAAAGTGGCACAAAATTGGGTGAAGGAATATAGCTGGAATTTTTTGAAAAAGTTCTAAATGGTACTAATTTTGACTCACAATTTTGTCTAGGGAAGGGATAGAGGTGAAATTCTGAAAGTTGATATTAAAGTCACTTTTGGTTTCAAGGTCTTACATATGTAGAGGTTGAAATAGTTTGGGCAGAAAAACTGAATGTGTGTCCATTGTGCAATGGCTTTACTAATATCCTCCTCGGTAAACTACAAAATGACCGATTTTAAAGACTTTTTGATGGAAAAGGTAAACCATTTCTTATTATTTCTTCCGAAAAAGCAAAAACTTGAAAAATATATGACACCTTCAAGTTTTGATAAAAAACTATTTTTCAATACCCTCCACCATTTGGAAAGATCTTGAATAATTAAAAAAAATGCGTCGAAAAATACCACTTAAATGAAAACCGTTATATGGGGGATATACGAAGACGTGGGCCTGCTTAAGTAATTTTTCCGAACTTGAAATACAAAATGTAAATAATGTCGCTAATATCATCAAATTTGAAATAATTCCAGTGAATAATATTGCTAATATCATCAAAATACCGGATAAAGGGAGATACCGTTATATGTGGGCTATGCAAAGACGTGGGCCTGCATAGAAACTTTCTGGCATAAGTTGTAGTACTCATTTCGAGCTTCAAACTTTAAATACGAAATTTGAAACAATTCCGATCCAAAATGTCACTAAAATCATCAAAATACCGAATATCGGGGCTACCGTTACATGGGGTATATACGATATCGTAACGATTCTCTTCCAAGGAGTAAAATACTCGGAAGCAACTCCTGGTGTGGATTTTGAGACAACTCCATAGAAAAATTTGGCTACAATCATAAAAATACCGAATCGGGAGGTACCGTTATATAGGGGATATACGATATCCCATATAGACAATTATCTTCCGGGCGGTAAAGTACCCACAAAGAACTCCTTGTGTAGAATTTCAGACAATTCCATTGAAAAATATGCCTAAAATCATCCAAATACCGAATATCGAGGTGATATACCAGATCTTGAACTTATATAGAAAATTATCTTACAAGCAGTAAAGTACCCACAAAGAACTCTTTGTGTAGAATTTTAGACAATTCCATTGAAAAATGCGCCTAAAATCATCCAAATACCGAATATCGAAGGTACCGTTATATGGGGGCTATATACGATATCGTGAACCGATATAGCCCATCTTCGAACTTGACCTGCAACAGACAGACGGGGCTAAATCGTCTTAGATTTTTACGCTGATCAAGAATATATACATATATACTTTGTTAGGTCTAAAATTATTATTTCGATGAGTTACAATAAATGGAATAACGAACTTAATATACCCTCCATACTATGTAATGTGGAGGGTATAAAAATGTTGGCAAACTAAACAAATTGTGCATCTTGAGTACTAAAAAATTTTAAGGTGGAGTTTTCGCTGGCGAGTTAGCCGACACTTGCTAGCTTCAAATACAAATAAAAAGCTCTTAAAAATTCAAGATGACAGCCAATTTTTTCAATAATACAGAAAATTAATCTTCTCTCTTGCCATTAAAATGTGCCTTAAAATGGTTCCAGTCCCAGTGTTGGGATATGCTCTTTTGAATGTTTTTAAGAGTCACCCTCGAACTTTTTTGATATATCCACCCTTCAAAATCAACTGCAAATTAACCTGTTTAAAACAAAATCAGTATGTTTTCTCTACCGAAACCGTGAGTGGCGCTGTTCATTAGTGATTTTCTGGTTCATATTGTTGGTTATTTGAAATGCCTGGGTGCTAACTTAATTATTAACTAAGGAAGACTCTATTCCCTAAGAGCTAATATGAACAAATTTGTGGGTATTCATCTACCTCCTCCATTAACCAAAACGCTGCAACGGTACGTATTTTCATTGAAGGAACCAGCAGGCCATAATTTGTGGGCGAGAATTGTTATAAATACCGCAAGCAAATATTTCTAACAAAAATAGGATTAAGTCTGACCATTTTTAAACAACAAAACTAACTACGGCCTACCAACAGATTAATGCCAACACTTTTCTATTGATATGTTTTCATCGATTTGTGATAATTGTCGTGCCTGCTTGCGTAGCTTATTAAGCCTCATTTGCAATAAAATGAAAAAAAAAAAAACTAAAATAAAAAATTACTCACCTTCGTATTGTATAGATTACACAAATCTTTAACATAATTAAAGTGTACATCCAATGAATGGCCATCACGGAACATTCTAAATTTCTCCTTGTTACCACAAATGTACATCAACAGCTTCCGCACTTGACGCCTCAATAAGGCATTCAAATTTAACATCATGTATTCACACAAAGTGTAAGTCATATTTTCACAATATGAATGATACCAGTCATAGGTGCCGGGATGTGTGGCCGATAGACGTAAAATTTGATACGGCAGACGTACAGACATTTCAGTTAGAAGGGCATCGTACGATTCAAATATGTCGGGATAGTTTTTCAAATAGTTATGTGGTATCAGTGTTGACAAATCAGGCTTGGGACCATAACGAATTGGTTTTAAGAGGCTATTCTGTGTTGGTGTTACCGCCGAACCACTGACAACAGGCGTAGTAACACTATTACTGGGACCAGTGGCAATTGCACTAACAATACCACTCGCTGCCGCCGCAGCAACCGATGCTTGATTTTGTTCGCTGGATACACGTTTCCAATGTTGCAATAATGATTCCATAACAACCAAACAGAATGTAAAGGCTCCATTATTGCTTAGAATGCTAGCTGTGGTACTGGCCACAAACGAGGCGTTATCCTTGAATTGATGTGGTGGTGAAGTTGTTCCAGCCTGTTTCGATTTCGTTTTGCCCATTAGAACACCGAAAAGAGACAGTAGGGCCAAACGAACTTCATTTTTAAGATTCTTGTCTTTCATCTAGAATTAAAAACGGAAATTAAAATTGCATCACATTACATTTCTGATTTACACAAAACATACCTTCGAAGCATTTGAAATGGAGTCCATTTCAACATACTCAACTAGAGCTGTAAGTAGATCGTTTAAGATTTTCTGGTCACGCTCATTGTTACCATTCAAATCGGTGGTCAGCATTAGTATGACCTGGATCAATGGTATGGCTTGCAAACCATTGCAGTCATCAAGAGTCTTGATGTTGGAGATGATGCTACCCAAAATTGCAATTCTGTGAAAAACGAGACATTTATTAGATATAGATTTAAAGAGGCAAAAACGCTAAAATTACCTTAAATCGTGTAACTTGGCCAATTTTTCATCTTCAGTAGCATCATTATCTTCGGTATCGTTGCTTTGACTGGCCTCTAAGGCTGCTGCTCGACTCGTTGTTGGCATTTCTGTAGGTGCAACGTTGGTTAGGGCGCTAGCACCAACTGCTGTTCCTGCTGCTCCTTTAGCAGAACTTCTGGCACCTGTCATGCTACCACCGCTGGCACGTGGCGGTGAAGCTGTGGCACCACCACCATCACCTTCATATGTACTGCTTCTACCCGAGGTACCTCCAATTGATTCAACACCACTGCCTCCACTTTCTGAACCACCACTTCCCACCGGTTCAGCAGGTGAAGTGCGTAGGGTTGAACCATCTGTTGCCACATTGGAGCCCTCATCATCTGAGCCAGCAGCTGAAGACACAGCAGCCCCACCGCTGCCACTACTACCACCACCACCAGCCGCAGCCGCTGCCACAGCCTGTAGTTGTTGTTGAGCGTGTTGTAATTGAGCGGCAGCATTGCGCATTCCTTGCAAATTCGAAAGTCCTTGTTGTAAATGTTGTAGAGCCGGTTCGGCTCCACTGCCATCGTGTTGTTGTAAACTTAAAGCAATGGCAATATCCATAATGGCTTCATCATCTGCATCTTGTTGTAGTCCCAAAAGTTGAGGGAAACCGCTACCCATAAATGCTTCCAAAGGATCTACCAATGCATTGGGGTCATTGGCTACTGCACCGGGAACTGTTACATATTCCGCACTACCGCTACGTTGCACGGAAGAGGGCGGTGAAGAAGACCCTCCACCAACAGCTGCCACCACAGGATTTACTATACCGGCCGCCTCATCTAAGGTGTCATCCTCGTTACCCATACCAGCTGCACCTACCACAGCTGCAGTATTGACCATAGAAGCAGTGGTTGATAATGCCGGCGGCGTTGGTGTAGAACACAATGTTGGTGTTATAATGGCCACTTTTCTGCGCTTAGAACGTGGACTAAGCAACAATATTATGGCCTCTTTGGCGCTGTGGGATATAACACTGGATTCGTTTTTCAATAGTTTTATAAACATCAAAGTAACCCTCTCCACTTGAGAAATGTCGGCCAAAGCAAACGCATGCATTATCTCGACCAGACAATGTACTATTGTCTCAGTGTGTGACAGACCTTGGCGTACAATTGATGTTGGCTCATCTATGGCTGGAGTGATTTCGTATAGCTTTTCCACGAATTCCATTAAATCAGCAACTATTTCGAATTTATTGTCCAAGCAGATTTTCGTCAATGTCATGGGTCTTGTTGTGGCAATGCCACGTACCATAAGAACCAAGCGGTAGAAGGCTTCAGGATCTATGTCTCTCAATGTTTCACGACTGGCTAGCTTGGATTTGAGAACCTATAGGATGATGGGGGAAATAACAAAATTAACATATCGTTCCATATATTTGTAATTGCTTGCTTACCTTCAATTCATCGTTGACATATACCAACATTTCATAATCCTTGTAATTGTGATAGGCCTGGCGATTGCCAAAGAGTGTGGCTAAAACATATCTTGATTGTACCTGCACCTGGTTAGGAGTTGGCAACAATAACAAAGATGTCGCAGTATTTGTGGCCTTTTGTTTTATAGTACCAGTCAGGGCATTTGTACCCAATAGACTTAATGAACAATCGAGTACTTCCAGCAGCATAGTTACCATTCTATCCAACTGGGTAATGGAGTTGAAGCCTTCATAGCAAGTTCCAGAGGTACCCATAACACCATATGATGTAGCAGTTGCTGAACCACTACCGGCGACATTCGCTGAAGACGATGGCCCACCACCAGCAACTTCATCCGTATCATCGGGCCAACCAACTAAATCTTTAGATTTACCATATACCTCAATGGAATCAAGCATGCAAACATTGTCGGGATCTCTTGATTTTCCAAATACCACCTTGAGGCATTTGTCACATTGCAACATTTCTTCTCGTGTCAGTGGGATATCAAACCATCGAGCTCGACGTACTGGTGTTGGTATTGTCCTACCCAATATAGTAACACTTTGTGGTGCTCGGTGTGGATCTTGTGTTCCCAGCAGTACCCGTATTCCCACAATAACCATATTGTTCGGATCATTATTATATATTTCCAATGTAAAGCCGGTTGCCTTGGTAGAGGCAACATACATTCCCGTAGAGAAGAGGCGTATTTTAAGCTTCTGTTTATTGTAGATTTGTAACAAATCATTGCCACCAAAATCAACGTCTGGCAGCATGGTACAATGTTCGAAAAAGTCAATGGGGAAAATGGGATTGCCGTTCGGACCTGTTGTCTTTTGTTGATGACTTGATTTACGTTTCGATTTTTTACTCGCTCCATTGGAACAAGTTGATTTGCTACTCAAATTCGAGGTGTACAATTGATTACTTAACGGTTGGACCTGTGGCGAAAGCCAGAATGAGGTTGTCTCCTGATTGGCTGTAAATATTCGCAGGCTTCCATCTTCACAGAGTAATATAAGGGTTGTTTTCTCAACGCCAGCCACTGTATGACGTATGGCAACCATATCCATAATGCGAGACTTGGAGGATTGGGCCTTTATTTCTTGCATCAGAATACGTTCGGGTGTAAACATAAATATAACTGGATTATTAGATGTGTGCATCATGGCACAGATAAGACCTGGATGGCCGGGTATTTCCGTCCACTGACATAGAGGCTGTGGTGGACCCTTGGAGGAATTCTTCGAGGAACCGGGCGATATTTGTAGATGGGTAATACATCTTACTCCCTTGTTGACATCTGTTAGGGGAGCAACAAAACTTTTGCCAACCGAATAACTGAAGAACAACAATTGCAGGGTATGCGAGTAGTAGATGGAAACACCACCACCTCCCTCCTGTCCATTGACATCTTTAATTTGTGTATGATTTAATTCCAAGGTGTTTGTTACATAGAAATCTCCATGTTTGGCCAGTGATTGATCGTCAAGTTTTTGATAGTATATATAGCCGGATGAGGCTATTATAAGCATGTAGTAAACACCATCCTGATATACAAAACAGCAGTCACGTATTTTGCCCACTGCCACCAGGAAATAGTATTTTGGACTATAGGTATCCTCCGAAAGTTCATAAATTTTAACATAGTCTGCAGTAACCAAAGCCAGCATAGTTTGGGATCCTGGCAGCCACAGGGCTTTCTTAATGAAATTACCATTCTCCAGTTGTGGGGTCAAAACAATGTGCTCACTTGTGGCCCCGGTGTTGGTAAATGTGAGTATGTGGCATTCTTTCAAACCACATACGGCCAAACAATCTTCATTGGCTGGATTTGCAGTCAACGAGAGCACAGTACATGGTATGGGAGCCGAAGATAGTTGTGTCAATGTCAGTTTACGTTTGGCAGCATCCTGTTTTAGCAAGGCTGACAGTTGAAGAATTGTTACTTTGCCTTTTTCATGGGATACAGCCAAGTGCTGGCGTTTGCCGTGGGGCGAAGAAAGGCAACACAAGGCTACTCGTCGCACCAAACCGGATGATAACAATTGTTTAATGGTTTGTCCCTGATCGCCGGAATAACTCATGCGTACATTCTCAAAGGCACCTTCTTGCGAGCCCAATGTTGGTAACATCAATTGATCGGTATGTTGGAACGTTTGTTCTCCATGGAGACGCAAAAGCGCTGCTTTTGCTCTACGATGACAGCCCACAATCGAAAAGAGATCACAATTCTCTTTGATGGCTGGCATTATAACATCAAAGAACTCGAGAATACATTTCACAATATTAGTCCACTGGTCGGTGTTTTGTAGGGCTTCTTTGGAACCCTCCAATAGTCTGGAGAGCAAAGAAATGCGTTCGTTTGTCGCAGAGGAGGACATTAGGAAATTATTGGTTGTCATTTGCAAAGCTGAATTGGAATTTTGTTGTTGTTGCTGTTGGTGATGTTGCTGTTGTTGTTGCTGGCTTAAACAGCTTTGAGAGGGCGGTGTTTGTGCACGTTTCGACTGTGACAAGACGCCACTCGTTCCACTGCTATTGCTACTGGAGTATATTCCCGATGTTGAATAGTCACTTTGTTGTCCACGACTATCTCCAGTCGTTGTACCGCTAGATACCCGCCTTCTCAGAGCCTGACAAGAACCATCCTCTTTGGCACCACAGTCACAAAAGAAATTTCCATATTTAGCATAACTAACGTCATGTCCCTTGTGACAAACTCTGGCACATACCGAACAAACACCGACTGTATTGACCATATTGCAGGTGTGGCAATGATACCAATGTTGATTCATAAATTCCTTTTGCGTTAAGGAGAACGTACACAATTTGTTGTTAAGGCTATCCTCGTCCGAGTCCTCAACAAATGAGTCATCGTCTCCTTGCTGATCGTTGGCAAGATCGTCCATTAAATCTTCCAAATCGGTTTGAATGTCATCATCCCAGGCAGGCTGTTGTTGGTGTTTGCTGCCTCTGTGTCCCAAACTTTGTAGCAACTCATGCAGATATTTTAACAGAGCATTAACGTTTTCCAAGATGTTGGGCGACATTATGAGCGACTTGTGTAGACTCTGGGTCTTTTCTAAAATCTGGAATTTGGTAATTTCCAACCACATAATGGTGGCATTGAACAGTGTTGAATGGCCCTTGCCTTGGGCACAATCGGCCAAGCAAATCATTATTTGTAGAATATCAGAGAAATCATTGGCCTCATGTGAAGATGGAGAAATCAATGTTTGACCCAGTTGAAGCAAAGACTGGAATAAAAGCAACGCCACGGCATTATTGTTGGTTGTGTTTGAGCCGATTGCGGTTGTCTTGCCATCATGTACAATATATTTGATAACATTTAGCAGTAGAGCTCCATTTCTTTCGCTCTGTTGTTGATTTTGTAATTGCTCGTCTTGAGTGGTAGACAAAGGTTCTGACTGATTTGTAGCCAAGAAACTGCTATTACCAGCCGTTGTGGTTTGTTGAGGCCAAATACTCAGCGATTGCGCAGCTGCCGAGCTATTCTGTTGAGTGGCTGAAGCCGCAGCCGCAGCAGCTGAGGGTTGATTTGCGGCATTGTCTTCATCTATTGCTTCTGCATTGTCCAATGTTGACGATTGATTGCCAAATTGTTCCGATAAAGAGGCTATGGCAGAAATGGTTGCCATATTTGTGGGTGTCTGGGCATTACTGGATGAAGTGCTGGATGTTGTGGCTGGCACACCTGTGGCCGAAGATTGTTTTTCCACGGGAGTTTCTGTTTGTTGTGAGATAACACTTTGTGGGCCATAAATAACATGTGTTAGCCAACACTTGATACGTTGTTGCTCAACACTGGCCAACTCTCCAAAGCAACTTCTCAATTCCTCTAGTGGGAATGCCGAGTCTGGTTGCTGGGCTATTTGGAATAGTTTTTCAACAAATTCTAAGAGTTTACGAGCATAAGACATTGATAGATTAGTACCCGTAAAGGACAACAACAAATCCACCAAACTGGGTTTAATCGCCGTCGGAGAGGTGTCAGTGCTTTTCTGGGTAAAGAATTGATGTATGGCTTTAATACCCATGGGTTTCTCCAACATTGCAGACATTGACTTAACAAACGCGAACAATAGCGATTCATCAAATATCAAACTTTGCTGCACCGAGGGTGGGAAGTTCTTCGCTTCCTCAGCATATTCCATTAGAAAACGATAGTGATATTTCAGTATATAGTTGTATGACATGAATTGCTGTTGCTCTGAAGCTTGATCGACTCCCTGCATTAATGTTAGCAAACATTTCTCGGCAATATCGAAAACATATTCCATGCGTGCGTCCATCATAGTCTCTATGAGCATGGGTTTTAGTTGCTCTTCTATGAGGGATTTGCAAGCGCTATCCTGCTGCCATTGTTGTTGTGATGATGTCAACAAAAGATTCATCAAACTAAAAAGACTCTTCAGGCAATGCTTGAAAGAATTCAAAGTCGAGTAGTAATTGTCTCGGGTCAATTCAGTAATGTGTGATTCAATTACGGTAAGGGTATACACTTCAGCGGGGTATTGTTGTGTTTGCTGACCACTATTGGATGTATTGAAAATAGCATCGGACACTGGCAGGGATTCACACCAATCACCTGTTATAACTTCCTTATTTTTATTGTCCAACAATTTTAGGAATTGTGAACATAAATCTGTGCAATATGAATTATTGGAATTTACAATGGCCAGTATACATTCCAGAATATTATCTGGCGTAACATTGGCCAATGGTAAAATTTGCACCATTTTGTGACGAACTGTATCGCGTAGAACTTTGTACGTATTGACCAACATTTGTAGAAGTTCTTTAGATGATTGGTGACGTTCTTGCAAGGCAATAGCATTGCCAGAATCAGATTCACTCTTTTGTTCATTATTATCAAATTGCGTTGAAGCATATGTCGATTCGTCGGCACTTGCTCCAGCTGCTATCGGCGAAGAACCAGTAGTTGGACTTGCTACTGCTGTATTACTATTTGAAGAGGATCGCTGGGGCTTAATGCCCTCCTTTTCAGCCCAAGCAACGGCTTGCATGTGCGATAATAAAGCATCCAATAAAATTATATATGAGAGTGGTGGATTGGCTATAAATAAATAGAGAAAATTATTATAATAATTTTTAAATCACTTCTTTTAAATTATCTAAAATATGGTATTGGGAACTTGCCTTTGTTAATATGTTCATTGCAAGATTCAATGCCCAGAATTGTTTGTTTCAAACTAAAACGTACATCACTGACACGATCGGTTATGGTATTCCACAAAGTTTCGGCGAATTGCGTGTACATGCCTTGTTTAATTAGACTGTTGACAATAAGATAATGCGAAGTTGGGCAACGAATGGACCATAGCAGTGAATGCAAATTAGGTTTCTTGTCAACTTGTAGTTGCTCGACATGTGTGGTTGATGGCGGTAGACCCAGCAATAGCTTCCAGCATATGCTAAAGCAATAACGTATGGCACACAGAGTATGTGTACTATCTCGAGAATGCCATGACAGTGTCATATCCGTAATGCCCAAAATATCAATAAGTGCATCTACCAATAAGGGATATTTTAATTTGTCCGGGGTGCAGAGGATGAAATTCCATGCCAAACCATCTAATTTGAACTCTTGATTTGTTGGAGATGTATCTCCTACAAGAGTTAGCGAGTAGAACGTCGGACGAATATCTGAAAACAGAAGAACAACACAATAAATAAATTTAATCAACCTATGTTTATATCCTAAACTCACTTGACATACAATCAGCTGCACTTCTACGAAACTCATCCTCGATGTCTTTGCGAACAAACGAAGTCAGTTTGGTCTTATTATTCAATAAATCGGCAATCTTTTGATTTTCATGCATAGTGCTAATGCTGAAGAGATTCCATCGGACTGAATCCAATAGCTCTGATGGGGCATTGTACAAATGTTTCATCAGATATTCCAAGAAGAGAAGTAAACGGGATAGCAAAATAATTTGACTATTCCTTATGGGTTTGTCACTAGATATATCACGACAAACTTCGGCACACCGTATCACACCACCGGCTGTTAAAAGTAGTATAGATTTCTTTTGCATTAGATTCAATGAATGGAACAGGAAAAGCAAAAGCTGGGCATGCTCCATATTAAGGTCCTCATAATCAACATTTGTTGGAGGATTTGTCGAAGATGATCCACATACGCCCTCTACTAGAGTATTGATCAAACGATGCCAAACAGAAAGACAGGCTGCTTCTTTTTCTTGCGTGGGTTTTAGCAATAAAATCTGTACCAATACTGAAAGAGTGCTTGGGTAGACCTGCAATGGCCATGTGTTGGTTTCGCTGGACCAGGGCGATACTCCAAGATGTTGCAAAAGATTTGACTGCAAAGATTCACTCAGCAAAGACGCCGATACCAAATTGTGAAGATAACGTCCAACTGCTCCGGAAAATCTTATCATTGCCGATTGCCATTTGTTGCATGTGTTGGTTTCTGTTTCATTTCCTCTGGCGGAATCACGATCTAAATCTTTAAGTATGTTAGCCATCAAAAGCATTTGCTGATCAGATAGGCCAGCCTTAACGTATCTCTGAAGATAACTATGTTTTTGGGAGAAAAATTGATCCATGAAACAGAAAATTTGTGCCGCCAAATCCAGGTATTCATGAGGCTCATCTAAGGCTGGTACTAAATTCGATTTCTGTCCTTCATTGTTCTTATCATTATTGTCAACCGATTGATTCTCATCGGCCGATTCAGGTTGAAGAGTTTCTTTAAACCAATGACCCAGATAACTTTCACTATCATCCTCCTCTGAATTGTCTGAGCATGAAAGGGTATCATTAAAATACGTTGTTGAATCTGAGTAGCTTATTGGTTCACATTCTGTACGATCTTTAGTGTTTGCACGTTTCAAATTGCAGGCTTTACGGTAGGTAACAGTGGCCAAGAAGGTAAACAGCTGATGTAATGTGGCTGTGTTAAGGACACGCATTACTCTTTGCAAAGTTGTATAGTTTTCTAAGACATCAAAATTTGCCGGCTCTGGCAAAGCAGCTGTAGAAGGTTGGCTTTGTCCTTGCTGCTGCTGCTGTTGAATATCCATAGACGAAGTTGTTTCGATTTTTAAATCATCTATAAGTTCTGTCAAGAGTTTTATACAGTGATTGGCAATGGCTGCGTTCAAAACACCAAATCCCTGTTGAACTTTAAAGAGATTTACACGAGCAGATGCAGTTGGTTGAATACTTTCACCAGATTTACTTTTAGCCTGTTTCGATATATCATCTTTACTCATACTTGTACTGGTACTGCCTGAAGCGCCCAAAGCTCCTTGGATACCGCTTACCAGGAGCCATGCACCGAAACATAGATGGTTTTGATAAATGTGTGAACGAGCTGATTCTTTAAACATTTGTCCAATAGTTGTATAAATTTCCAATGCTTTGTCGACCACTGTGCGGGCATTCTCTTCGTTGTCATCGGCATCCTTACTCGATGATTGTGTAGACAATGAAGCAGTTGATCCGCCAGAGGTTGTTGATTTTTGGGTACTTGCCGTAGACGACATATTCAAAACACTGCTGGCAATTGAAGCTAAAACAGCGCAATACAAGGCGGAAATAGCACATTTCGAAAGTTTAGCTATGCGACTGGGTGTCAATGGTTGTAAAATAGGTAATGTCAAAGCTTGTGACAATATGGAGATATCGGTGACCATATGTGTCAAAGTGTTTCGTATTTGTGTGGCTTCTACTTGTGTCAAAGGCAAATACAATGGTTTGCCAGCCAAGTTAGCGATGGTCTCTTGATATTTAAGACGATAACGGGTCAAAATTGGTAATGACGAGCAGACATCCAAGATAATGTCCGCCCCATTCAAAGACTGTAGATATGCAGCATTTGAAGCGAATACCTCCTAAAATCAAAGATATTTATGATAACAATGCACTTGAGTTATTCAGATTGCATTACTTACTGAACAGTCGGTTAACTCTTCGCTGAGGGGAGCCCATGTCATTTTACCGGCTTCCAATGGCGCTGTTAACTGATGTATAATTATAGAAGACAAATCGGAACGAGATCTTTTTATCTCCGATTTAGGTGAATCCTTTTCTCCAGCATTACTACCACCACCTGTGGAACTACTGGCGGCAACAATACTTTTTGTATTTTCTGGGTATTTGCTGCTCTTCAGCACAGCCGCGACAGCATTATAATCAAATTGCAAGACATTTGTTGAACCAGCACCTGCGGTGGCACTGGTATTTGAGGAGCTAGCATTATTACTGCCTGCAGTTGCTCCAGCACCGCCAGCCCCTGCACTTGTTGCTGTGGATGTTGATTTCGTTTGAGATGAAGTTGATGGTTTGCCTTCGCATAGGCTTTTCAAAGCCGGTAACAACCATTTTATTTCATAGACGCAGACCTTGCCCAAGCGCAATAATATGAATCGTATTAGAATGGCGCATGCCTCATGAATTTGTGTTTGTGAGACTGCTGGAAAGATAAAAAAAAATACAAAATGTTATTATTTTACCCATGTTAATGAATATAAAACAATTAAATTAAGTCGACTTTTCACAGGAATTTGATGAGTCACTTCGTCATAATACTTCTATATAAAAACAAGTTGAATCATATGAATTACTTTTCTGACTTGGCCTCAATGTAGTCTGAATTGTATCTGCTAGAATATGCGACTAATAATTTCCTAAAATATCATGTCTTTGGACAAGTCTTAGTGGACTCAGAGCAATTAATAGCAATCGTACAACAATATCAATCTAAGGCAAAACTCCATTCTTAGAATACATGGTTAACATTGAATCACATCGCATTCCAGGACCACTTGCAATACACTCAAGGAAATTGAAAATTATGACGAAAACGGGCTAGCAACATGACCGAGTATCTGGTGCCAGAGTTGAAAAATAAATGCAAACACCGAAGCCTGGACAGTCGCGAACATATCATCACGATCTTTTCTGGGGTCATTAAACATATGTGGTTCTGTAAAACCAAAGTTCTCCACAAAAACACATTATTCTCTTCTTATAAGAAACTAAATATGCACAGAGAATTTTTTAAATACAAAATAGAACATTTTCCTTTCGATTACCCCCTTTTAAATTAATGAAAGCTGTGTCTCAGCACTCCATTTTTCTTTCAAGAAAAAATAATAAATAAATAATATTCTTTGACAATTGACTACTTGGTAAATGTCTCAACCCATCTATAACGGTACATCTTGTCACCCTGTGTGTCGCCATTGCATACATACAATTTTTCCTGCACTTACCATATTTGCATTGACTCAATTTATCCGCAGCTAAGGCAGCAAAAGCCGTATAAAACTGCAAATGATTGTTATCCTCGTCGAAAAACTCATTTTCACTGCAAAATAAAATGAAATATTCTTAAACTTGATGAAAGAATTTCGCAATAACTTGCAAATTTTATGAAGAAGAAATTTCTTTGTTCAGTTGCCGCATACACACATACGCACAAGTTTTGGCATAACTTCTTTTGCATTTTTCTCTGTCAATAGTTAATATTTTGACAAAATTCCTTTTCACTCACCTTCGCGTGATAGCCTTAATTATATTAAGGATTTCATTTTTATTTGTTAATGCGTAACGATTATTTAAAAGAGGTTTTACTACGGAGCTCCAATCGCCCCCATGAGCAGACATTTTTATAATATTAGGTATACGAAAGTCGACTTTCGACTAGCGCTAGAAAACTTTCGATGACACCATCGATGTATCGATATTTTATTTGATCTAGTAATAAGTTTGTCTGCTCGCCATTCAGACACCTCGCATCTCATTATCTTTTACATTACTCTCTTTTGTTTAACATTAATATTACACCTCATCCCATTCGCACGTAGCATATTTATGCACAATCAGGCTAAGTTAGAAAAGGACAATAACAGTTCTAAGATTATATGTTAATCACTTTCGCTTTATATGTTAATCACTATCGCTTTCATCGATACCTTAACTACATGTTTTACGAATATTTAAAATCCAAAAAATGTCTTTTATGAAAACATGTTCGGTGTAAACATGGTACAATTAATGTTTTACGAATATTTAAAATCCAAAAAATGCCTTTTATGAAAACATGTTCGGTGTAAACATGGTACAATTAATTCAAGCTAAGCCATAGCAAAATCCAATTCAATTTTTTAGTTTAATCAGTTTGTCGTTAGTATTATTTTTATAGTTTATATTTTTATATTGGCGGATAGAGGTTTATGAAGTAATTAAACCTAAAAAAGTTTTATTGAAAATTGTAAAGTATTGCAACAGATTATTAATATTTTGTATTGTGTTTATAATCTTTGGTATTTTGTGACATATCATTGAAGTATGCATCCTCCCTAGCGTACAGTAAATGGTCTTTTTTCTATCACTCTTTTTTTTTCAAGATTATCCTACCTTGTAGTATTTGTGTAATTCAGACTTAATCCATGTTCCAATCATGGTACAAAGAAGACAAGGTAGGAGAAGTTTAAGATAGTTGAAAAAATAGACCTACTTGTACGAGTTATAGGAATTTGAATTTGTTACTAGAGGTAGGTATTTGTAATCTGATTCCGGGAAAGAATTTTTTCATGGTAGCTATGGTCTACCTTAAATTCATGGTACTATGGTATCTTTGCTCATTCGATGAACCCATGCTAATGAACCACACATTTGGTTTTGGGGCGAAAAATGCTTAGAAAACCCTTATAGGAATTTATCGATCTTCGGATCTCTGCATGCATTCGTAGTTTTTGTTTTGATTTTTATTTTTTATCATGTACTGCCGCTTTCGACTTGGTTCGTTACGGCGACATTTTATTATAAGGAAGCTTTGTAATCCATTATATTAGTTTGCTGGCGTCGTACGTGAATATGTTGAAAATGGAATGAGAAGAAAATGTGATTTATTGACGTGCAATTAAGAAATAAACTTCTGAGAAATATGAATTGAATGTGAATTTACAGTACAGTAGTTACACGAACAGATTTTATAGAAATCGTTGCAATGGATACGACAACAGATTCAATTCAACAATTACCACAACAAAACGTGGCAGTTAAGGTATTGTTTCCATGCAGTGCCATATTTCTATTGTTGAAGTCTAGCATTGATGTGTAAATCATTTATCGTTTCCAATGATATACCTATGTTTTCTCCCTTTTAGAATAATCCACATGCAAGCCTTCTACCTCAACAACCTGCATCCGCGCCTATCGAAACCAATGAAGCGCAACATGACGTAAAATTACAGTAAGTGGTCCAGAAAGCTTTCAATAGCCCATATCTCCTTTAATAGCATGTTTTTGTTTGTAGAAATGTTGTGGCAACGGTCTCATTGGCATGTGAATTAAATCTTCAGGACATAAATAATCGTACCAGAAATTCCGAATACACTCCGTCACGATTTCATGGCGTTGTAATGCGTATGCGTGATCCCCGATGTACAGCTTTGATATTCCGCACCGGCAAAATAATATGCACTGGGGCACGTAATGAGTCAGAGGCTTCGCTTGGCACACGAAAATTTGCCCGAATCATTCAAAAACTGGGATACCCTATAAAATTTACCGATTTTCGTCTACAAAATATTGTTGCGACCGTCGATTTAAGATTCCCAATACGTTTGGAGAATCTAAATCAAATTCATGGTCAATTCAGTTCCTATGAACCTGAACTATTTCCTGGTCTGATTTATAGAATGGTTAAACCCCGTATGGTATTATTGATATTTGTAAATGGTAAAATTGTTTTTACTGGTGCCAAGGCGAGAAAGGATATCTTGGAGTGTTTAGATGCAATCTATCCGATTCTCTTGAGTTTTCGTAAAAATTAAGCTATTAAAATTAACATGTTATATTAAAAATAATTAGGAATATTTTTATACAATTATGAAAATTAAATATAAACAATTGAAAAAACGTTTGTAATTACGAGTGATATGCCAGTTTGTACATAAATAAAATATAATTCATTATGAAACTAGAAATATTTTAGTTTATTTTGCAAAGTTGGACGCAAACATACGTAATGTTTGGAGAAAGGAGCGGCTTTTATTTATAAAAAAGCGTCGATTCGACTTGCCTTTAATGATAAAAATCCATTGTCATAGATTTTTAGAACACAAAAACAAATACGCATAAAAAATTGACTGTCGAACAGTTCCCAATATATATCCTTAGTTGCCTTATGATTGACAACGTTGAATATTTGATCCAATATTGGTTTTTTCTTGTCATGTCATTTTTTCAATGGGACAATGAACTGTCAAGCCAATTTTGGAATTTAATGATTATTCAAATTTGTAAACATTTTTGAAAAACGCATATTTTAATAACCTCTGATTGACATCGTATAAGAAAACATAAAAATTGCATATATTTGAAAAAAAAAAAAAACACTTTAAAATTTTTGACATATCAAAGTTCCCAAGCGTTGATGCATCTACCTGTATTCTTTTACCATGCCCTTAAACCAGTCGAAAAATCGTTTTACGTATTCTCATCTTTAAAGCTTGAAATCCTTGCATGACATATTTTGTGACATATCATTAAGGAATGCCAGTGCCGCACTCGCATCCTGCCGACACAAATTGCAAAACTAGTAGAAATAGAGCAAGGATTGCATGAGTTTATCTTCTGGCATGGTACAATGAAGGCAAGGTAAGATAAATTTGAAAAAATTGCAAGTATAGAGGTCTACCGGTTTGGCTTGTAATGTCAGAATTACTATCAAAGCAATCGAAAAATCAAAAAACTTTTTGCATCGATTTGGAATATTTGAAAATCGCTAAAATTGAATGAAAGGTCAAAATTTCTTTTCAAAATCATGTTCTATATATCTCTAAAGTTTTATTTCGCTACAAAAACTGTAGATTTTGCCTTTGTATACGTTGCAATAAGCATTTTGAAAACAACCGATTTTGAATATTTTCTTAACAAAGTAATAAAGCTGACATATTAAGCAAAAAAAAAAATAATAAATAAATCACAACCCTACCTTGATTTTATTGTACCATGCCTTCTGGTAAGTCTGATTTAATGCTAAGTACACAGTCCCTATGCCTTATTCGACCATTAACTAAGAAATATCTACTTAATTTTGTTCTTTGTTCCATTCAAATCACTCTCAGAACTAAGATGACAAATGACAGCATTTATCAAAAAAAAAAAAAATAAATAAATAAATAAATAAATTATGGCATTTAAAAATTCAAAATAGAAAAATTTAATAAAATTTTAAAATTTTTTGGGAAGACTGAATTAATGAATGAATTATGAATGAAAACTACAATATTGAATAGCGTATGTACATTCAAACGAAAGTAAATTTAGTTTTCTTTCTCATACGAGGTACGCATTTTGTCCACGGGTTGAAATTTCCACAGAAAACTGGAAACAAATGATGCAAAATTTTCAAAATGTTTGTATCGGCAGAAAAAATGGTTGACAAGTGTCTCTCCAGCAGAATTTAAAAATAGAAAAATTCAAAAATATTTTAGAAATGTCGACATTTACAGAAAAATTTGAAAACATCAATGAAAATTGTAAAATTAATGATATAATAAATCTTTGGGAGAAAAACAATAATTTCATCTATTCCCATTAAAATCAACAAACATAATTTTTGAAAAAGAAAGGTTAATTCATGTACCTAATTCCATGGCAGAAGAATACAGGTAGATGCATCAACGCTTGGGAACATTGATATGTCAAAAAAATTTAAACGTTTTTTTTTCAAATATAAGTAGATTTTTATATGTTTTCTTATACTACGTCATTCGGAGGCTATTATAAGTTGTGTTCCAGTACTTTTTTAGTAGTAAAACTAGCAGAAGAGAGAACAGTTCGAAATGTCATTCTCATTTAGGTTTGCTCAAAAAATAAGGGAACGGAAAATTAGCAGAAATGCGATAAAATGTCAAAATTCATAATTCCAAAAGTAAACAGCCTAAATCGGACTGGTGAAACCTTACTGAAAAGAGCGGCAACATTTAAAAAATGAGTATTGAAGACGATAAGTTAAAATTAATAATTTATAATAATAATTAATAATCTGATTCCTCATTCAGCCAGTCCTCTTTACTGCTGGAATCATCCAAAAGTGAATACGTCAGTTGCTCCATATTTTCTCTTTTTGTTTTTTTGCACTACAAATATTAGTTTTTCCTTTAGTTTTCAAGTTGATCATTTTCTTTATTGAAATGTATCAATACATTTTTCAACCTTGTTAGCCCTGCCAATTAAATGTCAAATTTACAATATGCACATTTTTGCTCGGCCAAATTCATGTAGCTAAAACAAGCAGAAATGTGCACCACTCAGCGCCATTTTTTTCTCGAGAGAGCTGCAAGTTTTGCTAGTTTTTGGAGTACGGGAACGCGTTGTAGCAGAATTAGTGCTAATTAGTACTAATTTGCAGGTTCTGGAACACAACTATAATTCGCGTATTTCAACAATTTTTACAAATTTAAATAATTTTTCATTCAACATTTGCAATTCCAAAATTAGTTTGACAGTTCATTGTCCCAGCAGCTGTGTCGACGCGTCTACCTATATTCTTCTACCATGCCTAATTCTGAGACCGAACAATTTGATTGAAAGTGCAATGAGAACATAGCATAAGTGAGTTAATTCTAATTTGCCCACTCAAGTGTCTATGAAAACAGGCAACTCTTCGTTTAAAGTTGACCAAAAAGTCGATATGTGGAAAACGATTATTTGATATTTTATCGAAAGCATGTCGAGTCTACTAATAAATCGATTGGCCAAAAGTCGACTTAAGTATCACTAGATCGGCAGAGTTTTTTTGTATTTCCAAATAAACACCCGGGGTCAAAATATAAATAATTTAGTATCTTTTCTAATTGTGATAACGGCGATAATACGGCATCAATATGATCCCAAAAAAGATGCCCGTTAAGGATGCTCACATTGTGAAAATTGCCGTAGAATTTGAAAATCACATAGCACAACTGATTAATTTAGATCAGCGGCAACCATTGACAGGTAGAAATTTTATTATTGATTTTTCATAGAATAGTCAGGTCCTGGTCCTGATTCTAATGAGGAAATCACTTCAAAAAACCACCTGCATGTGAAGTAAATTGGGAATATAGATTCTAGGATTGAAAAAACCAACGCCCTTATTCCACACCGACGACTATTTTTTTCGACAACATAATGCATACACACACGTACACATAAGTGGCAATACAGAAGTCGCATTGTTGATGATGATTAATTAATATTCTGTGCATACATTACAGGAACGGAAGCTGGTCATAAAATTGCCGATTTCCTCTGCGTATATTGAAAATGCTTTTATAATCATATAAGCGCGACTTGATTCTAAGGATATTATGAACGAAGGGAAATGTAAAAATCTGTACAAGAAATTGCAATAAACTCCCTTTCCAATATAGCTAGAAATGAAGGATATTTGAAGTTTGTTCATTCCTTTTAAAGGCCTCTCTAATTGAAAATGTTATTTTTTATCGATTTTTTTAAAAGTTCTTATGCGATGCGATTGTATGTTTTCAATAATTACTGACGATATTTGTGGTTCCCTTACAAAGTACATTTTTCATTACAATATGAATAGTAGTACAATAAATATTCATCATCCAATGCATACCATGGTGAGTACGGGATGCCATGTTAAATGAAGGTCACTCTCATGATTGGTGGTAAATAGTGTCGTTAGGAACGTTCGCAATCAATATGCTATAACAAAGATTATAACATTTCTATTTTTTTTCTTCTTCCAGGCAAAATACAAGAAATCTGTAATTGTTGGGGTATTGCCGACCCCGAGAATTATGCTCTGCAGTTTTGTGAAGCCAACCATTTAAAATATGTTACGGAGAAAAATCGCAACGAAATCAAAAATGGTTCTGTATTACGATTACAATACTCACCGTCTAAAACTGCCAATGACATTTTAGAAACATTGAGAGCCGGATCGCCTTGTGTCAAGGCTGAATGTTTGGAAAAACTTGCCACACTGTCGGTCGATGTAACATTTGCATTGGAATTTATAAAAGAACAAGGTCTTGGCATTATAATAAGCATGATTGAAGATCCCGACGAAAAGGAGGACAAAATTCTCATATATAGCCTCAAAAGCTTTGTGGAATTAATGGAACATGGCACAGTGTCATGGGAGATTTTGCAGAACAGCTTTGTTCAACGTAACATACATATTGTTCGTAATTTCATGAATTATCCAAAGTGTACGGAAAGTGCTTTATCGAATTTAGAAAATATTGTGCAAAATAGTTCTAAGCATACGCTAGTGGAACAAGAGGTTACTTTGCAAGATCTTTTGAAATTGCTACAGGATGCCAAGTCCTCAGTGATTTTGCAAAATGCCATTGCACTGATCAATGCTCTTTTTATGAAGGCAGATGATGGCCGGAAGAGACAAATAGCCCACACTATTAGTGCTAAGCAATATCGTTTGGCTCTCATAAATAGTTGTGTAGCCACCACAGAAATGACCCATCAGTTGTATGTGTTACAGACTCTTACACTGGGTTTGTTGGAGCAACGCATGCGCATGAAAGTGACAAATCAAGATCAAGATGCCCATGAAAAGATCAAGGAATTAAGGAAGATTGCATTCGATGATTACTCAGGCATAATGTCGGGAATGGCTGGCAATTCTAACAATTGCTCAGGTTCGGGAAATGTGAATTTTGCCCAGTACTATAAGAAACTGGGATTCAAATGCGACATGAATCCAGCACAGGACTTTATGGAAACTCCTCCGGGTATATTAGCATTGGATTGCATGATTTATTTTGCACGAAATTTTACCCAACAATATACAAAAATCGTTCATGAAAACTCTTGCCGCGGTGATGAGCACGAATGTCCTTTTGGCCGCACTTCAATAGAGCTGGTAAAATTGCTGTGTGATATTCTACGCATAGGAGAGCCACCTTCCGACCAGTCGGTCGATTTCCAGCCTATGTTCTTCAATCACGACCATCCCTTTGAGGAATTCTTTTGTATTTGCATAATCACTTTGAATCGCACGTGGAAGGATATGCGGGCGACAGGTGAAGATTTTCAAAAAGTGTTCAGTGTTGTACGTGAACAGATAACACGTACCCTAAAACAAAAGCCTGACAATTTTGAAGATTTTCGTGGGAAAATTGCCCATTTCACGTATCAGACTATAACGAATTTAAGACAACAGGAGCGAACATCGAAAGAGGAATGTGATTCCACAGCCTCGGCCATTGTGAAATTAAAGGAGAAAATCTCACCTCACATTTTAGATTTAATAAAACAACAACGATTGGCATTTTTGGTGGAGGGTAAGTTGTGGCATAATTTAAAACAAACACGTTGAACTAACATTTCATCCATTTTCCTAGGTACCCGCTTTTCAAAATATTCACGCGGTGCACGATCCAAGGATAAATTTTGGTACGCACGTCTTTCGCCAAACCATAAAGTAATACATTATGGCGATTGTGATGAAAAAACTATACCTACCCTCGAGGAACTCCCCAATAAGGTATCGGTCATTGATATCAAACAATTGCTGGAGGGCAAGGAGTGTCCACACATGAAGGAAATGCGTACACGTAAATCCGCCGTAAATCTGGCATTTTCTATAACATTCGAAAACATGGACCATACCACGATCGATTTTGTGGCACCCGATGAAACGGTCTTTAACTATTGGACAGATGGTATTAACGCTCTCTTGGGTCAAGAAATGGTTAGCAAACAGAAAAAGGATGATTTCGATACACTGCTCTCAATGGAGATAAAACTACGATTATTAGATACTGAAGGTGTTGACATTAGTAAAGATCCTCCACCAGTACCCGAAGATCCAGAAAATTATGATTTTTGCTTTGAGAACTAGAACATTTAAAGTATTCTACAAAGAGTTTTGCTAAAGTATTTGCATTGTATCAATCGTTTATGTCGATCAAAAATATTTCCTATTTCTAGTGTCATTCTCTGTTCATCTCAAAAGAAGAAAAAAAATAAGAAAAGCCAAAGTTATCATTAAAACCAATATTACAACAAGTATTTTAAAACGCACATTACCCCAGGAAAATGGTTATTATATTGCCCTGTATTTTCTATCAAAATACGCAATAAGTTTAAGTTTATTTACTTATCCTCACAAAACGAAATAAATAAAATAAATTGTGCAATTTTATTAACAATGTTTTATAAAAGAAGCGAAAAATATATCCATTTTTGTATTAAGCAATCATATGTTTTGTTTTACTACCATATAAATACAACTTTCAGCGAAAAGTATGGGAAGATAACTATCAGAACTAGATTCTTTAAAATGAACGCATGAGCTAATCAGAAGCCAGATTCTTGCAATTATCCTTGCTCTATTGTTTCACCTTTCGGTGAAAGCTAATAAATGTTCTGTTTCAGAACCTGCAAGAATCTACTGGCTTTGCAATTCTTCACAATTGCTCTGTTCCAAAACCTGCAAGAATCTACTATTTTTGCAATTTTTTTCGATATCATAAAGGGAAAATTGGTTATCGTAGTAAAAACTTTCTGTAACAGACCAAATATCATAAAGCGAAAATCGGTTATCGTAGTAAAAACTTTTACATTCTTGCAGTTCTGGAACAGACCAAAACTGTTAGACATTTTTCCTTGACTGTAGTTAAGTAAAATTGATACGATTTGTCCATCGGTTGACCAATCAGACTTTCTGTGGCACTCCAACTAAATTTCTACACACGGAATTGTGTTCATTATATCCAGCTAATAGTAAATACTTGGATTATAATAGGCTTTATAATAGGCATTAAATATTAAAGCATTCCCAATAATAATTGATCTGTTCCAGAACTGCAGCATGTAAAAATTTTTACTACGGTTACCGATTTATCCTTTATGATATCGAAAATTGCAAAAATAATAGATTCTTGCAGGTTCTGGAAGAAACAAAGCAAATGAAAGTTAAAATAGAAATGCTTCATTCAAACAATTGGCATTCTAGGTAGATTGATAGCCCGTTGAGAGAAATGCAGTGAGACGCAGTAAAGGTAGCACCATCTACATAATTTTCGTATTGATGAAGGACGAGCTTAAAAAATGAAACCCGAAAGGAAAAGTATGCTCAACATTGTTCAATCTGTTTTTAAGCAATAAATAAGTTTTACATTTTTATTGTTTTTTTTAATCAATTTTATAATTTTTCTTTTGTCCTGATTTTTCGTGTTTACTGGCGGCCGTTTTTATCACTCTGTTACGAACTTACCTTTTGCATTTATAAAAGGCATTTATTTCATTATTGCCTTTTCTGTAATTTATAATTATATTTTTGTATAAAAATAATAAGAACACAAAAGGAATTGCCAGTTCGAGCAATTTTTATCCATTTCCATTACACTTACCCCTCTTCCCAAAAAGAATTGCTGCCAGAAAACGTGCTTAATATAAATTCGGACTTTTATAATATACAGGGTGAGATAAAAAACTGCAACAAAGTCAAACGCCATAATTTTTATATTTTTTAATTTTATTGAATGAAAGCAAAAATGTCGGAAATAGCATCAAATTTTAGAATAAGTTTAAATTGGTCAGCTTTGGCAAGAATTATGGCCTTCAAACGGCCAATGAAACCGTCACACGCTGCCCAAATGTTGCTCTGCGGTATTTCCCCACATTCCTGGTGTACAAAATACTTTGTACCATGGTACAATGATATAAAGGTAGGGCTATGACACCATATGATTTCAATTTTTTTATTTTCTTGGCTTAATATGTCATCTATATTTGTTTATGTATGTGTTTTCTTTTCAATAACAAAAAAAATTGTTCAGAAAACATTCAAAATCGGGTGTTTTCAAAATGTTTATTTCAACGTATGCATCGACAAAATCTAGAGTTTTTGTAGCGAAATAATCCTTTAGAGATATATAGTACATGATTTTGAAAAGAAGTGTTGACCTTTCATTCAGTTATCGCGGTTTTCAATTATTTATTCAAAATAAAATGCAACAAGTTGTTTGATTTTTTATTGTTTTGATACTAATTCTGACATTACAAGCCAAACAGGTAGACCTATATACTTGCAATTTTTTCAAAGTTGACCTACCTTATCTTCATTGTGCCATGCTTTGTACATACTTTTGAGTGCGGTTGAGGCGCTGGGGAAATCTAGCAACAAACAATAAATATTCTAAAAGTAAACACGATCGTTTTGTTTGTTTACAAGCTGCTGGACAATGAATGTTTTCTCATCGGAGAAAACCAAATTCGGCAGTTCACCACTTTCGGCCAAGCGAAGCAACTCTTTAGCTCTTTTGAGTCTATTTTCTTTCTGTAAATGTGGAATTTCATTGCCTCATTGCTCATTTTTCAATATTTGCCGAATGGAATATTGCGATATGTTCAGCAGACGAGCCATTTTTCGGCCACTGCGACGCGGGTTTCGATCAAGTCGCTTCTTTACTTTTCGAACCATTTCTGCTGATGTTGCTGTTTTCTTCCGTCCACTTCCTTGACGTTGGGCTATGCTACCAGTATCACGGTAACGAGCGATAGTACGAGACACAAAATATTTTTTCACATTTAAATGCTGGAGTGCTCTAACGATAGCCACTTGTGGTTTTCCAGCCAATCACACTATCACGCTTGAATTCCATCACGAATAACTTTTTTTCTGGAAAATTCTCACCAAAATGCTTTTGTACGCTTGTAAACAATATAATGAGCTGAGACTGGAATAATTTTAACACCTCGTCCGACACGTGGCTTAGAAATGACAGCAGTCTGAAGTTGGTTGCAGTTTTTTTTTCATCTCACCCTGTATTATTTCATTCAATTCTTTTTAGTCGATTCAGTTTTTAATAACCAATAAGAAAAGCAATGTGAGTCAAACTAGAAAATACCAACAAAAAATTTACTAGTTTTGCAATTATTTTCGTATATAAATCATTTATTGTAGTAACAATTTTTACATTCTTACAGTTTTGGACCAAGCACAAGAGTTTTCAAGGAATATGTTTCTTGTCTGACATTGGAGTAACGAACGTTATACGAAATCTTCATCGAAACAAGTGTCATCCAATGCCGATTGATAGCCTGTTGAGTGAAGTACAACAAAGCAAAAATCACGCCATCTACATATCAACACTACGATAGCTAATATTTATTTTATTTGTGGTTGCATACTTTCAGGCAAACTGTATCTTGTGCGCAAAGAGAGCTTTTGTGATGTAAACAAACCTACAATTAACCATTTCAGACACTCTGCATGTGTCACTCCTTCCAGAAGGATATCGATTTTCGTACAGTAAAGCTGACATAATTTTTCACTGGCCTTCTTTAGATTTTGAGAAAATTTGTGATTCAAATTAAAGAAAAATCAACAAAAAAGAAATTTCAACTTTTAACATTTGCTGTTGTTAGTTGATAGGACACTTTTAAAAGTGTATTGTTTAGAAATATTTCGATAGGGTCTGCCAGAAAAATCCAACAAAATTTCACACTTACTTGAAAACCCGTTGCTGCTACTCCACAGCAATCAAGTAGCCTCTGGAGGAGCAATATCACCAGCAGCGGTCTCAACATCATCAACGACATTATTAACGGCGTCCAACGTCGTTGGGGAGCGCAACGATTTCTTTAACGTGGCTTCAACGGACGGCATCAGGACGCAAAACAGCAAAGTTCACCCAAGTCCGGGGGCAGGTATGTATAATATGAACTTTCCAGAAAGTGAGACGACAATTTTCATTAAAAACAATTTCAGGAACAGCCCGTAGTGTGTGGGCCCTGCCCCTGACCTATGACAGTTGCAACATGGTTGCCGAGGAAGATGGTGCACACACTGATCATGAAGTTGATCCACGACGACCACATACTCCACGTGTAGTAGAAGTTGTGGGGGGTGTGGATGGGGCTGTAGGCGGTCCCAATGGTCCGGGCAGCGGTGGCGGCAATGCGGGCCGTGGTGATGGTGCAGTTGATGAAAATCTTTTGATTTTCGAAGGTGTCGATGGTTCTGTGGCCCATTTGGATGATATATTCGACATTATTAAGAATGGCGAAGTTAGTGATGTTGAAAAGTTGACGGAAAAATTTGGCATAGAATGTCTGTCGGCACGAGATCGCCATGGCTATACACCTGCCCATTGGGTGGCCCTAAATGGCAATGTGGAAATGATGCGCTATTTAATAGAACGATTGGCGCCCATCGATTTGCCATGCTTGGGTACGCAGGGACCTCGTCCGATACACTGGGCCTGTCGCAAAGGCCATGCTGCTGTTGTACAAGTAATGCTCCAGGCTGGCGTCAATGTAAATGCGGCCGATTTTAAGGGTTTAACACCGTTACATGTGGCCTGCATGTATGGACGAACAGCTACCGCTGCTTATCTATTGGGCATGGGTGCCCTCAATCATTTGACAGATATTAATGGTGATACAGCCCTACATTGGGCTGCCTACAAAGGTCATGCCGATCTTATGCGTTTGCTAATGTATTCTGGTGTGGAATTGCAAAAAACCGACAATTTTGGTTCCACCCCTCTACATTTGGCATGTCTGTCGGGAAATATGTCTTGTGTACGTTTGCTTTGTGAAAAATCCAATATGGATTTGGAGCCAAGGGATAAAAATGGTAAAACACCCATGATGCTGGCCCAGGCCCACCAGCACCAGGATATTGTTCGTTTGCTTTACACGGAAGTAAAGAAAAAGTCCCGGTGGATACCCTCAATATCGGAAATTTGGGGCTGGCTATTTGGAGGAGCTGGCGATTCCAAGGGACCGCTTTTGTTATTCTTGTTCTCGGTTCTATTGTGGGGTTATCCAATGTACATGATAAGGGTAGGTAGTAGATACCTGTGTGAGGAGGAAGAATGTAATTCCCATGATAATTTACTTTGCAGGCCATACCAATTACATGGAACATTTTACGTCGTTCCCATTATTGTTTTATCTACTGGAATGCAGTGATGTGGATTAGTTGGATTATTGCAAATCGTCGTGATCCCGGTTATATACCATTAAGTTCGGATGCCTATTATAGGGCAATCAAACAGATACCCTATTTCGATAAGCTTAAGAAACGTAATGTGATTTTAACACGGCTCTGCCACAGCTGTCGCTGTCTGCGTCCGTTGAGGGCAAAACATTGCAGGGTCTGCAATCGCTGTGTTTCCTACTTCGATCACCACTGTCCGTTCATCTATAATTGCGTTGGTCTTCGCAATCGTATGTGGTTTTTCCTCTTTGTTCTCTCCGTGGCAGTGAACTGCTCTTTTACCATTTACTTTGCCTGTTACTGTGTAATGATTGAAGGATTTACCCTGCTGTATGTCTTGGGTCTAATAGAGGCTGTAGTTTTTTGCGGCCTAGGATGGATTTTAACTTGTACTTCGGTAAGAAAGTCTCGGGATTCGGATGTTTAATTTGGATTGTGTTGATTGGATTTTAATTTCAGATCCTACACGCTTGCATGAATCTGACAACCAATGAAATGTTCAACTATAAACGTTATCCCTATCTGCGCGATAAACGCGGACGTTACCAGAATCCCTTCTCTCGCGGGCCCATATTAAATCTATTGGAGTTCTTTGTGTGCTTGCCCGACCGCAACGATGATAATGACCTGCTCTTGGAGGATAATATTTGATTAAGAAGCTAGGATCGCCAGCAGGCGCGCCGCCGTCGATTACAACCGCCACCTGCACGAGGATAATATTGGGTAACGCCCAATCAGTCGTATGCCGAAAGCAAACGGAGGGGGTAATTAACTCGGAAGCTAATAATGTTTTGGATTAGAAAAAACAGTGGATTTAGCTTTGTTACTATTTTAAAAATCCACGCTTGAATTTGATCGATAAATTGCACAAATTTACTACTTTACTTTTTTTATAAATAAGGGCTTAACATGAAGACAACTAAACTGCACTACTGGGGAGATTTTAGCAATTATCTGTAAGCAATGCACAACTACAATTTTAAAATATTTGAAAAATAAACAAATAATACTGCTCGAGATAAAACAAATTCTTTGAAATTCCAAATAAACATAGAAATATTCAACAAATGATTTTTGTTGTTTTAAAAAGTTAGTTTTATCATAATTCGACGGGAGATTTAACAGATGTGTCGGGTTAGCAAACTCAGAAAAAGTTAAGTATTTTTCGGTTTGGATCATTCTATATGCATATATAGGGTATATTAGCTTTGCCATTCCGTATGTAAATCCTCGAAATATCAGCGTAAAATTCTAAGACGATCTAGCGAATTGAGCTAATATTTTGCATATATGCATAGTTAACCAGTAGGCAGGTTAAGTTCGAAAATATTTTTGATCAGCGTAAAATTCTAAGACGATTTAGCACTGTCCGTGCGTCCGTCCATCTGTTGTAATCACGCTGGAACGAATTAAGATAAGAAGCCTAAATTGTACATAGATCAGTATTTTGTATGTAGGCAGCTCAAGTTCGAAGATGGTACACGATATCGTATAGCCCCATTCAACAACAGTACATCGATATTCGGTATTTTGATGATTATAGCCACATTTTTCGATGGAATTATCATAACTTCTACACAAGGAGTTCTTTATGAGTATTTTACCCCCTGGAAGAGATTTTTCTATATGGGTCCACGATATTGTGTATCTGCCATATAACGGTACCTCCAGATATTCGGTATTTTGATGATTTTAGAAACATTTTTTAATGGGATTGTCTGAAAATCCACACAAGGAGTTCCTTCTGAGTACTTTACGCCCTGGAATATAATTGTATATATAGGTCCACTATATCGTATATCCCCATACAACGGTATCCCCTGATATTCTATATTTTGATGATTTTAGCAACAGTATTCCCCGGAATTTTTTCAAATTTCGTATTTGAAGTTTGTAATGGGTACCTCAACCAATAACTCAAAGTTTTTAATGCAGGTCCACGTCTTTCTATAGCCCACATATAAGGATTTTCATTTGAGCGATATTTTTCGACGAAAATTTTTTAAAATATTTCAAACTTCTTCCCAATGGTGGAGGGTATAAAAAGATCGGCCCGGCCGAACTTTGCTTCTTTTTTACTTGTTAAAATATAGTGGGAGTTAAAATGTTCGAAGTGGAGTAAATGAGCTTTTGGAATTTTGCAAAGATATTGATATTTGCCACGTATTATGACACCTCCAGATTTTCAGTATTTTGAGGTTTTGCTTCTATTTCCAAACAATCAGCTTCGAGTTTTAAGTGGGTACTTTCACTCCTCGCAAAAGACATTCAATATATATACACTTTTTGGGTATAGCCTCAATATAACGGAACCTCCTGATTTTTGGTATTTGAGTTCCAGTTTCCAAACAGTTCAGTTGGAACTTTTCATTAAGTTTTTCATTCCGCTTGTAATTCCTCGAATAAACATTTTAGACCCCTCAAGGTATACATTCTTTATCATATTATATAAAATTCTTTGGCGATTTAGCCATGTCCGTCCGCCCGTCTTTCTGTCTATCCGTCTGTGTAAATAACTCTAGCTTCCGTGCGAAATGAAGTAGGTTGATGATGTTTTAGATAAGTAGAATTGGCAGTTTGTGTTCCCTATACATAGGAAACATCTTGGCAAAAATTATCCATATTAATCCAAGTTTAGGTATAGTCTCCATATAAATGTACCCCCGATATTCGGTATTTTGATGCTGTTGTTCTAGCAGTGTGAACATGCTCCGTTGTTTATAGACTGATTAATCCAGTTCTTCCACAATGTCCAGCTTTAGAAACTCTGCTACCTTTATGGACTGTAGCCAGAGATCCCCAAGTGCTGCCGGCTTCGTGGAAGAAGACGGCAAGCTCCGCGAGATAGTTGTACACCCTGACACATATGTCATCATCATACAGTCATCCGTATATGTTCCGACGTACGACTAGAGTCTACACATATAGTTGACGCTCCAACGTTTCAAACATGGCTGGAGGATAGTATTCTCAACGTCCTCGAACAGTAGCGGGACCACCCTGCTCATTTTCCAGGCTTCGGGAACTATGTGGGTAGCTAACGACAAGTTAAGGACATTGGTTAGATACTCACTTCAAGTGTATCCAGTTGCCCGGACGAATTGTCAGTATTTTGATGATTTGTATCGCTTTTTTCGCCAGAATTGTTATTTGTAGTTCGTACTGTCCAAATTTAACCATACCTCTAAATATTTGGTATTTTGAATTATCTTTAGAATTACCTAAAATTCAGAACAATAGGTACTACTTCCTATGATAGCAAATTTCCTGTACAGATCCAAGAAGATTTTAGCTACATTTTTTTAAAGATTTTAGCTACATTTATATCAGTCTGAGTTTTTGGATTTCGAAATAGGCACCTTCCTCGTTGACAGATAATTTGTTACACAGATCTACGTTTTCTTATAGTCGCATAGAAATGTAACACCTAATATTTCGTATTTTTTTAAATTTAAGCGTCGTTTTTCAAAGAACTGTTTTTTGCAAGTTCCTTCCAAATGGTGTAGGGTATTTAAAGTTTGATTCGGACGTATCGCGTCGTTTTAAGTAAAACACCCTAAGACTTGATATCACTAAAACCCGAAATTTTTTCTCGAGTGTAAGAAGAGTAAATTTCCATTAATTTTGTAAACATTAGTTTTTTCTCCTAATTGTTTTTGTGTGTCAAAAACAGGTTCAAAATTTATTAATTAACTGGTACTGGCCCCAATATTAGCAGATAACATATGGATAGTTTTTGTTGGTTTTCTTTCTTAAACAATAAACACACGCCTTTTTTTCTAATGATATGATGTCCACCGGTTTATAAACAACACAGATTATTCCGTAGCACCATGGTTCCAGAGACTTATCTGCCATATAAAACCGGTGTTGTATGTGTTTGTTTATCAACACTGCTCGTGCATTTTGCTGGTCATGTATGTGATCTGTTTGCTCTCTTTAGCTGTACAAGTGCTTAAGTTCTTATCGGTTCTCTTTCTTTTTGATACGAAGAAATAGATCTGGAATAAATGAAGATTATGCCTTGAATACGAATTGGTTCTTGGTTTGTTACTTGGCAAAATTTTGAATTCAGTTGTATTCCGATAGGGGAAGAGTCCATTTCGCTATTAGAATTTCGGTAGACTATTGGGAAAAGGAAACAAAAATGAGTGAACAAAGTAAAATCATAATTACATTAAATTTGTAGTTTGGACACGTTTACGTTGAGGAACATTTTTGCGCAGCAAATATTTAAATGCATCTTTTGCTATGTTCTAGAATGTTGTCATGGACCTGGCTATCCAACGCCCCTTGATGCCATGAAAAATGGTCCACGAGAGAAGTTATTGTATACGGTGACAGTACAGCCAAATTTGGACGAGCCCCATGGTGATTATCTTGCAACGGTCGATGTTGATCCCGATAGTCCCACTTATTGTCAGGTAAGTGGTGTAGATAACACTTTGCTTTGATTGGTTATTATTTGTTATTGATGTTGCTAGGTTATTCATCGCACTTTCACCAATCGTACCGGCAATGAATTACACCATTCCGGTTGGAATGCCTGTTCCAGTTGTTATTATGTGGACAAGAATGCCAAACGTATTCCAAAACGTGATAAACTTGTGTTGCCATCGGTTAATTCTGATTTTATTTATGTTCTGGATGTTGCAACTGATCCCAGGAAACCAGAAATTTGTAAAGTAGTCGATGGACAAGTCTTAAAAAGCCATAATGTAACGGCTCCCCATACAACTCATTGCCTGGCCGATGGAAATATTATGATTTCGATTATGGGAGATGCCGAGGGAAATGCTACATGTGATTTTGTTTTATTCGATTCGGAATTCAATTGTCTAGGTACATGGATTAAGGGCGATAAGAAACCCCATTGTGGTTATGATTTTTGGTATCAACCATATTGGGATGTTATGGTTTCGTCCGAATGGGGTGCTCCAAAGAAATTCAGAAGGTAAGAAATGATTTGCACTCGTGTAATTTATTTTGGTTGGGGCCAATTAATGAAGAGATAAAATTAACTTCATTAATTTGAAAAGAGAGGATCAGTTGTAATTATTTAAGTTTTTTAAATTAATTATGACGACTAATTTGATTGAATTTCTTGTTGTTTTTTTCCTTCAGAGGTTGGAGGGATGAAGACATGAATGATCTAACTCAGTATGGATGCCGTATAAATTTCTTCAAATGGTCTACCCGAACTCTATTTCAAACTATTGACTTGGGTATGGAGGGTTTCACACCGCTCGAGGTGCGCTTTATGCATGATCCCAAACGTGCCGAAGGTTTTGTCGGTTGCGCTTTGAATGCCAAGGTATTCTATTTCAAAAAGAAGGAAGATAGCGATGAGTACGTAAGCAAAAAGGTCATCGATGTGCCAACAAAATTGGTGAAATTTGGCGATAATGAACCTCAGCCTGTTGGTGGAATGGTCTCTGATATTATACTCTCATTGGATGATCGTTATTTGTACATTAATTTATGGCGTCATGGTGACTTGCGTCAATATGATGTTTCCGATCCAGAAAATCCAAAGCTTACAGGTCAAGTATTTTTGGGTGGGGCCATTTGTAAAGATTTAACAGATGTTGAAGTGATTGAAGACAAAGAATTGAAGGTAAAAATTAGGAAATTTTAAGTTATAACTGATAAAATATAGCAACAACTTTGCATTTTTCAAGGAACGTCCTGAGCCATGCGTGGTAAAGGGCCGCCGTCTTGAGGGAGGACCACAAATGATGCAATTGTCACTGGATGGCAAACGATTGTATGTCTCTACATCTCTTTTCTCGGCTTGGGATAAAATGGTATGTTTTTCTGACCAATGTTACTTCGAGTGGAATCATTTAACCATTTTTGCCTCCTATAGATGTATCCCAAAATGGTGGAGAAGGGTGGTCACATTGTTAAAATTGATATTGACCATGAAAATGGTGGTATGAAATTAGACGAAAATTTCTTGGTTGATTTCGGCAAAGAACCCTATGGACCCACATTGCCTCATGAAATGCGTTACCCAGGCGGTGACTGCACATCAGATATATGGCTCGCTTAATTGATTGTTCAACATATCTCTAATTTTGTAAATTATGTAAAAAATTAAGAAATACCTTTAAAGCTTTTTTTTTTCTAAATTTAAATACAAACATATACATCTACATTTTTGTACATAATTGTTTTTATTACGGGATTGTGTTCGCGTGCCAAAACACTTGGAAGAGCGAACAACACAATTATCTGCTGTCTTATTGTTTTTAATTTAAACAAATATTATGTAATAGTTTGACAATTATTACAAAAGTAAACATTTACATTAGCTTTAACCATAAAATGGAGGATATATAAACAATGTTCTAATGTTCTGCTCCAAAAATATATAATTTTAGTTTTCAGAATACTTCAAATATTTAATTGAATCACGAATCCATAATTGATAAGTACAGATTCAATGAAAAGAAATCAAGCACGCAAAAATAAACAAGTAAAAAAGCAGTAAGTTCGGCCGGGCCAAAAATTAAATCCGTTAAAAATTCTGTTAAAATCTTAAAAACACTTAATATAGCCGTTATATTGGGGTTTATATGAAGACGTGGACCTACATAGGTAACTTTTGTCATAAGCCTTTACAATATTTAAATACGAAACTTAAAAAAAATGCGGTGAGTAAGGTAAAATCATGGTAGAACTAAGAAGGTAAAGTCATGCAATCATATGTTTTAATTTTTTTTTTTTTTTCAAATTTATACATTTGACAACATCTCATTGTCAAGATCTCATCAAAATACCGAATATAGGGAGGCACCGTTATATCGGGGCTATACGAAGACCTGGACCTGCATAGACTATTTTCTGTCATATACTGTAGTTCCCATTACAAACTCTGAATACGAAATTAAAATCAATTCCGGTGAATGTCTCTAAAATCGTCCAAATATCGAATTTCGGCGGATTACATACGATATCGTGGACCTATATAGACATTTCTCTTCCAAGAAGCATGGTGCAATAAGGAGGTAGAACTGCTTTGTAAAACTACAGAAATACAGCCCTGAGGCTATGTCCGCTTCCTGTCAGAATTATTCAAAATTATATCCAACAAGTTCTTTTCATATATTTGATATTTTCTGTTCATTTCAAAAATTAGTCAAATAGCGGGAAAGATGAATAAAATGTCTGGATATTCTCTCAAAAATATGATCTCAAGTGTTCAATCTTTCAATTCCATGTCAAATCTGGTTAATATTACTAATGCGCTTCACGCAATTTAAGTTTCTTCCAATCATTGATTTTAAAAATATTTTGTTTTTATTTTTCAAAACAACAAACCCATACACAAAATTGGCAGAAGTCAGGCACACTTAGAAAAAAATTGTAATTAGCTGGGAGCTCTACCTTACCATTTTATTGTACTATGCCAGGAAGTACTCAGAAGGAACTCCTTTTGTGGATTTTCATTAAAAAAATTGGCTACAATCATCAAAATACCGAATATCGGGGAGTACCGTTATATGGGGGCTATACGATATCGTGGACCGATATTGCTTATCTTCGATCTTGGCCTGCCTGCAAACAAAAGACAGATCTGTGCCAAATGTTATGCGTTTTGACTCTAGCGTTATTACAACAGAAGGGAAGGGCTAAATCGTAATGATGCTTTGAAATTGGTTTCTCAAGTATAAATCACAGGGAGGAGAAAATTGCAGAACTTTTGTGTTAACTTTCAGTACCAATTTGCAACAATTGCAATGAAATTGAGGATAAAAAGACACACCTATCTTTTCAAAATCAGTTGTTACAAAAATTCTTATTTTCCACGTAAGTGGGGAGTGAATTTTAATATTTTGAGATGAAACTATATTTTCTTCCTATTTTGTACTCTATATTGTGGAAAATCCTAATATTTTAATTGTTGTAGGGTTAAGAGGATGTATTTTTGAAGTATATAAATGGATATGACAATTTTAATTCAAATCCTGTGGTTTAACACATTTATATGTAAACTTACTGTTGGACTCTATTACAGAGTGGCATTTTTCCCTTTTCCATCGAACTTAATCTAAAATTCTGGCTATTACAGGTTCTCTATACCATCTGACAAATGTTAACTTTCATATCTTCCCTAAATTTTGAATTCTAATATCATTTGAAACAAGAAACATTTAAAAAATAATTATTTCATTTACCTCTTTTTATCGCGGCAAAACCCAAATTGATGTATTACCATGTCACTGTAGACTATGAGCACTTGACACATGGTCTTGCGTACAACTTCAAGTTATCCCTAGGCATTTTAAGAGAGAATAACTTCTGTCTGTCAAATTATCGCTAGTAAAATGGTTGACAACGTGGTACCAGATTTGCAAAATTTGGATTTAAATAAAGAAAAGGCATGTTAAATTAATTTACATTTAACACTAAATTTAATCGAAGCTATATATCTATTGAAAAGTAATGAATACATTTGTGCAAGTGTTAAAACGAAACGAATTAAAGGCATTTCAAATACGCTTAATTTCGAGCAGTCAATATCTACGTGTGCTTCAATCGGCAAATAGTTGTGTCAGTCTTTCAGTCCAAAAAGAGCTGAGCAGCCACAGCAGACAACGTTCTTCACAACAACAACAACAGCACCTATTTCAACCATACCGGGAAATAAATTGCTGTATTAATCAGGGGACACTTTTAAGATCTTACGCTACTTTGGTTGGTGTTATTATGCGTTTGTTAAACAGATAGTAATTTGTTTAAACTAATATTTGTGTTTGTTTTTTTTTAATTACATTTAAGAGTTTTGTGTTTCAAAAGTAGAATCGAAAGTGATTCATATTGAAATTGAATGCATGTGCATTTACCCCTGTTACGTATGCTGAATGGTATTCAGAGTTGTAAAATTTGGGGTTGCAACTAAAGGTGTATGGTTTTGAAATGATGAGAATTAAATTTACACTTTGGCTCTGCAAGGGGCACCATATATTGTTGGTTTGTGAATGGAGAGACTAAAATTTGTGTGGAGAAATTGTGGGAACAACTCTAGTTTAGGTAGGTATTTTACCCTGATTTCCGGAAACTATTATTTTCTTGTGGGACGGACCCGTGACCCCAGATTTTTGACCCGAAAGTCCGGGTTCAAGACCTGGGCTAGACCCGCATCCACTTACGTGATATAGACAATATAGGTATCGTTTAATGGGGTCATTTAAATCGGTTCGGAAGTTATAGTTGGACCCGAATTTTTTTAAAACCCCTTTTTGTTTAATACCTTTTTGTCTATATTGGGTAAGTGGATGGAAATCTGGTGTCCCGGCTCCGTCCCCCAAGAAAAAAATAGTATCCCGGAACCAGAGTAAAAATACATACCAATGGGAAAAAAAAACTTCAAAAAAAAAAAAAAGTAAAAAAGCAGTAAGTTCGGCCGGCCGATCTTTGAATACCCTCCACGATTAAGGAAATTAAAACAAAAATCCGTTAAAAATTCTGTTAAAATCTTAAAAATACCGAATGTAGTCGTTATATTAGGGTCTACACGACGACGTGGACTTGCATAGGCATTTTTGTCATAAACCATTACAATATTCAAATGCGAAACTTAAATAAAAAAAATTCGGTGAACAATGTAGCTAAAATCATCAAAATTCCGAATATAGGGATATACCGTAATATGGGAGATATACGGAGACGTGGGCCTGCACAGACAATTTTCTGTCTTAGGTTGTAGTATTCATTAAGAAATTTAAACACCAAATTTGAAGCAATTCCTGTGAATAATGTCGCTAAAATCATCAAAATACCGAATATCGGTAGGTACTGTTATATGGGAGGTCAAATATCAAATTTGAAACAATTCCGGTGAATAATGTCGCTAAAGTCATCAAAATACCAAAAAAGGGAGGAAGCATTATATGGAGGCTATACGAAGACGTGAACCTGCACAGGCAATCTCCTGTCATAGGCTGTAGTATCCATTACGAACTTCAAATATCAAATTTGAAACAATTCCGGTGAATAATGTTGCTTAAATAATCAAAGTACCGAATATCGGGAGGTACCGTTATATGGGGGCTATACGAAGACGTGGACCTACATGGGCCATTTTCAATATCAAAAGTCCTGCAGACATAATATACAATTGAGTAAAATGTTATCAATCTACTTCATTTCGTTCGTAAGCTAGAGTGATTTCCGCATACGGATAGACATAGAATTTTATGCTGATCAAGAATATATATACTTTGTGGGATCTAAAATGTATATTTCGAGGTGTTACAAACGGAATGACAAACTTAATATACTCTCCATATTATGGTGGAGGGTATAAAAATTATAAGACGTATAGGGATTTGGATATTACATTTCCCCAGCTAGGGTATATTTTCACCACAACCTCCATTTCATTTATAACAGTACTTATGTACTTATGATTTTAATAACAAATTTTGGCTTGCAAGAACTAGCTTGTTTTATGAAATGAGAAAGTAAATTATTCGGACCAAAAAAAATGTTTGTAAGTTAAAATTGGGCTATTTTGATTGTCATTGCGTAATATTATTTCGTAATTAATGTCTAAATATGAATTGTCCAATTACATCTAAAATCCCATAGTTATAAAAGATTTCTAATCCACCTGTTATCTCCTTGTGTGCAGTTTTATCTGTAGAAGTTAGTTTTCGAGAAATTGCAACGGCAACCATATCGCAAGGCTCCAATATTTTTACAACTCTGTATATAACTTAAAGCTTTTTCCCAGTGTTACCACTATTTCACCTTATTTTCATCACACATCCTATCCTGCAATATATCACAATTAACCCATGTTATTGCATCAGTCGCTTCTTGTGTTTACTTCCATTTGATTAATACATGACTACGTTTTTATTTTTAAAGTGAATCAGTACAAGACAAGAAGACAACAATTACACAGCTGTTTAAAAATTTTTATTCAACGCCAAGAACAACTTTAGTGGAGAAAAAGATACATACACATACGCACACTCATAAATAAAAACACGTTGTTTTCATTGGAGTTGTAAAATGACAAAAAAAGTACTTCACGAAAAATATAAGAATTCTTCCATTATACAAAAACACGAATCATAGACAAAGTTTCATTAACTATTTACCTTCTGATATATTGACACGTAAAGATACGACAAGACCTATCACAGACGGCTTTTTAACAATACATACACACACACACCTAAATATTCGATTGTTTCTTTTTTTGTTAATGTTGAAGTGTTGTTTTCTATGCCCTAAATTTATTGAGACGAAGACAAAAATATTGTGTGTTATTGATTTTTCTTATTTTGATATTTACAGGCCAATAAAATGAAGAAGGAGAAGCAAAAGAATGCTCCAGCTACTGATGGTGGCAAGAAAGGTAAGCCCGTTTATTAAACAATGCTTGAAATATTCTTTTACAAATAGTTAAAATGTAAGTGTAGAGTAGAATTTACCAAATCATTTGTTTATTATATTATATTAGATCAAGAATTGTAGCCGGTAGATCAATTAATTAACACTCCGCAGTTATCTATGTAATTCTTGTGCTCATTTAATGCTTGGAAAAAATTGAAACCTTAGACATTATCTTTGTCACATACCAGCTTTTAGGGGCACGTCATGGGGAATAGACCTTAACAACAGTCGGCTTTGCCGACCGATATATATCCCCAGCCTTGAGTTATGATTATTCAAACTGCTGACCCATTATGGGGGAAGCAGTTGGCCAATATTGACCAATTCGTGTCTGACCTAAGACTGATGTAAATTTCGATAATCATCTCAGAATTCTGGTTAAGAGAAATATTTATATATAGCAAGTTGTAAAAAATCGCCGACTTGTTTCGCAAGTTATGACAGACATACAGGGTGGAATAAAAAAAAACTGCAACAAAGTCAAACGCAATAATTTTTACATTTATTTTAAATTTTATTGAATGAAAGCAAAAAATGTCGGAAATAGCATCCAATTTTAGAATAACTTTAACTGAGTGCGATGGTCTTGAGTCCTTTTGGAATGCCCAAGGTCTGCGGACAAAATGTTTGCTTGACCAAGGCTTTAATACACTCTACAGAATATTAGCGCGATAATATTCGGCATTGATTCTGATGACACGGACGATTAATACGAGCGAAGAGCGACCATCGGCTGTTATGGCGGCCCACACCATCACCATGGCCGGCGCTTGAGTTCTGGTGGCCAACCTAAGGTGCACATTTTCAGTTGACCTCTTTGGCAAGTAAACACAATCGTTTTGTTTGTTTACAAGCTGCTGGACAACGAATGTTTTCTCATCGGCAGTTCACCACTTTCGGGCAAGCGAAGCAACTCTTTAGCTCTTTTGAGTCTATTTTCTTTCTGTTGTGGTGTAAGTTCCTGCACTTTTTGGAATTTCAATGGCTTTACCTTGAGCTCATTTATCAATATTTCCCGAATGGAACATTGCGATATGTTCAGCTCACGAGCCATTTTTCGGCCCCTGCGACGAAGGTTTCGATCAAGTCGCTTCTTTACTTTTCGAACCATTTCTGCTGATGTTGCTGTTGTATTCCGTCCACTCCCTTGACAAAAGATTTATTCCCGTTTAAATGCTGGAGTGCTCTAACGATAGCCACTTGTGGTTTTCCAGAAAAATATAAAGAAATCACACTATCACGCTCGAATTCCATCACGCATAACTTTTTTTCTGGAAAATTCTCAGCAAAACAATATAATGAGCTGTCACTGGAATAATTTTAACAGCTGTCGGACGAGTGGCTTAGAAACGACAACAGTCTGAAGTTGGTTGCAGTTTTTTCATCTCACCCTCAAATTATATCATTTGATACGTCCAAAACGTGCCTCATCGAAGGTTTTAGACCCTAGGTCTCTTGGGACCAAATCCGTTTTAGGATATTTGGAGTTGATCTGGCGATGTCCGATTGTGCTCCAACTTTGCAAATCCTAATATTTGCATCAGTGCTAGGTCATGTGCGAAAATGGACAATATCCGTCAACTCCATCCAGTACATCCCCCACAAAGGGTCAAAATTTGGAATAATTATAACTCTTATAAATGTCCGATTGTCTTCAAATTACACACATCTCAATATTTATATAAACCCAAGGTCTGGTCTAAAGATGGGTTACATCGGTACACACCTTCTGGTAGCTCCCTCACAAAGGGTCAAATTTCTGAATATTCATGAAGCTCATAAAACGCGAAATTAAAATCCGATTCCATTCAGACTTGACACATCTCAAGATTTCCATTAACAAAAGATCAGTTATAAAGATAATAGAGATCGGACCATTCCTTTCTCCTCCACATAGGGTTCAAGATGTTGGAAAACAAAACGCTAAAAGAAAGCGAAATAAGCATAATTCTTCCAAAGGTCAAGAAGGTGATTAATTTGAAAAAATCTAAACTTATTCTAAAATATGATGCTATTTCCGACATTTTTTATTTATTTGATATAAATATTCAATTGATTAAACGTTTTCATTTCGCATTATTTTTTCAGTCAAAGAACTTAATCCATGGCCAGCATATATTGAGGAACGCAATGCTTTGTGGGAAAAATGCAAAGCTGAATATTTAGCCGAATTGGCTGCCAAACCACGTAATCCAATTAAAATTACTTTACCCGATGGCAAGCAAGTCGATGGCACATCATGGGAAACTACCCCCTACGATGTGGCTAAGGGCATTAGCCAAGGCCTGGCTGATAACACCATTATTTCCAAAGTTAATGGTGAAGTGTGGGATTTGGATCGTGTCTTGGAGGGAGATTGTACCTTGCATTTGCTGAAATTTGATGATCCCGATGCTCAGGCCGTTTTCTGGCATAGTTCTGCTCATATTATGGGCGAAGCTATGGAACGTATATATGGTGGTCATTTGTGTTACGGTCCACCAATTGCTGATGGTTTCTACTACGACATGTATTTGGATGGGGAGGGTGTAAGTATTAAAATGTTTGCATTTTTTCCCGTCCTTGGAAGGTAATTAATTTCTTTATTTTAGATTTCCACCAACGATTACCCAGTCATGGAGGGTTTGGTTAAACAAATCGTAAAGGAAAAACAACCATTCGAACGTCTAGAAATGAAAAAAGCTGACTTATTGGAAATGTTCAAGTACAATGAATTCAAATGTAGAATTTTGAATGAAAAAGTCAATACTGAAACTACCACGGTCTATAAGTGTGGTCCCTTGATCGATTTATGTCGTGGTCCTCATGTACGCCACACTGGTAAAGTAAAGGCTTTGAAGATCACCAAGAATTCCTCCACCTACTGGGAAGGTAAGGCCGATGCCGAATCATTGCAACGTGTCTATGGCATCTCTTTCCCCGATCCAAAGCAACTCAAGGAATGGGAAAAAATACAAGAAGAAGCCGCAAAACGTGATCATCGCAAGATTGGTAAAGAGCAGGAGCTGTTCTTTTTCCATGAACTTTCTCCCGGATCGTGCTTCTTCCAACCCAGGGGTGCCCATATCTATAATACTCTAATGAATTTCATTAAGTCCGAGTACAGGAAGCGGGGCTTCCAAGAGGTTATCACTCCAAATATTTACAACTCTAAATTGTGGATAACATCTGGACATTGGCAACATTATGCTGAGAATATGTTCTCATTTGAGGCTGAAAAGGAAACATTCGCATTGAAACCCATGAACTGTCCTGGCCACTGGTAGGTGTTGTTATATTGAACAAAAATCCAAAGAAACCCTTTTCATTTACTTTTTCCTTCATAGTTTAATGTTTGATGTGCGCAACCGTTCATGGCGTGAATTGCCTTTACGTATGGCCGACTTTGGTGTCTTGCATCGCAATGAACTGTCCGGTGCATTGACTGGACTCACCCGTGTACGCCGTTTCCAACAAGATGATGCCCATATTTTCTGTGCTCCTGAGCAAATCAAGAGCGAAATGAAGGGTTGCTTGGACTTTTTACGCCATGTGTACACTATCTTTGGTTTCTCCTTCAATTTGGTGCTTTCTACCAGACCAGAAAAGTATTTGGGCGAGTTGGAGCAATGGAATGCTGCCGAAAAAGCTTTGGCGGAATCTCTTGATGAGTTCGGTATGCCATGGAAAGAAAATCCTGGCGATGGTGCTTTCTATGGCCCCAAAATTGATATTACCATTATGGATGCATTGAAGAGAGCCCATCAATGTGCCACAATACAATTGGATTTCCAACTTCCGATACGTTTCAACTTGAACTACATTTCCGATGATGGTGAAAAGAAACGTCCAGTTATCATCCACAGAGCCATTTTGGGATCTGTTGAACGTATGATTGCCATTCTCACAGAGAATTATGCTGGCAAATGGCCATTCTGGTTGTCACCACGTCAAGTAATGGTCGTTCCTGTTGGACCTCAATTCGATGAATATGCCCAATCTGTACGAGATCAATTGCACGCGGCTGGCTTTATGGTCGAAGCTGATTGTGATGCTGGCGATACAATGAATAAGAAAATTCGTAATGCTCAGCTGGCTCAGTTTAACTTTATTCTGGTGGTTGGCGAAAAGGAACGCTCCTCGAATACGGTTAATGTTCGTACACGCGACAACAAGGTTCACGGTGAAGTTTCCATTGCTGATTTGATAACTAAACTACAAAAAATTCGCGATGAATTCATTACAAATGAAGATAGTTTTTAGATGGTTTTAAAATATTTCGAGAATATTACTTAATTCAATTTCTTTTTTCTTAAAATAACTATTTATTTAAACAAACGATTCAAAACAACAGTATATGGTGAGAAGTTCAACTTTATGAGATGAATGTATAAGCAAGCATGCATTTGTATTGTCATTTAAATGCCTCAAATAAAAATATTGTTAGCAATATTATTGAATAAAAATACCCGCTAATTGCCTATGAGTGGGCAACACAGAAAATCATGTTGTTTTTATGGAAACGTTTTTTTTTTTTTGTAATCCAAGGCAAAATTGTAAGTACATATTTTGTCTCATCGTAGTCACGTCACACAATATTGTAATTTAACTAGTTCCATGCATCAAGGAACCATTATTTGGTAATGAGTATTGTTACTGGGTAGCAAATGCTCTCAAAATCACATTTTCTCCGGGAAAATCTCAATTGTAAAACGAAAGAAAGTTTGCAAAAGAATTGAAATATGTCCAACAAAAAGCTACAGCAATAATAATACAGACCTCAAGTTTTTTGGTTTTTACATTAGTACACGGTGAGAAGAAAAAACTGCAACAACAGTCAGATAACGAGGTCTCTCTTGGTGTCTGTGGGTAAGATATGGAGGTGGTTTTAAAAATACATCCTATATTTGTACGAAGACTACTAAATGATAGTAAATTTGGTATTGGGGAAAGAAATAAGGCTGGAATCTCGAAATTTATTCTTTAGGTATCTTTTGTTGTCAAGTTTAAATTATAGAGGTGGTTTTGAACAAGCGTCCTATATTTGTGCGAAAGCTACTAAATTACACTAAATTTGGAATTGGGTCAATTAATAGGCTGCCAAAGAGGTCAGCTGAAAATGTGCAATTTCGGTTGGCCATCAGAACTCAAGCGCCGACCATGGTGATGGTGTGGGCCGCCATAACAGCCGATGGTTGCTCTCCGCTCGTATTAATCGACCGTGGCATCTGGATGGTGTATTAAAGCCTTGGGCATGCAAAAATTTTGGCCGCAGACCTCGGACATTCCAACAGGACTTAGCGCCATCGCACTCAGCACACGCCACCCAAGAATGGTTACAAAATGAGGTTCCTCGCTTCATTTCTAGCGCACAATGGCCACCAAAATCTCCGGATACCAACCGTTGGACTATTGTGTCTGGAGAATTTTGGAAAGCAAGGTTGGCACTCAAAAATACCAAAGTTTCGATTACCATCTGTGCTGCACTCCATCATTGACTTATTCCAAATTAGATAATTCTAACTCTTTCCGTTTGTCCAATACAATGTATGCAATTTTTACTACATTTTAGTACTTTCCATACCCTTTTAGTACTAATTTACAAAAACCCAGCTTCAGCCGTTTCGTCATGGCGTTGACTATAAGTCAGTAGGTTATTCCACTACCCTTTTGATATAAATAAATTAAAGAAATGAACTCTTGTTAAAAATACTTCCACAGGAATAGAAATCCGTACAGATATTCATGATTGGACTGAGATTATTATGCACCAACAAAGTGTTCCCATTCCAAACTGATCGCAACAGTCAGATAACGAGCACTGAACTCTTTAACATGCCCATATATCGATAAGAAATCTACCCAATCCATTTAGAAAAAAGTTGCTAATGCTGATAAAAACGTCGTTTTGAAAGCAATTTCATTCACACTTTGTTTGCCATATCCAACTTGTAATTTTAAAAGGTGGCCAACTGTTGCGCTTATTTTTAAAAAGATAATGGCTTTCAATCACTCTGTGATTGCACATATTTTCGCCGAACGATGATGATTAAAAGTACATGTCGTTGAATTTAGATCAGTAGACCATTTACCCACAAACGTATTCAAGATAAAATTGAGCGATAAGATAACGTAGGATTTCGAAACAAATTTCAGATTATATTAATTTATGAGGTTAAGAAATATTTAATTTGCTTTGCATTATTAAATTCATATATGGACACAACAACAGAACAAGTTAAAATTAACTAAATTGCAAACAATGGACTTGATATGACAATTTTGTGTTCGCACAACAAGTATATTGTAGTATATCACTAAAAATTCTAAATGGGCATATCATTGTTCTAGAAAGTAAAAAATATGATTAAGGATGGATAATAAGAAAAAAGTTCCTCTAACTCTAATAGCCGACTTAAAACATATAATAACAAAATTTCATAAAGAAGACTTACACTGACGACATAAAGAAAAACATAAGCCATGTCATTCCTTTGCTTTTATTTTAAATGGATTTTCTTATTAATTTTCATTTTCCTTGTGTTATTATAAGTATTTATTTATTTATTTATTTTACGTTATAAATAAACTTAAATATTACATATATCTTTAAAAAATAATAAATGTATAGTAGAAATGAATGTAAGAATATATATAAAAATGTGTGTGTGTGAAGTTGCCATTAAAAGTGATTGAAAGTCAGTTTTAAAAATATGTATGTATGTCGATAAAAACAAATCCATTTGAAATATAAAATTACTTTCCCGTATATATTTTGAAAACTGTGTACACAACACACATTTTGGCTTGTTTCTTTTTTAAAAATATTTTATTCCACTTTGTTTCTTGTGTTAGGGTTAATTTTTAGCTACTTTACTAGTTTAAAAAATTAAGTTCCACAAAGTCTTGTTTTCGCTATGGAAATTGAGAGGATGTTGCCTTATAAAAACAGAAGAAAACAATGAACAATGCCCTCTTAGGCATTGTTGATAGATTTCCCTCTGCTAGCCTGGTATGTCATCATTCATAGTATATGAATTTGGTTTGGGTGAAATGAATGTTTTGGGAGTAGGGGCCGACGTCAACGACAATTGGAGGAGGAATCAATGAAATGTTGAAGTTAGAACTGATATCAACGGCAGCATTCAGCAGGCACAGCCTCCCTCAGGATCTTTTGTCTCTTTCTGTGTGTCAAGAGTGATTTCTTGCATATCTTCGTTTGGCTTATTCTCTGTCGCCGAGTCCATACCCGGCAATGCAGCTGCCACACGTCGAAACAGCTGTTTTACGTTATAGCCGGCTTTGGCACTTGTCTCAATAAACATAACATTCAACTCTTTCGCTTTGCGTTCGCCCTCCTCCGTCGACACTTGCCGTTTGTCCGAGAGATCTGTTTTATTGCCCACTAACATGATAATGACATCACTGCCTCTTTCAGTTCGCACGTCATCGATCCATTTGGACGTTTGATGGAATGAATTTGTGTTGGTGATATCATAGACCACAACTGCCACGGTCGAATCCCGTATATATGATGGTATAAGGGAACGGAAACGTTCCTGACCAGCAGTATCCCACAGCTGTAAGCGCACTGTACGATCTTCCAAGTACATAGTCTTTGAAAGGAAATCAATGCCAATGGTGGCCTGGTAGGTGTTGTCGAAACTGTCGTACATGAAGCGTGTAATTAGCGATGTTTTGCCCACACTCTGTTCGCCCAAAAAGACCAATTTGAATTTACGCAAAGGATTTGCAAAATCTCCAGACATTTTGTTGCTGTTGTTTTTCTATATGAACACAAAATACAAAAGAAAACGGAACATTAAGTGGCCCACGTATACACAGCAAGAGAGACAATTAAATTACTTATTGCTTTTTTTTGAAAGGTACACAGCGGCAGTGGCTCCTTTAGTTTCTTCCGATAATTGTTTTGAACTAATTATCACTTCACTTCAAAGTAATATTGTCAACAATAATTACTTCGCTGGCTTGGGGAGTGAATGGAGTAGTTTACGTCGTTTGCTTGCGTATTCGGGGCTGGGCTGGTTACTTGAATTTTTCGCCTCTGCGTAGCTTTTTTCTAATCGCACTTGTCCTCCTTTGTATGAGTCTCTCAGTCTTTTATTGCGTATGCAACAAAAGTATAGCCCGTTGTATAGAATAAAAAAATTGCACTCTTTTCTTGTAATAAATTCTGTTTTGTTTTCTCAATTGAATTGCTAATTAAATTCTTGTTAAATTTTCTAGCATAAAAATTGACATTCTCACTTTGCTTTCCAACTGAGTCACCACCACAAATTGTGAATTTACCTGATTGGATGGTGAACGGCAGTATCGACGCACAGATGTCAATTGCGGCGACGTGTAATGTTAAGTTGTGGTAATACAGTGCGAGGTTGATTTAGACTATGTGGTGCATATTTATCCAAGCTAGATTTATTTTCATTACTTTTAAACTCTCAAATTGGCTTCAGAATTTTGTAATCGAACAGTACTCGTTTTTGATTGCATTCACTTGTTATTCATTTACCACAACGTCATAAAATACCTCCAAAATTTCACCTAGTCAGTTAAAGGTTAATGTCAAATTAAAAGGAAAAGACGACGGCAGAATTCGAGTGTGACTCTGGAATTCCTTTATGATATGTCACAAAATATACCATAGGAAGGCTTCAAGCTGCTTATGTACTCACTCCCATGGCACAATTACAGAAGGTAGAACAAAGCTACCCCCAAAATGCAATTTCTTTCTTTTGGTGCCTTTATTATGCCAAAAAAAAAAAATACAAATTTGGTGTATGTGTGTGTATTGTTTTGAATAAAAAATACAATAATTTAAAATTATTTCAAAATTGGTTGCAAAATAAATGCAAATTTTCGGCGTAAATGGGTAACAAGTTGTACAATTTTGTGATAAAACTGTATCGTCCTACTATTTTAGATTCCATCTCGTGGAATAACCCTGAACTTCCATTCTTGTTTCGCGGGATTTCCCAATATAAGATTTTTGTAAAAAAAAAAATAAAAACAAACAAAGCCTGAAAGCCTATTGCTTATTTAAAAGTCTATGTGAAACTATAAGACTCCAGTACAGAGTTGTATTTTTCTAGTTTCTTTGAAGTTGAGAGAATTTTCTGTCTTTTGTGCAAACATTGCAAATTGTTATCGAACAGCATTCGGTTAACAAAATGTGTGATTTACTCTTTAAAACTGATATGAAAATTAAAATTACAATTTTTGTGTTGCAAAATTAGTTAATTAATGGTATAATACAACGATAAATATTTATTATTTGATATATAAATCATTGATTGCCTGAAATGTGTATGCAAAACTCATGGTAGAAGAATATAGGTAGACGCATCGACACAGCTGCTGGAACAATGAACGGTCTAACCAATTTTGGAATTGAAAATGTTGAATGAAAAATTATTTAAATTTGCAAAAATTGTTGAAAACGCGAATTATAATAACCTCCGAAAGACGTCGTATAAGAAAACATATAAGAATCTACTTATATTTGATAGAACATTTAAAATTTTTTGACATATCGATGTTTCCAAACGCTAAAACGTCAGACGGCTTTATTTTTTAATTATTTTATTTTAATAAAAATAGTTTTAAATTTTTTTAAGTTATTTGAAAGTGATTGATTAGTTCCAATATATAAAAGGGGTTTCAATACTGATTTGGCAAATGATATTACTGTTTTTCCGCCATAGTTAAATCTATTATCAGAACACGTCTAAAATATTTTCCAAGTTGCATCACTAAAAAACCCCAATTAGAGTGGAGTAATTGTGGTTTCCAATTCGATAATATATAAATGTATGACAAATTATATATTGCTAATGACTTATAACTATGTTCTCTTTAAATAGACTAGCAAGAGCATTTGCTTTTATTTTTAGTTTGTTTCGATGCTTCGATTCTTTCCTCCAATTCGATTCTTTGCTCATCTTCACTGGAAGTCTCCCTCGGATCTGCTGAACGTACGCAGGGTAGTGCAGAAGCTACACGCTCAAATAATTTTTTTACATTATAACTCGTTTTTGCACTTGTCTCTATGAACATTACATTCAATTCTTTGGCTCTATTTTCACCATCCTCCGTTGTGATTTGGCGTTTTCCGGCCAGATCCGTTTTGTTGCCAACTAACATTATAATAACTTCGGTACCGCGCTCGACTCTTACTTCTTCGATCCATTTGGAGGTTTGTTGGAATGTTTGTGGTTTGGTGACATCATAGACAACTATTGCCGCTGTCGAATCTCGAATGTATGATGGTATCAGAGAACGAAATCGTTCTTGGCCCGCTGTATCCCAGAGTTGTAGGCGCACTGTACGATCATCCAAGTAGAGAGTTTTCGATAGGAAGTCAATACCAATTGTAGCCTGATATGTGTTATCGAAGCTGTCGTACATGAATCGAGTTATAAGGGAAGTTTTTCCCACACTCTGTTCTCCCAGGAAAACTAATTTACATTTATTTAGAGCACTTGTAAATTCTCCAGATGTCATTTTCAGTGAGTTGGTTGAATGTTGATGAACTATCGTTTTTGATATATTAATGCGTGATGTTTTGTCTCTAGGTATGCCTTCGGAGTACTGACTGCTAAGTTGTGAAGATTACAATAAAATTATATTTTAGAAATTATATTTTTATCCACATTGTTGTGGTTTTGTTTAACGCTTAATCAGTGATATTGAAACACTTCTGTTTCAATAACACTGTACAACAAATTGATGGGTCTTGTTTCTCTTTCAAAAATATTTACATAAAAAATAGTATCCGGATTCAGCCACATCGTCAAGATTCATTGGCTAGTCTGGAAAAATAAAACACATTTTAAAGGTGTGGGTACATAAGCAGCTTGAAGTCTTCGCATGGTACATCTTGTGACATATCATAAAGGAATACCAGAGCCACACTCAAATTCTGCCGTCGTTCCCCCTTATAATTTGACATTAATATGCCTAGTCATGATGCCAAGGTGCCCCACCTTAATACTTTACACAAACAGATTACGGATTTATTTTAAAATATTATTGAAGTCGGATGAAATACATATAAATGAGTTATATCTTAATCTGAATCGATTTCCACTAAATTTAATGGAGGTATTTTTAGGCTGTAGTGACCTCTCGTACCAAATGTCATTGTTTTAGAGGTTATATTGTTTTACTTTGAGAAGTCTTATATATAAAATCGCATGAAACATGTATATAGAAGTTGCATGAACTCATCTAACTTCTTTGTAGGTATATCATACATACACAAATCATGGTAGAATTTAGAAGGTAATGTCATGCATTCATTTGTTTAAATTTTTTTTCAAAATTATTAATTTGACAACATCTCATTGTCAAAATGCTTAGTTATAAATCGATTGTATATACACAAATCAGAGAAGGGTAAACTGCTTTCTATGCAGTGCAATTTGACAAGGTAAATTACACAAAATGCAGAGACGGATAGTGTTATTTGAAATGGCTTCACCTTTTTTATTTCACCATGACACAAACATTGTTTATATCACAATTCAGCAAAAACATTTTCTACTTGTTAAAGTTTCGTTCCCATTCTGAAATTCCAACTTGACTACTTCCTCTTGTATTCGTGGCATGCTGTTTGCTTTAAAATTCAGTGCCATAGCCATACGTTGAAATAGTCCCTTTATATCGTTACTATTTTTCGCGCTTGTTTCCATAAACATGACATTTAATTCATTGGCTTTGTCTTGGCCTTCTGCGGTTTCGACCTCTCTTTCATTTGTGAGATCCGTTTTATTGCCTACCAACATTATTACCACATCCATACTCAATTGTGTTCGTAATTCGTTAATCCACATAGATATTTGTTGAAACGATCGTCTATTGTTGACATCATAGACCACTATCGCTGCCGATGAATCACGAACGTAAGAGGGTATTAGCGAACGAAAACGTTCTTGGCCAGCTGTATCCCATATTTGTAAACGTACACTACTGTTGTCCAAGCTGACCGCCTTTATAAGAAAGTCAATACCAACTGTGGCCTTATAGACATGGTCGAAATTGTCATACATGAATCTTGTAATTATAGTGGACTTTCCAACGTTTCGTTCTCCCAAAACAATTACTTTGAATTTGTTTTCCGTTGACATTATTTGTTCAAATATTCTAGAATGCATACACAAGTTGCAGTAGGAAGTTCAATCCGTTTCCAATGTGTGTACAAACGTGGGCTGTGTAAACTAAATTAACCTACGAAAACCTGCATTTGTTTGAAATTCTTTTGTGGTTTATTTCACTTCTTTCTTTAGAATAGTATTAATCATATGTAATATTAAATTCTGCATTATTAACGATACTAAAGAAAAATCAACTGAAAAATAGGATTTATTTTAAATCCAATGTTAAATTGCAATATTTTGCAATATAACACTGCGTTTTGCACCTAAACATACAACTATTGTGGACTGTGCCAAAATTGGCAACAGTGTTCGTATCATGGTCAAAATTTTTAAAATGTTTTTTTTTCAGAAATAAGTAGATTTTTATATATTTTTTATACCACTCCAATCGGTATACAGATGATATACAGTTTTCATTTTTTTACAAATTTGAATAATTTTTTACTCAACATGTTCAATTACAAAATTAGTTTGACAGTTCATTTTCCTAGTAGCTGTGTCGATGCGATTACCTGTATTCTTATACCATGCGTTTACTTTAATTTAAAATCAATAATATGGATCATGATAGAACTAAGAAGGTAAAGTCATGTAATCATATGTTTACAATTTTTTTAAATTTATACATTTGATAACATCTCATTGTAAAAATCTATATTATTAAATCCATTGAATACACACAAAATCAGAGATGGGACCAGTTTTTTTAAGCATTGAAATTTGAAAAGGTAAATTACAGAAAATGCAGAGCTGGGAATGCAGATTTGAAGTGAGGTTACCTTTATTCCATTGTACCATAATATGGATGTAGAAAGAGAGACATTTTTGCTTTTAATTAAATACAAATTTAAGACTATATATTTGATAATAATTTTCCTGCACACTTTTCGCAGGAAACAAAAACAAAAAAAAAAAAAACAAAACTTTGCCAGACATTCGCAGACTCCGAGTTATATTTAGTTTTTTTTTTTTTTTTTTATCAAAATCATGATTTTTATGAATATATACTTCAGATCCCTGTATATATTTTTCAGCATCATTTGTTGACTTTCCTGTCGATCGCAACATTGAAGAAAAACTTCACTCAAAACATCGAATCCTTCCATTTTCAAACAATTATATTTGCAAACTCTTAGTAAGTAACAAGCTAGAAGAATACTAGTAGAAGCATCAACGCTTGGGAACATTGATGTGTCAAAGTTTTTAAAATGTTTTGTCAAAAATAAGTAGATTTTTATACGTTTTCTTATACGACGCAAATCGGAGGTTTTTATGATATGCATTTTTTAACAATCTTTACAAATTTCAATAATTATTTGTTCAACATTTCCAAAATTGTTTTGACATTTTACTGTCCCAGCAGCTGTGTCGATGCGACTACCTGTAATCTTCTACCATGGTAAATAAGGCCCATTTATTAGGTCGTGTAAAGGGCGAATTGCCTTAAAATCAGCTGTTTTACTTCTTCGAACTGTCAATATTTCTTCTGAAGCGAATAATAATTCGCCTTTGTTTATCTTTTTTGTGGCGAATTTGTAAACATCTACGAGAAAAAAACATGGTAGAAGAATATAAGTAGACGCATCGGCACAGCTGCTGGGACAATGAACTGTCAAACCAATTTTGAAATTGAAAATGTTGAATGAAAAATTATATAAATTTGTAAAAATTGTTGGAAAGCACGAATTATAATAACCTCCGAATGACGTCGTATAAGAAAACTTATTAAAATCTACTTATATTTTAAAAAATATTTAAATTTTTTAACATATCAATGCTCCCAAGCGTTGATGCATCTACCTGTATTCTTTTGCCATGAGAAAAAACAAAGTAAATCATACGAAACAAAGCACACGAGCAAAGTAATAAAATTAAACAGAAGGCAAGACGTTTCAATGAACATACTTTTGGCAATTTGTGCTCCTTTTTGACCTTGCGTTTTCGTACTTTGGAATGGAGAAAAAAATCGCATTTGTAGTCAAGCAGCCGGAATAGAATTAGGTGTGTCTGGTTACCCTAAAATGTTTAACTTTACTTACTTTTAACACACAAGTTCTGCAAAAGAGAGTTACTCGAGAAAGGAATTTTGACAGTGCTTTCACTGAGTGTTTGCGAATTCTTGCTGGACAAATTTCTTCTTCCAATCATTTGCTATTCTTCTCCTTCCGGTTATTTATTTTCGGATAAGCACATTTAAAACATATTTGTTTTAGTAATCACAAGCCTAATTGTATAGTCCTACGGTGTATTTTTTATTTGTGTGTATTTCTTTTCTTTTTATTGCTTCGTTTTTCATAAATCAGCTGAGAATAAAACTTTCAGAAAGAAACTACCAGACATTTACTTCAGGAAAATAACCAGACAGGTCTATTGTATAATGACAGCTTGTCATTTTTCGTCGAATTCCAAATATAAACAAATGTATTTTGACATAATCGGACGACCTATTTAATGGGCCTTGATGGTAAGTAATCAAAAAGTGTGTATGTATACGTAAACAAAAACAGATGTCTGACATTTTACATCATATTTAAATAGTCCAAACAAGTATAATTTAAAAAGATTGATTTAGAAATCGAGTCGATTTAAAATGACTAGTCTAAATGGGCTATAATATTATACTGACTATTATAATAATGACTACATAACTTAATAATCAAGGGCCCGTTCTTATATGTTTCCTTTATAGTTCAGTTTTGTTATCCCTTACTTTAAGAAAAGTGAAGGATAAAGAGTTTTTTACAGTGATATGCCAAGCTTTTTGTAAAAGTAACAGCTTTTTTCACAGTGACATCTTCAATTCAGTCTAAAAAATAATAAACAAAATTAATTTGTAATTTATTTCGTGAAATAAATCTATAATTCAGTTCTTTAATATAAAATAAACGATTTGCGTTATCCATGTTTTATTTGAATATATTTTGCTGTTATTACCATATTATCAATATAAAATACGGCAACATGAATTCAGTAAACTTAACTTTGCATAGCCTTACGTGACTCCATGGTAAAATTAAGAAGGTAAAGTCATTTCAAATAAACATTCCCATCTTTGTATTTTCTTTAATTTAGCTTGTCAAATGTCATTGCATGGAAAGAAGGTATGTACAATGGATTTATATGAGATGTTGTGAAATTAATAAATTTGTAAACATATGATCGCATGACTTTACCTTCCTAATTCTACCATGCGTGACTCAGTGTTGCTAAAGGTACGGTCACACTGGGCAAATATTTGATCGAAATTTGTTATCCTATATTTGACTGAACAAATGAGAAATTCATACAGAGTTGATTCGATGTTCACATTACAGTCAAATATTTGACAGATTTTATTTGTTCAAGCAGTCACCAAACAGCGTCAAATGGTGCTATGGGAAAACATGTTTGACACATGTTCACATTCATAAAATATATTTTCCCCATGAAATTGTTTGATCAAACTCTGAGGAAACATAAGTTTATTTGGCCGAGAGAAATAGACAGAGAGAGTGAAAGAGAGACATAAATAAAATAGAGTTTCGGGTGTAATTTATTTTGGAGAAGGGAAACAAAAGACCGGCTGTTGTAAAATAAATGCCTTGCAAGAACAACTTTTTTTTTGCAATTTTTGTATGTTTATAAGTATGCATATAAACCATGGTGCATAAAATTCATAGTAGGGTAGTATGCTGTTGTGTTCAATTATTGGGCTGTTCCAGAACCTGCAAGAATCAACCAGTTTTGCAATTTTCTTCGATATCATAAAGGCAAAATCGGTTGTCGTAGTAAAAACATTTACATTCATGCAGTTCTGGAACAACCATATGTAAACATTTTATATATAAATATATATATAGATATAGAAAATTATTTTGAGAAGAAATCTTGACCTACTACTCACTTTGGTGGAATTAAGGTACGGTCACACTGGGCAAATATTTGATCGAAATTTGTTATCCCATATTTGACTGAACAAAAGTGAAATTCATACAGAGTTGATTCGATGTTCACATTACAGTCAAATATTTGACAGATTTTGTTTGTTCAAGCAGTCACCAAACAGCGTCAAATAGTGCTATGGGAAAACATGTTTGACACATGTTCACATTCATAAAATATATTTTCCCCATGAAATTGTTTGATCAAACTCTGAGGAAACATAAGTTTATTTGGCCGAGAGAAATAGACAGAGAGAGTGAAAGAGAGACATAAATAAAATAGAGTTTCGGGTGTAATTTATTTTGGAGAAGGGAAACAAAAGACCGGCTGTTGTGAAATAAATGCCTTGCCAGAACAACTTTTTTTTTTTTGCAATTTTTGTATGTTTATAAGTATGCATATAAACCATGGTGCATAAAATTCATAGTAGGGTAGTATGCTGTTGTGTTCAATTATTGGGCTGTTCCAGAACCTGCAAGAATCGACTAGTTTTGCAATTTTCTTCGATATCATAAAGGCAAAATCGGTTGTCGTAGTAAAAACATTCTGGAACAACCATATGTAAACAGTTTACATATAAATATATATAGATATAGAAAATTATTTTGAGAAGAAATCTTGACCTACTACTCACTTTGGTGGGCGTTGTTAATTAATTCAAAAATACCAAACAAACAAAACTACTTATTGCATTCGTTTGTCATTATATTCATTAAACATCATGTTACAAATGCTTCTGTTCTTAAAGAAAAATGGTGAGACAATGTTTTAAACCGATATTTTTCATTTGCAACGTCAAATAAATGTTTGACAAAAAATGAGGAAAATAATTGATCATATGTGTGACTGCCTGGGTTAAGTGGAGTAGGTACATGTTGGTAGGCTGCGGCTTAGCTCGCCGGATAGGGGAGTTCTTTATCCACTTGACAGCACACTTAAATTTGTGTACCTTTGATTAGTTCGTAACTGTCATCATAGTTTGTATTAAGAAAAAAAAGGGAAAACAATAAAAAGAATTTAAGAGGAAACGGATGTATACATATATCTGCCTTAGCCTTTCAATTTAAAATAAACACAAGGTAGAATTCCAGTTTGAATGAGGTTCTGATGTTACACCTCTTTGGCTTTGCCCACCCCTCATATACATTTTTCAGTATACCTTGGTGTTTCTGTCGCCAAAAATTCTGTAGAAACACCCCAAAAACGACTATCACTACCCTGATAAATTACTCAACCCATTTTAAATAAAAGTTTACATTTCCATTTTCTAATCATTTAATTTGTTCATATATTATTAATCTTTAGCAAATATGCTTCACATTATTTATAATAATATTTTAATCATACTAATTTTACCTTAATTTATTTAATATTTAATTTATTTAATAATTTTAATATTTATAATTTTTTTTTTTATATAATATATATTATTTTTACATTCTTTTTTATATTATTTTTAATAATTAAAACTAGTTCTATTTTTTTTTTTTGATTTGTATAAATTTATGTATATAATTTCTTTCAGTTTTATATTTTTTTTACTAATTTTACTCATAAAAATTATTATTCATAAAAAATTGTTTTGGCAAATTAATGAGTTATTTTAGGACATTATATGATTTATATTTATATTGATTTAAAATGAAAGTAAAATTTTGTGTCATGCTACATATTTTGTGAAGAAAACCTTTTATACAGGGATAATTTTTATTGAAAATCATAAGCGCCTAAAACTCCGCTTTAGATTTTCGACAATTTATTTTAAATAGTTTTACGAACAATTTTTCTTGTTTGTACAGTTATTTTTTTGAACACGTGAGGTGTGTCGAATTTGATTATATTTGAATACAAATATTAGTTTTTTTTCGCATTTAATATATATATTTTTTTATGCAGAATGATCTTTCATAATTTTATATTTTTTTTGACTGTCGTACTCACTCGTATCAATTTTTTTTATCAAAAAAAATGTAGTCTTTCAATCTGGTTTTTGAGTTAGATAAGTGAAGCTTTCTCATTTATTGTGAATCCCGGGATAAAGTGGTTTCACCATCCACAGGTGAAGTTGGTTTGCAACATGTGTATATATATATATATATATATATAATCCAACCTGAGGACTGCTTGTTCCTGATAAAAAAAAATGTCCTGGTTTTACCACAATATCCTTTAAGAAGGATGAAATAATTCGTTTTAAGGAATCTATATATATTTAAAGAACTTAATACAATTCTTACCCGAGTGTAAAATATTTTTAATAACAAAAATATTTTATTAACGTCAACGTTAGCTATGACTATTCTTGAATTGATTTTGATTAAAATCAGTAAATAATTTCACTGGTTCACCATTTATTTTACAGACTTTTTGTATTTATTTAACGGCTATTTTGTACTTCGTGGTGGTTTTTAGTATATCACCTTCACTCTGACAGTCTATGACTTTCTAAATCGTAACTTCAATGTCACTTTCAATGAAGGTCAGAATGCACATGGTGGAAATATAGTGATATACTGTCATTCGAATATCAACCATGGTGGATCTCGATATTTTTCATCCTTTGTTCTGGGTTTAATCTCCAGATGGCGCTAAATTACATCACTTGCAAGAATGTTTTCAGTAGTAAACACGTATATATTTTATGTATACCAAAAATAGTATTCAAGTAGTTTACTACATTATAAATTGTATTCAATATTATTTTTAAAATTTAATAAAAAAAATCAAAACTTGATTCATTCGATAAATTGTACATATTTGGTTTGAGAATTGATCGTACAATTTACGATCAGGCACAGTTTGAAGGTCACTGTTTTTTTACACCGTGGTGTAACTACGCAACATGAAATTGAATCCCTTTACAACACTGGTAGACACGAACAGATGTTTTTATTATTTTGTTTTGCTTTTACCTTTTCACAACTTCTTGATGGAAACTATAAATTCAACCAAATAAATAGAATTAATTGTAATTTGTTTGTGACCCAAAAATATATAATCGACTGTGCGATAATATTCAAATGTGGCCAATGCATAATTATGTGTGGGTATTCATACCCAGCCCAAAGGTGGCTGTCACAAAGCCAGATCATTTTTCGGAACCTGTGTAGGGAAAATGATTTGGGAGTTAGTATGAATACTACCATCAGGTAATTACAAATAATTATTGTATAAAACGTATTCATAAATATTATTTTATATATTTCAGGCTACAATTATTATTGAAATGATTCACCTTCTTGAAATACATGCCAATGTTTGTATGGGATTGGAAATACCCAGAACTACCTGTCTTGTAAGGTTTATAATAACATAAACAAAAACTGAAAGTCTGTCATAACAAAAAAAGGATATCTGTTTGTGACAGGACAATAAAAATCTGATGTGGAAATTACTCAAGACAGAGTTTTGCATTTGCTGTCATATGTGCATATCATAAATGCATGTATTCAGCTAAAGATGTAATGAAATATTTCGTGAAAGTTGGTTTCCAATAGATTGTTATTGTTATTTTAACATTTATTTTTTTACCCTTTTCAGGTATTTGGGCTGTAGTAAAATGGGTTTACTTTCAATGGAATAGGATTGTCCACTTTTGTATCAAAAATGAAATTATCTTATTTTGGTTTTTTGAATATAATTTAATGAAATACCATTCTTTCTTTTTCAGATGGTGTTATATCTTGTTTGCCGAACACAATGACGACCTATGGATGTCATGGATTTTATTTTAACAACATTGCATCAACTGGCATTTGGTGAGAGTAACTATTATTTTACTAACCATAGATGACAATGTAGTTACTAACCTATTGTTTGAGGTGTTGCGCATGAATGGTACCAATGAGTTGGCCCTTTAGGTTTTCCACTTCGTAATAGCAATTTCCAATGGCTTTTCTTATTCTGCATTTAAGCCATGGTTTACAAAATTTTGCATTTATTCCTTTGGCAAAATTGCTTTGTACAAAATTTTTCCTATAGACTTCTTGTCCTGGTTTGTAGGTTACAATTCTGCTTCTTCTATCATATGAGCGTTTATTACGTTCATAAGCCTCATGCAGATTTTTATTAATATTCTTATGCAAAATTTGCATTCTGTCTGATGCAGGTAAACAATCCAGACTACCATCTTCTAATGCGTTTAGTTTTCTGAGAATTCCATACGCGTCTGCGTGTGTTATCATATTGTAGCCTGTTAAGGCAAAATATGGAGATGTACCTGTTGAGGCGTGTAACGTCGATCGCAAGGCACACTCGATTTTGGGTAACTTTTCATCCCATTTAGATTGGTCGGAGTTTATATAACTTCTTATACTGCTAAGAATGGTTTGGTTCACTCGCTCACTTGCATTTGCTTGTGGTGCGTGTATTGCAGTTCGTATATGTTTGATTCCAAATAATTTTAATGTATCTTTAAACATATCGGATGTAAATTGTCTTCCGTTGTCGGAATGAATAAATTCTGGTACACCGAATTTATAAAAAATCTCTTCTACCAAAAATTTTATGACTTGTGTAACCGTAGCCTTTGTCATTGCCTTTAGTACCACAAATTTGGTTTTATGGTCTAAAACGATAAAAATGTAGGCTTTTCCAGATTTCGTTCTTGGATATGGACCCAAGAAGTCGATATAAATCTTCTGAAAAGGCCTTTGGGTTATAACTTCATTACCCATTGGTGGTCTTAATATCTGTTTAGGGTGTTTATTTTCTTTACAAATTTCACAATTGTTAATATATTGTTTAATTTCATAAGCCATCGTTGGCCAATAGAAATATTGCCTGATATCATACAATGTCTTCGATATACCAGCATGACAAGTGTTGTTGTTATGAGATTTTGCTATTATTTCTGTTGTTAAATTATCTGGAAGCCATATCTTCCAACAGTCGTCTTCACTTTCAACATCTATTCTATTAAATTTTACCCTTTTGTACACGATTCCATCGCACACTTTTAGGTCAGGTAGACGGTTTCTGTTTTGCTCAATGGTATCAATAAGACTTAAATATGTTGGATTTTTGAACTCATTTGAATTGAAATCAATAAATGAAGTATTTTCCGCGGTGATTTCATCCATGTCCATACGTGATAGCATATCAGGTACAACGTTTTTAGTGCCTTTACGATGCTCGATTGTAAAGCTGTAGCTTTGGAGTTGTAAACTCCATCTTGCTAGTCTTCCGTTTAAATCTTTTTGGCGCATAAGCCATTGTAAACTGGAATGGTCTGTTATTACAGTAAAATCCATGAGCTCAATATACTGTCTAAATCTTTCTATTGCGAGTATGACTGCCAGACATTCTTTTTCCGTCGTTGAATAGTTTCGTTGGGCACTGTTCAGTTTCTTGGAAAAATATTCAATTGGATGTTCTCCATTTTCATCATCTTTCTGAAAAAGAACAGCACCAACTCCGACGTTTGAAGCGTCACATTGTACGAAGAATTGTCTAGTAAAATCAGGACTCCACAATATCGGACTGGAAGTTAGACATATTTTCAATTTTTCGAATGACTCTAGAGCTTCTGGAGTCATGATGAATTTTGGACATTTTCTTAAAGTATCTGTCAAAGGAGCTGTCAGAGTGGAAAATTCATGGATGAATCTACGATACCATCCTACCGTTCCTAAGAATTTTCTCACATCTTTTTGAGATTTAGGAGGTTTTATATTGACAATTGCTTCAATTTTTCCAGGGTCAGGTTTGAGTTTACCTGCTCCGACAATGTACCCTAGGTATTTCAATTCTTTGTAGCAAAATTTGGATTTTTCCATATTAATTGTCAATCCCGCGTTAGTTAACCTTTCTCCTACTACTTTAAGTATTTGCACATGATCCTTAAAATTCTGTGACACTATCAGGAGATCATCTAGGTACACAAACACTCGGTCTTTCAACTCTGAAGGAATCACTTTGTCCATAAGTCGACACATCCTTTGAGCTGCATTGCACAGTCCAAAAGGCATTACCTTAAATTGGTAGTGAGGTCTACCTTGGACAGTGAACGCTGTTAAGGGGCGACTTGATTCCTCCAGAGGAATTTGCCAAAATGCATCCTTTAGATCGATGGCGGTTATGAAATGTGTATCTCCTAGTCTAGCCAATAAACCATCAATGTTTGGCAATGGATATGCGTCTTTTCGAGTTACTTTATTTAATTCCCTTGCGTCAAGACATAATCGGTTTTTATTCGGCTTGATAACTAGCGTCACTCTATTATTCCACTCTGCATTTGTTGCGACTTCTATAACATCTAATTCTATCATGCGATCCAATTCATTATACATTAGTTTTTGAACCGCTGGACTGACTGGAAAATATCTCATTTTTTTCGGAATAGCATTTCCGACGTCAATGATATGTTTTTCGAGATGAGTTTTTCCCAACCCATGTTTTGTATAACATCTAAAGAATAGTTTCGCATTTTCTAATTGTATATTTTCCTCATATGATAGTTCATGTGTCTTTTTAGTTTCTATGTTCATGACGTCATTGTGCAATTCATTAACATCCGGTTCGACAGATATTTTAATGTTTAATTTTTTCCAAAAATCATATCCTAGTATCAAACTTTGTTTTAAGTTTGGTACTAGATACAATGTCAATTCTTTCGTCTTATTTCCGCATTTCAATTCAACATTTATTTTGCCTATTATTTCTTGATGTTTACCGTCTGCTGTTTTAATCGATGATTTAAAATTAAGGATAGGTGTATTCATCATTTTGGCATTTTCTAGGCAGTTTTTGCCTAAACAACTGACCGATGCACCACTATCCATGAGACCTGTGAAATCAATTCCATTTAACTTGACATCCATGTATGGTCTGATGTCGTTAGCTACTTCTATGCAGGCAGATGCTATCTCCTGTCTTTCTTTTTTTCGTTTGGTGTAAGATTTCCTAGCTTTAAGTACTTTTTTGCTTATCGTAGGTACAAAATCTTTAAATATGTCAGACCTAATTTTATTGTATTGTTCCAATCGTTGTTCATATGGAACAAGGATTTTTAATTTTGGTGTATGCTGTCTTAATTGATGATTTGTGGTTTTTAGTAGAATAGGTTTTGCTTCTAATATATTTTTAGTTTTGTTTACTGGTTTACATTCTGTTGAGAACATGAGGTCCCAGTTTTTCCTATGTTCTTCATTTGGTTTCCCAAACACCTAGGGCATTTTGGTGATGTGACCCCATCGAACCCACATCTGTAACAGAATATGTTACGTTGGTCCAATTCGCAATCCATAAAAGTATGGCCTGATTGCTTGCAGTTCCAACAAGTTAGGATCTTAGTTGTTGTTGTTTTGTTGTTATGTAGAGCTTCTACATCTAGGGCATTTTCGAATGTCTCATTTAAGTCATGTTCTAGTTCATGAATTCGTCTATAATTATGTGGCTGTTGTTGTCGAAAAGATAGACGTTTTGACATTGTAACTTCAGCTCTTTTGCATTCCTCAAGGAGGTCATCGATTGAATCTATGTTTTTGGCATAAATTAGTTGAACTAATCCGTCTTTGAGATTGTCTTTTATGATTCTCACAATCTCAAATTCGGGTATGGGTATTCTCATTTGATTTTTGAGACGAACAATTTCCGATATGTAGATGTCAGCAGTTTCCGATGGAAGCTGTCGACGCTCTATTATTTTTCGTTGTATTTCGAAATCACTTTCGAAATTTCGAAATTTTTTTATGAAGTGGTATTTTAAATGATCCCATTCGCATACTGGGTTTTGTTGTCTAAATAACCAAAGCCATTCTGATGCTCTACCAGTGAGTAAATGGTGAAATCCTTTCACGAAAATGTCTAAAGGACAGTTATAGTCTAACCTTAAAGACTCGACCCTAAATACGAATTCTTCCACACTGATGGACTTAGAAGAACCATCAAATTTCAATCCCCACTTTTGAAGTTGTAGTGGTGTTATTGATTTATAACCAAGAGGAAAATTCTGAGAATATGGTTCCCTAATTGTTTGTGGATTGTAATGTTGATTAGGTTGTTGTTGGAAATGTGTGTTCTGCTGTTGCGCATTTTGAGAAAATATCTCCGGTCTTATTGGATCAGGAGTAATATTTAATGACATATTTCTTAGTGAGTCAATTGAGTTTCTCACTACTTGAGGTATCATTAATGCAAGACGATCTTCCATATTTTTCATTGCTTCAGATTGAGCAATTCTTACAGAAGCGCTAATAAATTCTCTGAGACTTGGACCATCGTTGCTATTTATTGGTACTTCTAAATTTATATTATTATTAGAACTTGGCATTGCCGTGTTTATGTCAGTATTTCTTGTTGTTTCCTGACCTGTTAAACTACTGTATGGTGGTCTTGTAATTGATGTACTAGTTTCAGGTGATGATGTATGTACACCAGTAGGTAAAGATGTAATGATTGACATAAGTGGTGGAATACCTGCTTCAACCACAGTTCTATCTGCACCTTGTGCTGAAGTATTAGAAATATTCATATTGTTACGATTGCTGATAGGTGTATTAGAAGTTGTAATATTGGTTAAAGTATTGTGATTTATGAGATTGGGGTTAGTTAGTATTGCAGCATTAGATGTGCTTGCAACATCAATATTAGTGCCGCTCGCAATAGGTGTATTTTTGTTTGCCAATCTGCTAGAAGTTCTAGTTTGACTTGGGTTTTTGTTGGCCATAATGAATTCAAGTTAGAAAATTATATGTATCTCATGCAAGAAAACAGATAAAAGGATAAAAAAAATTGTTGAAGTGTAGTATTATAATATTTGAAGTTAAATGACTATATTAGAAGTTATGACTTAATATTTGTATAATTGTTTGATATGTTTACGTATATATATTAACATAAAAATTGCTTTTTTTTTGTATTTTTAAATATTAATAAAGTATTTTTTTTTTCAGGTAAATATTCCTGGTATTTTTTTTATAACTTATGTATTTTATAATATTCGAGTTCTGTATTTTTCTGTTTACTTATTTGTCTAATTTTGATTGAATTTTAATATTTTAATTTATTATATATCCACATTTATTTTGTTTTCTTAATATAAATATATAATGTTTTTAAGTAATTATATTTTTGGGGAATTTTTTTTTTTTTTTTTAATGAATTTAAATTAAATAATAAATGTGTTTATATATAGTTTACATGTATTGTTTCTTATTTATATACTTTTTTTGATTGTATTTTTTTGTATCGTTATTTATAATTCAATTAATTTTAACAAAATCACATATATGTATTTATAATTATATATACTTTCAATTCATTCAGTATCTATATTATATTATTAATAAAAATAAATTATATTAATAATTCAAGACAATATAAATGTTTTTGTTTTTCGTTTTTTTTAATATAAATTGATTATAGAATTTGTATTTTTTTTATAATATTTCTAGATAAATTTAATATCTCTAATATATATTTTTTTTTTAAATAATGAACTTTGACAATCTTTTTAATAAAAAAAAATTATTGTACGATAATAATTTGTATTATTCTTTTACTGTTAATTTTTTTGAATATTTAGGTTGAATATATTTTATCAGGTAGTGATTTTTTTATAATATGTTTATCTAAGAATAAAACAATTTAATGGATTTTCAAAATTTTACTAATTTCTAATTATAATTAGAAATTTAAAATAACAGAAAAATTGAATTGTTTTTGAAATATTTTAAATTATGTTTACATTATCTATAAACATATAAAATAAAGTATTTATTTTAAATTGGATGTTATTTGTTTTCTTTGTTTTGGCTAGAGTATTTTGTAGGCAAGTATAAGTATACAATTTGGGACAAAAATAAGTTAATTGTTATAAAAACTTTCGAAGTCATTTCTGCTTTCTGCTTTCAAAAGAAAAAAAGAACGTATAATACCATGCTGTATAGCCTCTGATTATGTTTCTTTATTTTTATGATTGCTTATTCATCTTGATCGATTGTAGACTTGTGGAATTGATTGTAACTGAGCACCTGTACAACACGGCATGGCTATGAAAATGCCTTCCGGGATACCGATGTGTAGAATACAATCTGTTCCAAAGTTTGGGCTATGTTGGAAAAATCAAAAATTTAAATTGCCCCACGTTGGGCGCCATAAATGTGACTGCCTGGGTTAAGTGGAGTAGGTACATGTTGGTAGGCTGCGGCTTAGCTCGCCGGATAGGGGAGTTCTTTATCCACTTGACAGCACACTTAAATTTGTGTACCTTTGATTAGTTCGTAACTGTCATCATAGTTTGTATTAAGAAAAAAAAGGGAAAACAATAAAAAGAATTTAAGAGGAAACGGATGTATACATATATCTGCCTTAGCCTTTCAATTTAAAATAAACACAAGGTAGAATTCCAGTTTGAATGAGGTTCTGATGTTACACCTCTTTGGCTTTGCCCACCCCTCATATACATTTTTCAGTATACCTTGGTGTTTCTGTCGCCAAAAATTCTGTAGAAACACCCCAAAAACGACTATCACTACCCTGATAAATTACTCAACCCATTTTAAATAAAAGTTTACATTTCCATTTTCTAATCATTTAATTTGTTCATATATTATTAATCTTTAGCAAATATGCTTCACATTATTTATAATAATATTTTAATCATACTAATTTTACCTTAATTTATTTAATATTTAATTTATTTAATAATTTTAATATTTATAATTTTTTTTTTATATAATATATATTATTTTTACATTCTTTTTTATATTATTTTTAATAATTAAAACTAGTTCTATTTTTTTTTTGATTTGTATAAATTTATGTATATAATTTCTTTCAGTTTTATATTTTTTTTACTAATTTTACTCATAAAAATTATTATTCATAAAAAATTGTTTTGGCAAATTAATGAGTTATTTTAGGACATTATATGATTTATATTTATATTGATTTAAAATGAAAGTAAAATTTTGTGTCATGCTACATATTTTGTGAAGAAAACCTTTTATACAGGGATAATTTTTATTGAAAATCATAAGCGCCTAAAACTCCGCTTTAGATTTTCGACAATTTATTTTAAATAGTTTTACGAACAATTTTTCTTGTTTGTACAGTTATTTTTTTGAACACGTGAGGTGTGTCGAATTTGATTATATTTGAATACAAATATTAGTTTTTTTTCGCATTTAATATATATATTTTTTTTATGCAGAATGATCTTTCATAATTTTATAATTTTTTTTGACTGTCGTACTCACTCGTATCAATTTTTTTTATCAAAAAAAAATGTAGTCTTTCAATCTGGTTTTTGAGTTAGATAAGTGAAGCTTTCTCATTTATTGTGAATCCCGGGATAAAGTGGTTTCACCATCCACAGGTGAAGTTGGTTTGCAACATGTGTATATATATATATATATATATATAATCCAACCTGAGGACTGCTTGTTCCTGATAAAAAAAAATGTCCTGGTTTTACCACAATATCCTTTAAGAAGGATGAAATAATTCGTTTTAAGGAATCTATATATATTTAAAGAACTTAATACAATTCTTACCCGAGTGTAAAATATTTTTAATAACAAAAATATTTTATTAACGTCAACGTTAGCTATGACTATTCTTGAATTGATTTTGATTAAAATCAGTAAATAATTTCACTGGTTCACCATTTATTTTACAGACTTTTTGTATTTATTTAACGGCTATTTTGTACTTCGTGGTGGTTTTTAGTATATCACCTTCACTCTGACAGTCTATGACTTTCTAAATCGTAACTTCAATGTCACTTTCAATGAAGGTCAGAATGCACATGGTGGAAATATAGTGATATACTGTCATTCGAATATCAACCATGGTGGATCTCGATATTTTTCATCCTTTGTTCTGGGTTTAATCTCCAGATGGCGCTAAATTACATCACTTGCAAGAATGTTTTCAGTAGTAAACACGTATATATTTTATGTATACCAAAAATAGTATTCAAGTAGTTTACTACATTATAAATTGTATTCAATATTATTTTTAAAATTTAATAAAAAAATCAAAACTTGATTCATTCGATAAATTGTACATATTTGGTTTGAGAATTGATCGTACAATTTACGATCAGGCACAGTTTGAAGGTCACTGTTTTTTTACACCGTGGTGTAACTACGCAACATGAAATTGAATCCCTTTACAACACTGGTAGACACGAACAGATGTTTTTATTATTTTGTTTTGCTTTTACCTTTTCACAACTTCTTGATGGAAACTATAAATTCAACCAAATAAATAGAATTAATTGTAATTTGTTTGTGACCCAAAATATATAATCGACTGTGCGATAATATTCAAATGTGGCCAATGCATAATTATGTGTGGGTATTCATACCCAGCCCAAAGGTGGCTGTCACATATGTGTTCACATTATGGACACACTGGTCAAATTTTTGTTTCCTTTCAAATAATTTTGTTTTCCCAAAATCAGCTGTTTTTGTATTTGCCGTCAAATAATATTTGTTGGTCAGATTGTGACAAAGAAATATTTGACATTTTTCGTCAAATATTTGCCCAATGTGACCTTACCTTAAATATACCATTGAAAAAATTAATCGCGAAATTAAACAAAAAATCGCCAAAATGGCCGAATAAAAGCTGTAAAAAATACAACTAAGCGTAAGCTGGCTCTGCCTGAACCGACAGTTCAGCTGTTAACAAACAAAAACAAATTGTAAATAAATAAACAAAATAACATTCCTAGTTTTCCAGTGATTGTGTTCAATTTATTTATTTATTCAAAAAATGGATATTTCTGTTGCCCTATATGTTATGGATGATGTGGAGGAGCCTGCTGCTTCCAAATACTGGCACTCCTCTGGCGGACCCAGGACTCTTTTTCATATAATCAACTAGTGCCCGCAGCTCTGTAGTAGATGATTTGTTCGGAATTCTCGTTCTGTAAATAAATATTATATTTGTTGCTGACATATTATAATCGTATTTATTATTTTTACTCACCTTCTTGTTTCCATTTTCAATCATAGCAATTTTTATGTTGAATTATAGCAATCACACAAGTGACTTATTTTGACATTTGTGTTCACATGCGCGCGAAAGAAAAAAGATAGCAGAACGCAAAATTACACTGAAATGCTTACTTGCTTTTCGTTCGTATAATTTTTCGTTCTGATGGATTTTAGTGTAACGGAAATCAGCTGTTTGTCGTGTTAAAGGAGTACGAACGTATTCTTTCCATATCGTGGAATAGGCTGTAAATGAATGAAAACAACTTGTTGCATATACATAATTTTGAATAATTCTGACAGCCTCAGAGCTGTATTTCTGTAGTTTTACGAAGCTGTTCTAACTCTTTATTGTACCAGGGTTATGTATGTTTTGTAACCCTCTTTCTTAATTATCCTACCTCATGCAAAAGGCGGAAGTTTTGGAAATCATCTCACCCCCAAATGACATGCAGCAGAGCGACATTAAGGAGGTACGTAACGAAATGCCACATTGCATCAGTTAACATTAATACCGCAAATGGAAATACCTTCCAAAGTTCTGATTAATTAATTGACAAAATAGGCAATGAATGACTTCTACAATTGCTAAAGAATGAATGAATCGACCATTAATGTGAAATCGATTTTCATGTAAAACACCCATTTATATATGTATGTCATCAGTTAATGTAAGAATGTGATTGCTAAGACGGGGTAAACAAAAAACCCGGAGTGGCTTTTTTTATTGTAACACAAAAATACGGCCGTTATATAAGTAGATATAAACAAGCCTCTTCAGTTAGTATACGAGTTTATACTTTGCTCTTCAATACGTATTTATATAACGGCCACGGTCCCAGTCGAAGAAGGAAATATGACATTCGCTCGAAGTTTCGCCAACAAAATTCCAACAAATAAAGTAATTATCCTGGGAAGTCAGGGAGTAGGAAAAAGCTCCCTAATTAAAAGTTTCTTGTACGAAATCTTCGATGACAGTTATCAGCCTACCGTTGGTATCGAATTTGTAACAACGACAATGCACTCCAGCCAACGGTATGTGCGTCTTCAAATGTGGGATACAGCTGGCCAAGAACGTTTTTATTCCATATTACCGTCGTATGTTCGTGACTCAATATTGACGATAATAGTCTATGATATTACCAATCCATTATCTTTTCGACAAGCTTCTAGATGGATTGATGTCATACGAGCCGAAGAACATAGGGAAGTGAAAATAATGCTTGTAGGCAATAAAACTGATATCTGCGAGGAACGTCAAATTACAACAGATGAAGGAGAAAGGACGTCAAAAGCAAAGAATGTAATGTTTATAGAAACAAGTGCGAAAACTAGATCAAATGTCAAACAAATGTTTGAGTTGGCCACGCAAACCTTAATAGAGCAACAGATCAAAATGGAAATAAAAAAGCCTGAATTGAAGGTAGTAGAATCGCCAACGGGTTGGCAATGCCATGCTTGTTGCAAAAGGCTGTTTTGATCGGATCTAACGTGAAGCACATCTATGACGTGTAATCGCAAAATATGTCTTCTAATTCCTTTCGCTGGTTTTTATTAAAAGCGAATCGATGTGGGTAAATCTTGCAAGGAACTTATGGATCTATGGCAAATGGATAAGATAGAATGTTTCATAGGCCACAATACAGTAAGGCTGGAAATACATAAAGAGCATATTTGGCTGGCTTCTTCGGAAATGAACAAAGAAGCCTACAGCCAAAATCGAACTAAGTCAACCTACAACTCCTTCGTTCGTCTACGAAGAAGCCAGCCAAATATGCTCATCATGTATTTCCAGCCTAAGATTGTCAATATTGTAAATACTCGAATGAATCGTGGACTTTCAAGTAGTGGAATCAACTAGAATTCGCCTCAGCAGAAAAAAGAGTGTGCATTTGGTATATGTTAATATCGACAAACATTACAGCAGAAATATTGAATTGTTCAGATTACAGACTTGTATCGAAATACACATAATTTGTATGTATATGCATGGCATAATTACAAAAGGTAGAACAAAGCTATCCCCTAAATACAATTTTTTTCTTTTGGTGCTCCTATTCTGTTAAAACATATACACAGTTTATATATGTGTGTGTATTGTTCTGAATAAAAAAGACAATAATTTGAAATTGTTTCAAATTTAGAGACAAAAGAAATGCTTATTTGCCACGTTAACGTTAAAATGTATAATTTTGGGATATAACAAACTTGTTGTTTTACTATCTTGGATTCAATTTTGTCCAATATTCCACTCAAAAAACGGTTAATAAACAAAACCAAATTGTTGCATGTTTAAAAAATCTATTTGACATAATAAGACTCCAGTAAAGAGTTGCATTTTCCTAGCATCCTTGAACTTGAGCAACCTTTCTTATTGAGCCATGTGTATGTATGTGTAATTTGTTGTATATTATCTTAAAGAAAAATTAATTTAATAATAAAATTTGTTTGAAACAAAAATGTTTTATTAAGTTTGTCATTCCTTTTGTAACACCTCAAAATATACATTTTAGACCCCACAAAGTATATATATTCTTGATCAGCATTAAATTCTATGTCGATTTAGCGATATCCGTCCATCTGTGGAAATCACTCTAGCTTCCGAACGAAAGGAAGTAGGTTGATAAAATTTTACTCAAATGTGTATTATGTCTGCAGGACTTTTGGTATTGAAAATGAGTCATGTAGGTTCACGTTTTGGGTTATTCACCGAGTTTTTTTTTTAAGTTTCGAATTTGAATATTGTAATGGCTTATGACAAAAGTTACCTATGCAGGTCCATGTCATCGTATAAACCCTAATATAACAGCTACATTCGGTATTTTTAAGATTTTAACAGAATTTTTAATGGATTTTATTGTTTTTGAAAATTTCCAAATTCATTCCAAATGGTTCAGCTTTTTTACTTGTTTTTAATTATTTACTTTCCCCCTTAAAGAGTTGATGTAAATGGCAGTATTACACTGACTGTAATACATAATCTATACATAACAAATTATTAATTTTTTATTGGCATATGTTACATATAAGGGATAAAATTAACAATTAGGGTAATTATTCATAGTTTTCGCTCGAGAGAGTTTCGTTCTTTGTAAAAATTCGAGCGAGATGTTTGGAGGTCTGCTTATGACTCTAATATTTTATTTTTCTATTTTAGATTATATTTGTGCCATGTATTATACGATGACAATTCTTTTTTTCTATGTCCCCTCATTGTCCAATTTATATTTTGTACTTCCTCCTTAGACATGGGCGTACGACCGCCAAGAAATTTACATGCATTCTATGTCCCCTCATTGTCCAATTTATATTTTGTACTTCCTCCTTAGATATGGGCGTACGATTGCCAAGAAATGTACATGCATTTCCAGCCAAATATTTTGTCATTTTCACATCGATTATACTATCTATTCTAGAGAAATGCAGAGCTGGGGATGCTTTTTTGAAATAAGATTACTTCCTGAGGCATTACTGCCTCAAGAGTCTTGTTATGGTAAAATTACGAAGGAAAAGTAAATTCAAATAAACCTATCCTTTGTCAAATTTAGCTGGGTAGAAAACAGACCCCCATCTCCGGTTTGTTTGTATACAATGGATTTGTAAATATAAATTTTGACAATGAGATGTTGTCAAATGAATAATTTTGAAAATTCTACCATGAGTACATGGCAGAATCAAGAAGGTAAGGTCATGATATCATATATTTACAATTTTTTTTTTCGAAATTATTCATTTGACAACATCTCATTGTCAAAATGTATATTTATAAATCCTTTGTCTATACACAAATCAGAGATGGAAACCTTTTTTTCTATTCAGAGAAATTTTTCAAAGTAAATTACAGAAAGTGCAGACAAAATTAAGATCGGCCAGAACGATTAAGTTATGCTGGTATCCTTTCTTCTCTTCAACGACAGGACCACCCTGTCCATTTTCCAGACATCAGAAATTTGGGTGACATACACAACTCCCGGTTGTTGAAGCATCACCATCGATATTACACTTAGCCCTTCGGATGACATCACCATTGAGCCGGCTGGAAGAGACTTAAGGTTAGAATACATAAAACGATTTTTGACTGACTCAAGTCATCGACTGGCTTCTTCGTGTAGGAACAAAAGAAGTTTTAGGTTAACTTAGATCGATTTTGGCCCTACGCTCCTTTGTTCTATTCCGATGAAGCCAGCCGATGACTTTTTGGTTCTATGAAAGTCCACGTTCTGATTTGATATAAACCATGGTAGAAGAATATAGGTAGACGCGTCGACACAGCTGCTGGGACAATGAACTGTCAAACCAATTTTTTAATTGAAAATGTTGAATGAAAAATTATTTAAATTTGCAAAAATTGATGAAAACGCGAATTAAAATAGCCTCCGAATGACGTAGTACAAGAAAACATATAAAAATCTACTTATATTTGAAAAAACATTTAATTTTTTTTGACATATCAATGCTCCCAAGCGTTGATGCATCTACCTATATTCTTCTGCCATGATGTAAACTTAGGCGAATACCATGTTTACATATACGTGTGGATTAAACTGTCATTTTCATTGCGTATAAGTACAATCTGAAATCCCTTGCGAGGTATTCACAATACATAATTGGCAGTTGGAATGGATTTTACAAGTGGTTACACTGTTTACGTTACTGTAAGTTGGATAATTCTAATCCGAGTGTTTATTTTGATGGAACTTAACATTTTTAGATCAAATATTTGCGTCAGACAAAAACACTGTAAGAATGGAAAGACCGACAGTTGTGTATATATTTGTTGTTATTAATTCTAAAACGAAGACGAATATCTGCTCTCACTTTAATTGGTTTTATACCCTCTTTATAATCAATGATGTTTATAAACAGTTTCGCGTATTGTCTTATCAATTATTTTGCTCAATACACTACATTTATTTGGGATTCATGTTCAAATGTGTCGTTGGTCAGAACTCGTTATCGACAGCGTCTGAGCCATGTTTTATGAAATTGACACGAAATGCCTGTGTGTAGTCCACATTACACTAAATTCCTATCAAACTTATTGAGGCTATATTGAGGATGTACATTTTGATACATCCGACCGAATTCATTCTAGAAACAAATACATCAAACTTAGTGAAAATCGATTCAGATATAGTTATAGCTCCCATATATATTTCATCCGATTTGGTGTTTAAGTACCTCACATTTGTAATATGCATTCAACAACAATGATATTTTATACCAGATATCAGATACAGCCCAGAAATAGCTCTGCCAATTTGTATCAAAATCGGTTTAGATTTGGACATAGCTCCCATATATCTTCAACCGATTTCGGGTTTATTGTGCAGATAATAGCTAACATTTAGATTTGTTCGAATTGGTCACATTTGGCATGAATTATGGAGTTCAAACGGTCAATAAAACCGTCACATGCTGCCCGAATGTTGCTCTGCGACTTGAGTTGATCGACACTTTCGCATTTTTAGTGTCAACCTTGCTTTCCAAAATACTCCAGACACAATAGTACAACGGATTGGTATCCGGAGATTTTGGTGGCCATTATGCGCTGGAAATGAAGCGAGGAATCTCATTTTGTAACCATTCTTGGGTGGCGCGTGCTGAGTGCGATGGTGCTGAGTCCTGTTGGAATGTCCAAGGTCTGCCCAAGGCTCAAATACACCCTCCAGAATATTTTCGCTATAATATTCGACATTTATTCTGATGCCACGGTTGATTAATACGAGCGGAGAGCGACCATCAGCTGTTATGGCGGCCCACACCATCACCATGGCCGGAGCTTGAGTTCTGGTGGCAAACCGAAGGTGTACAATTTCAGCTGACCTCTTTGGCAAGTAAACACGATCATTTTCTTTGTTTACAAACTGATGGACAACGAATGTTTTCTTGTCGGAGAAAACCAAATTCGGCAGTTCACCACTTTCGGCCAAGCGAAGCAACTCTTTAGCTCTTTTGAGTCTATTTTCTTTCTGTTGCGGTGTAAGTTCTTGCACTTTTTGGAATCTCAATGGCTTTACCTCGAGCTTACTTTTCAATATTTGCCGAATGGAATATTGCGATATGATCAGCTCTCGAGCCATTTTTCGGCCAATGCGAAGCGGGTTTCGACCAAGTCGCTTCTTTACTTCTCGAACCATTTCTACTGATGTTGCTGTTTTCTTGCGTCCACTTCCTTGACGTCGGGCCACGCTACCAGTATCACGGTAACAAGCAATGGTACGAGACACAAAAGATTTATTCACATTTAAATGCAGGAGTGCTCTAACGATAGTCACTTGTGTTTTTCCAGCCAAATATAAAGAAATCACACTATAACGCTTGAATTCCATCACGAATAACTTTTTTCCTGGAAAATTCTCACCAAAATGCTTTTGTACGCTTGCTAACAATATAATGAGCTGTCACTGGAATAATTTTAACAGCTATCGGACGAGTGGCTTAGAAATGACAGCAGTCTGAAATTGGTCCCAGTTTTTTCATCTCACTCTGAATAGCAATTTTATTTGTTGTAAAAGATTAAAATGTCTCCGTCAAATTTTGTGAGATTCGATTCAGATTTGGATATGCATCCCATAAATTAATTCCCCCTGAAGCCCAACTATAACTGCTTTAAAGCCAAATGTTGATAGGTGGTATGATCTACTTTAAATAAATTATTTTGTTACGGAAGCTTTTCAAAATATGTACAGTGGTGTGGGGTATCATATAGTCGGCCCCGCCCGACTTTCCACTTTGCCTTACTGTTTTTTTTTTTTTTAAATAAAGGTACAAAGAAAAGTCTCAACCTTATCGCAATTTCCCTTCCTGACAATTTTTTTGATTTTCTTTGCGAATCTCAAAGTTGTAGAGCCTAACAATGTCGAGCTTGCCACACAAATTCTTTTTTTTTTTTTTGAGTGTGTTTTTGAAAAAGTTTATCTTGAGAAGCACTCGTCTCAGGCTGCAAGGCGCTAAAAACAAATTAATCTTCTCGGTCAGTTTATATTTACTCGCCATGGCTAGCGCAGCAAAAAACATCTACTTCGCGGTGGTGGTTATTTTGATATTCGCCAATATACTTTGCGAAGGGAGCACATTAACAGCCGTAACACCAACCGGTCGTTTAGTTGGTGGCACTGGTGCAACGGCAAATGTTGCTCCCTTCATTGTGTCGCTACAAAAGGATGGCATTCATTATTGTGCCGGAAGTATTCTAAATCAAAATTGGATAGTAACTGCCGCCCATTGTTTAACTTCGCCAACTCAGGTCAGGAAGAGCACTCTTGTGGCCGGGAGTATCAATGTAGCAGGTAGCGGCTCGACCACCCAGAAGAGATCCATTGATTATTATGTAGTACACGATTTGTATTTGGGTGGCACCACCCCATACGATATTGGTTTGGTCTACACGAAAACACCCTTCAAATGGTCAAGTGCCGTGGCTGCTGTTTCGCTGCCCCCCAGCGGTGTGGTTCCCACTGGAAATGCCATCATTTATGGCTGGGGTAGTACATCGACAACAAATACAGCTAAATATCCATCCATCCTGCAGGTGGCAACAGTTCCCATAATATCATTGCAGTCATGTGAGTCAGCGTTGGGAGCTAAGGGAAGAGATGTTCACTCGACAAATCTCTGTACTGGGCCTCTAACAGGCGGCATAAGCATTTGTACTTCCGATTCTGGTGGACCACTGGTGCAAAAAGTCAACGGTAAAAATGTTTTGATTGGCATTGTGTCATGGGGCAAGTTGCCATGTGGTCAAGCTAATTCGCCATCGGTGTATGTCCGAGTATCGGCATTTACTACGTGGATTGCACAAAACCAGGTGGTACCATCTACATTGGGCTAAGAAAAGTAGCGGAAATGCTGGCTTATCATTTTTTTAAATTACATTATAAATAAATGTCGATAAAACAATTAATTGAAAACTCAGTATTACTTTGTATTTTGTTGGTGGAGCCCTTTTAAGGGGATTTATGATTTGCAAATAAATTGAGGTGTTATCTTCAAGTTTTGCCTATATGGTTTAATATGAATATATTTTTGATAAATACCATTGTAAGCAACGCAGTTGGCGCATTTCGACTTGACGAGAGGGGATTTTCCTTCAATGACTAATATATTTATATAAAAAGTACCTTTTAAAATATTAAAATATACTAAATGTGGCAATTACAAAACAGATAGATAAAGTTACACTAAATGCAAAAGAACAATTTAATTTTTTTAATACCCACCTTAGTGTGGAGGGTATATTAAGTTTGTCATTCCGTTTGTAACATTTTAGACTCTACAAAGAATATGTATTCTAGACCATTTCGTATTAGGAGATGTGTTCGGTATTTTGATGATGATTTTATCGTCATTGTTCACCGGAATTGTTTCAAATTACGTATTTAGAATTCGTAATGGGATCTACAGTCTGAGACAGAAAATTGTCTACGCAGGTCCAGGTCCCACATATCAGTACCTCCCTATATTTGGTATTTAGACGAGTTTAGGTACAATACCCTCCGAAATTGTTTGAGATGTCGTATTTGAACTTCCTAATGGATGCTACAGCCTATGACAGAAAATTGTCTATGCTGGTCCAGGTCTTCGCACAGCTCCGATGTAACGGTACATCCCTATATACAATATTTTGATAATTTTAACGACATTATTTACCGGAATCGTTTCATATTTGGTATTTGAAGTTCGTAAGGAATACTACATCCTAAGTCAAAAAATTAGCCATGTAGGTCCACGTCTTTATATAGCCCCCATATAACGGTACTCCCCGATATTCGGTATTTTGATGATTTTAGCGACATTATTTAACGGAGTCGTTCCAAATTTGGTATTTGAAGTTCGTACTAGATACTGCAGCATAAAACAGAAAATGGGCCATGTAGATCCACGTCTTCGTATAGCCCCCATATAACGGTACCTCCCGATATTCGATATTTTGATGATTTTAGCGACATTATTTACCGGGATTGTTTCAAATTTCGCATGTGAAGTTTGAAATGAATACTTCAGCCCATGCCAGAAAATTGTCTGTGCAAGTCCACGTCTTCGTATAGCCCCCATATAACGGTATCCCACTTTGTCGTATAGGCAATCGGCATTTCTAAGATGTTAACAGAATTTTTAACGGATTTTATTTATTTATTTATTTATTTTTTTTTTTTTGGAAATTTCCAAATTTGTACCAGATGGTGGAAGGTATTAAAAGTTCGGCCCGGCCGAACTTACAGCTTTTTTACTTGTTAATTTATGGACTCGAAAATCGCTGCAAAGATTTTCCTGAAACCGTGTAGTACTACATCGCCTGAAAGTAACATAGGCTATATAAATTTTTGAAATTCACTGGGAACTGCTGGTGGCAAGAATCGGAGGTATCTCCCAAAAATTTAGATTTTATATGCACATATCTATTGATAGATTACAAATACAGTCTCCAAATTTTAGAATGCATAACGAAATTTAAAAAGAAAAAACATTTTCCAAATTATATTGAAATCGGTTCAGATTTAGATATAGCTCCTACATATATTTTCGACCGATTGCGTTTATTTGCTATGTGCCAAACATGCTATGTATCTCTAATTTCAATGAAATTTGGAATGTGTGACGGAATTTAAAATGAACATACGTTTACCAAATTATATTGAAATCTGTTCAGATTTGGATGTAGCTCCCATATATATTTTCGGCCGATTTCATGAATGTTATGCACCAAACACGATATGTATGTCCGATTCCAATGAAATTCAGATAGTGTGGCGGAAAATTCAGATGGATTTGGATATAGCTCCCATATATATTCTCTCCCGATTTCACATATTTGATGAACCAAACTCGGTACGTGCATTTAATTTCAATGAAATAGGGAAGGTGGGACGGAATTTGGTGTAAAAGTAAATTTTGTCAAATTATATTGAAATCGGTTCAGATTGGAAGGTGATTTTATTAAGAAGCACGTACCCACAAAGCCTTTCCAATGGCATTAGGCTAACAGTAAAAAACTACACAACAATTTAATTGAGGATACGATTATTACGGGGAAGTATGTTGCCACCTTGAATTCTCTAATTGCAACAGAAATGCCACTCAACTTCAAAAGATTCAGTTTCCTTCACGTTTGACATTTGCTATGAAATTAATAAATCCGAAGGACAAACTCTTCGTATATGCGGACTAAATTTGACATGTTCCTGCTTTTCTCATGATCAGCTATTCCCGGCATGTTCACGCGTTGGCAGACCGAGCTATTTCTTTTTTTTTTTTTTTGAATTTGTTTTATTTTTTTAACCCAACAAATATTCGTATATAAAATTTTGAATGCATATAAAATCAAAGGGGGTAGCGAAGCGCACCGGGTTCAACTAGTTTGCGTATAAAGAAAAACGATTTCACCTTTAAATGACATTATCGTTATTAATATTCATATTTTGTAATGATGACCTTGAATCTTTTTTAGGAATAGTCACTTGCTGCGGACCATGTATCTCTCTTTTTGCAGATCCTGCTGCGGGCGTTCTGGTGGCAATATTTGTAGGTGGTTTTGTTGCTGCTGTTGAAAGAACTGGGGATAGTTTTGTTGATGCTGTTGGAAAAGCTGTGGTTGTTTTTGTGGTGGTTACTGTTGTGACTGACAAGAGCCCGATATTCGGTATTTTGCTGATTTTTGCCACAATTTTTCACGGATTTGTATATAAATTGGCATTTGTTGGCCATGATGGGTTCTAGTTCCAGCGGCGAAAAATTGTATGTATAGGCAGCCCACATATAATGGTACCTCCCGATATTCGGTATTTTGATAATTTTTGCCACATATTTGCACGAATTTGTCTAAAAATTGGTATTAGTGGGTCATAATGGGTTCTAGCTCCGGTGGCGAAACATTCTATGTGTAGGTCCACGTTTTGCTATATCCCCCATATAACAGTACCTGCCGATATTCGATATTTTGATAAAGATTGGTAGTTTTAGTTCATAATGGGTTCTAGCCCGGTGGCAGAACATTTAATATTTAGTTCCACGTTCTCCTATAGCGCAGATATAACGATACCCACCGATATAGTTTACTATAGAGTGCATGATATCACTTGGAGAAGGATTATATTAAAAAAATATATATCAGAGCCGAGTTCCACAAAATGGAAACGTACGTCCCGAAATTCACTCTATTTGGGCTGATATTTGCCACTATTTGCACAATAAACCTGAAATCCGATTAAGGATATATATGGCTTAGCCGTTCTTGATAAAATTTGGAAAAGGTATTTCTGAACTCTATATAATATCTGGTACCAAATATCATTGCTGTAGAATGCATAGTACGAATGAGAGATGAGAAATATATATGGGAGCTATAGCTATATCTGAACGGATTTTCACCAAATTTGATTTACATGCTTCTAGACTGAATTCGGTCGGATGTGCCAAAATTCAGTCGTTTGAACTTATATTGGTCATTTGGTGCACAATTAACCCGAAATCGGTTGAAGATACAGGATGAGATGAAAAAACTGCAATCAACTTCAGACCGCTGTCATTTCTAAGCCACTCATCCGACAGCTGTTAAAATTATTCCAGTGACAGCTCATTAATTAATCGACCGTGGCATCAGAATATATGCCGAATATTATCGCGAAAATATTCTGGAGTATGTATTAAAGCCTTGGGCACGCAAATATTTTGGCCGCAGACCTTGGACATCCAACAGGACTAAGCAGGCGCTACCCAAGAATGGTTACAAAATGAGCTTGCTCGCTTCATTTCAAGCGCACAATGGCCACCAAAATCTCCGGATACCAATCCGTTGGACTATTGTGTCTGCAGTATTTTGAAAATCAAGTTTGGCACTAAAAAATAAGTGTCGATCACTTTATGCAAGCGCTTCGCCGGGAATGGGCAGGTAATTTGGACTTATATTGGCTATTTGGTGCATAGTTAACCCGAAATCGGTTGAATATATATGGGAGCTATATCTAAATCTAGTCCGATTATCACTAAATTAAATATGGTTCGTCCTTGGCCAAAAAAATATTGTTTGGAAAATTTCATCTCAATCGGATAATAAATGCGACCTGCATTTTGTTCACAAAAATACATGGACAGACGGGCTGAGATGCATAAATCGACTCAAAAAGTGATTTTATGAAGATCCTCAAAAGTAATTATGGGTCTATCTCGCTTCTTCTCCCTGTTACAAACAAATGCCCAAAGACATAATACCACTATGTGGTGTAGGGTATAAAAAATCATATTTGGTACTAATGCAATTACATGACCCTCATGGAATACTGACTCACTGTTTTTAATGTCTCCATAGGCCTCGAAAAAACCGTGGATTTACTATTGACAATGTCACAAAATATCTGTAGGAAAAAACATTGCTTGTCTACGCTTGGTCAGTAGTACTGGTGACAAAGTCAATAGTAAGTCCGTAGTTATTCACCCTTGATATTTCCAACATGGCTATTTGACAATTGCAAAAACTCAGGGAATAAGCTATTTGGGAAATGGTGGAAATTGAAAATAATAAGATAAAGTATTTATCTAAATATTTATAAAAATGTGTACACTTTTAACAATTGGTTATCAAATACTTGGAAAGCAGAATTTCTGCACACAATTTGATTAGTTCTTATTAAATTCTTTTATTTAATTGCAGATATGTGTGCTGTGTATTAAAAAACTCGCGTATTTTCTTATCAATAATTTTGCTCACCACCCTACATTTGAGTGCGGTACAGGTACAACATGTCTTCGATTTGATTCAAGTTGAATACTGCTCGAATTTTCAATGCAATGCAATTTGAGATGATAGACATTTTGTAGTTGTTAGAAGGGTATAAATGTCGCCCAGCTGGAGTATGTTTACATATCCAAATGATAGGCAAAAAATAGCCAAAATGGTGTCAGAAAAAAGGTAAAATGGAGGTAAGGTAATACCCTCCGCATTTCTATATAAAATATCTGAATTCAAACGTGTAAGACAGTTTGAATAATGCTGTTATCTACCATGGTACAATGAAGAGAAGGTAGGCTCATGGTACAATGAAGAGAAGGTAGGCTAACTTTGAAAAAATTGCAAGTATAGAGGTCTACCTGTTTGGCTTGTAATGTCAAAATTACTATCAAAACAATAAAAAAGCAAACAACTTGTTGCATTGATTTTGAATAAATAATTTAAAACCGCGAAAAATGAATGAAAGGTCAAAATTTCTTTTCAAAATCATGTTCTATATATTTCTTATGGTTTATTTCGCGACAAAAACTGTAGATTTTGTCGATGCACACGTTGCAATAAGCATTTTGAAAACACCCGAATTTGAATATTTTCTGAACAATTTTTTTGTAATTGAAAAGAAAACACACACATAAACAAACGAAGTTGACTTATTAAGCCAGAAAAATAAAAAAAATTAAAATCATATGGTAGTTCTGCCCTACCTTGAATTCATTGTACCATGTTATCTACCAAATCTTTATAATACCAAATTTGAAACAATTTCGTGGGTAAATGTAACTGGGATTATTAAAATACCGAATATCACTGGGTATCGTTATATGTGCGCTATAGGAAAGAGTGGACCTATATATACTATATTCCGCCACCGGAGCTAGAACCAATTGCGAACTAAAAATCATAAAAATGCCGAATATTGGAAGGTGCCGTTAAATGGGGGGCCATACCAAAACGTGGACCTATATATACTATGTTCCCCCACCGGAGCTAGAACCCACTAGGACATACAAATACCAATTTTAAGACAAATCCGTGAAAATATATGGCAAAAATCATCAAAATACCGAATATTGGGAGGTATCATTATGTGGGGCTATACAAAAATGTTTCGCCACCGGAACTAGAACCCACTATGACCTACAAATACCAATTTTTAGATAAATCCATGGAAAAATGTGGCAAAAATCATCAAAATACCAAATATCGGGAGGTACCGTTATATGACGGCTATATCAAAACGTGGAGAGATATATCTCATTTTCAATACCAGCTATCCTAGACACAATACAAATTGTTCTGCCAAATTCTGCTTTATGTGAAATAATGTGGGTTGTATCGTGATTTAAACAAACAGACGGACATCGTTAAATCGACTTAGAATTTTATGCTGATTATGAATATATACACCTTATGGGGTCTACTATGAATATTTGGGGATGTTACAAATGGAAATACAAAGTTAATATACCCTACTTTTCAAGGTGAAGGATAAAATTAGTGTTTATTCACATTGTTGACCGTCATAAAAATGTTTCCGCCGCGTTTCCTATGTAAGAACCCAGTACTTCTGCATAGTATGTTGATTCCGCACGGGATTTGAAATAAATCCGGTCGTGAAAAAAACTATTTTTTGGATGGTAAATCTTGTTGAACAAATCCAAACACTCACGATATCGAAAGAAAATTTACAAAAGCTAGTCACTCACTTTCGTATCAGAGTGCGTTCCACAAACATTTGTTCGTTCTTTCGTGACTCAGTGTTACTAAATATACCTTTGAAAAAAATAATCGCGTAGTTAATCAAAAAATCGCAAAACTGACAGTTTTAAACGCGAAAAAGCTGTAAAAAATACAACAATATGTCAGCTGGCTCCGTCCGAACTGACAGTTCAGTTTTAAACAAGCTAATTGTAAATAAACAAACAAAATACAAGGTGATATAAAAACAAGTTAAAAAGCAGTAAGTTCGACCGGGCCAAACTTTGAATACCCTCTACCATTTGAAACGAATTTGGAAATTAAAAAAATTAAAATCCTTAAAAAATTCTGTTAAATTTTAAAAATACCGAATATTGCCTTTATATGGCATATTAATCACGCTATCTTTCGAACGAATTGAGATAGAAGGCTAAAATTTTACACACGTATTTATTTTTCCAGTAGGCAGGTTAAGTTCGTAAATGGGCCATGTAGGTCTATGTTTTCATATAGCCCCATTATAATGGTACCTCTCGATATTCGGTATTTTGATGATTTTAGCGACATTATTCACCGGAATTGTTTCAACTTTGGTATTTGAAGTTCGAAATGGATGCTACAGCCTATGACAGAAAATTATCTGTGCAGGTCCACGTCTTCATATAGCCCCCATATAACGGTACCTCCCAAAATTCGGTATTTTGATGATTGACATTGTTTACCGGAATCGTTTCAAATTTGGTATTTGAAGTTCGTAATGGATACTACATCCTAAGTCAAAAAATGAGCCAAGACGTGGACCTAGTCTTCATGCACCAATATAACGGTACTCCCCGATATTCGATATTTTGATGATTTAGCGACATTATTTAACGGTATTGTTTCAAATTTCGCATTCGGTATTTTTAAGATTTTAACAGAATTTTTAACGGATTTTATTTTATTTTTTTATTTTTTTTTTTGGAAATTGCCAAATTTGTACCAAATGGTGGAGGGTATTAAAAGTTCGGCCCGGCCGAACTTACTGCTTTTTTACTTGTTTTAATTTTTATTGAATGAAACACAAAACGTCGGAAATAGCATTAAATCTTAGAATAAGTTTAGAATTGCTCGAATTGGTCATCTTTGGTACAAATTATGGCCTTCAAACGGCCAATGAAACCGTCACAGGCTGCCCGAATGTTGCACTACGGCACTTTGGTCCATTCCCGGCGAAGCGCTTGCTTGAGGTGATAGAAACATTTGTATTTTTTAGTGCCAACCTTGCTTTCCAAAATACTCCAGACACAATAGTCCAACGGATTGGTAGACAACGAATGTTTTCTGATCGGAGAAAACCAAATTCGACAGTTCACCACTTTCGGCCAAGCGAAGCAACTCTTTAGCTGTTTTGATTCTGTTTTCTTTCTGTTGCGGTGTAAGTTTCTGCACTTTTTGGAATTTCAATGGCTTTACCCCGATCTCATTTTTCAATATTTGCCGAATGGAATATTGCGATATGTTCAGCTCACGAGCCATTTTTTGACCACTGCGACGCGGGTTTCGATCAAGTCGCTTCTTTATTTTTCGAACCATTTCTGTTGATGTTGCTGTTTTCTTCCGTCCACTTCTTTGACGTCGAGCTACGCTACCAGTATCAAGGTAATGAGCAATGGTACGAGACACAAAAGATTTATTCACATTTAAATGCTGGAGTGCTCTAACGATAGCAACTTGTGGGTTTCCAGCCAAATATAAAGAAATCACTATCACGCTTGAATTCCATCACGAATAACTTTGTTTCTGGAAAATTCTCACCAAAATGCTTTTGTACGCTTGTAAACAATATAATGAGCTGTCACTGGAATAATAATAACTGTCGGACGAGTGGCTTAGAAATGACAGCAGTCTGAAGTTGGTTGCAGTTTTTTCATTTCAGTAATATTCCGAGTTTCCCAGTAATTATGTTAAATTTATTTATTTATTCCAAAAATTAAAAAATGAATATTTCTGTTGCCCTATATTTTATGGATGATGTTGAGGAGCCTGCTGCTCCAAATATTAGCAATTCTTAGGCGAACTCAGGATTATTTTTCATATAATCAATTAGTACCCGCAATTGTGTTTGAGATGATTTTTTCAAGTTGGAATTGAGGAAATAAAAAGTATATTTGTTGTTCACATATTATAATGGTATTTAATATTTTTGCTCACCTTTTTGTTTCCATTTTCAATCATCGCAATATTTATGTTGAAACAATTCTCCTAAATTATAATTAGACGACAACGTGGTAGAAGAATATTGGTAGATGCATCAACGCTTGGGAACATTGATATGTCAAACATTTCAAAATGTTGTTTCAAATAAAAGTAGATTTTTATATGTATTCTTATACGACGTCAATCGGAGGTTATTATAATATGCGTTTATTTAACAATTTTTACAAATTTGAATAATTTTTCATTCTAAAATTTCAATTGCAAAATGTGTTTGACAGTTCATTGTCCCAGCAGCTGTGTTGATGCGACTACCTGTATTCTTCTACCATGGACGACAGCAATCACACAAGTGACGGATTTTGACATTTGTCTTCGCATGCATGCGAAAGAAAATAGATAGTGGAACGCAAAATTATACTGAAATGCTTACGTTTTCTTTCGCTTTGATGTTCGTACAATTTTTTGTTCTGATGTATTTTAGTGGAACGGAAATCAGCTGCTTGTCGTGTAAAAGTTGTGCGAACGTGTTCTTTCGATATGGTGGAACAGGCTGTTAGTTTAAGCATTCTCAACTCTCTCCATAATATTTATCGCTACATTATTTTTGGATATTTTTTTAATTTTCTCTTTTTGGTTGTGTATGAATACGTAAACAAAAAAATAAGCTGAGCTGCATTTATATCCTCATAAGAATGTATATAGACACACAATGTGAACCCACTGGGTATATTGAATCCAGTAGGTTAATCTTCAATAGTATAGTATAAACGAGCTATTAGCCGACTTTGCTGGATATCATTGAGTAGCTATTGCCTTTATGTTTTGAGAGTCTTTATCTTAGGAAATATTTAGCAATAAATTGATAGAAAGCTTAATCGTTTAGGTCAGTTCATTTCTTCTCACCATGGCTAACAGGCGGAAATTATTATACTTTCGTATAGTGTTTATTTTGTTGAATTTTCAAATATGTAAAGGAGGTACATTGACAACTGTAGCACCGATTGGCCGTCTAGTTGGTGGTACTGATGCAGCTCCAAATAGTGCTCCCTTCGCTGTGTCGATCCAATTGGATGGCACTCACTATTGTGGTGGAAGTATTCTGAACGCTAATTGGGTTGTTACCGCAGCTCATTGTTTATCTTCATCCACACAAGTTATGAGCAGTACTCTTGTAGCTGGAAGTATTTACGTTGCAGGCACGGCCGCTACAACCCAGACCCGTTCCGTTGATTATTTTGTTGTGAATGACTTGTATTTGGGTGGAACAGCTCCGTACGACATTGGTTTGATCTACACCAAAACTCCATTCCAATGGTCAAGTGCAGTGGCTGCTGTTTCGCTGCCCCCCAGCGGTGTGGTTCCCACTGGAAATGCTTTAATCTACGGTTGGGGTAGTACATCGACAACAAATACAGCTGCATATCCCTCCATTTTGCAAGTTGCAACGGTCCCCATAATATCTTTGGCGACATGTGAATCAGCTTTGGGGGCTCAAGGGAGCAACGTTCATTCGACAAATCTTTGCACCGGCCCTCTTACAGGCGGTATAAGTATTTGTACCTCGGACTCAGGTGGACCATTGGTACAAACAGTAAATGGTCAAAATGTTTTGATTGGTATTGTGTCATGGGGCAAATTGCCATGTGGCCAAGCAAATTCGCCATCGGTATTTGTCCAAGTGTCATCTTTTATAACATGGATTGCACAGAACCAAGTAGTACCATCCTAAAGGTCCCAATAAAGTTGGGGCACAACTAATAAATCCAGTGGATTTCAAATGTAAATACCATTAAGTATGTGTCGAAGGAAATCCACTGGATTTATTATTTGATTCCAATTATTTTTCTAATTTCATTATTGCAAATAAAATAAATTGATAAAGCAATTAATTCAACAACTTGGTATCTATTATTTTTTTCTCTTCAGAATTGTTATTACTGGTTATCAGGAAATTTAATAAAACTTAAGACAATACGTGATAGCTATTATTATTTTTAAATTAATTAAGCTCTTATCTCAATCACATTCCTAATGTATTGCTTGACATAAACATGTTTGCAAAAAAAAAATATGACTTCGTATCACCCTGTGACTTAAAAAGTTTGATAGTAGAAAATTCCTTTAGGAGAATAAAGGTGAGAGTATATAAAAGGCTTTTTTGACTGGCTTAGGTCATCGGCATTACAAGGTACGAAAAGAACCATTAGCTTTGAAATTCTACCAAAAAATTGTACTGTAGTTGTTGTTTTAAGTTACGGAAAGGAAAGAAGTCTGAAATGCAAAGAAATAAAAACCAAGAAAGGATCAGTTCTCTGAAAGATAAATTGGAAGTGTTGAAAGTACGTTTTTTACACCTTGTGAGTCTTTGTTTACATTTATATTAGATTTCTCAAGTGTCATTAGTGTTATTTACGCTTGACAACATTGATATGCCAAAGATGTTAAAATGTGTTTTCAAAAATAGGTAGATTTATATATTTTTATATGGTTTGACAGCTCGTTGTCCCAACAGCTGTGTCGATGCGACTACCTGTATTCTTCTACCATGAGTTGTACAATACTTGATATCATGGTACAATGAAAAGGTATGGTAGAGCTACCAGCTGATTACAATTTTTGTGTAAGCGTGGAAATACATAAGCGCTTATCTGGCTGGCTTAAGTCATCGTCTGGCTTCTTCGGAAATGAACAAAGGAGCCTAGGGCCAAAATCGAACTAAGTCAACTTAAACCACCTTTGTTAATTTACGAAGAAGCCAGCCGATGACTTAAGCCAGCCAGATAAGCGCTTTATGTATTTCCAGCTTAAGGGTGCAAGTACATAAAAAGCTTGAAGTCATGGCTAGGCGTATTATTGTCAAATTATAATGGAAAACGACGGCAGGATTTTAGTGCGGCTCTGTAATCCCTTTATGAAGTGTCACAAAATAAACCTAGCCATGACCTCAAGCTTCTTATGTACTTGTACCTTAAGTGTGCCCGACTTCTATCAATTTTCTGTCTGTATATATCGTTTTGAATATTAAAAACAAAATATTTTCAAAATTAATGATTGGAAAAAACTTACGCGCATTAAAGCTTTTAACCAGTTTTACCAATGAATTGAAAGTTTTAACAGTTTATTTCATGTTATTGAAAGCAAATCCGGGTATTTCAGTCATCTTTCGGGCTACGTTAATCATTTTAAAAATAAGGAAAAATATCAAATAAATGCAAACAACTTGATGCATATAATTTTGTATGAATTGGACAGGAAGCGGGCATAACTTCAGGGCTGTATTTCTGTAGTTTTAAGAAGTTGTTCTACCTCCTTATTGTACCATGCTTGCTATGTTGCAATTCATTTTGACAATGACTCAAAAAGAAAGGTTGCTCAACTTCGAAAAAACAAGGAAAATGCAACTCTGTACCGGAGTTTTATAGTGTCAAATATATATTTAAACATGCCACAAAATGTGAATGAAATATTGGGGTTTCTCCACAAAATTGAATCCAAGATAGAGGTACATTGTTGTTTCATAGCAAAATAATACAATTTTTCCCCTTTAACGTTGAAAATATGTATTTTTTGCATCTAAATTTGAAATAATTTCAATTTATTATTTAATTCAAAAAAAAATACACACATACAAGCTGTGTATATGTTTTGAAAGAATAAGGTCATCTCTATCATTTTTGTGACTAAAGTAACTTTATTATACGAATTGGCATTTATGAGAAAAATTGGCATACCGACAAGCCACTTTATTTGAAAACTTCATTTCTTTACACTGCATTACCGACATTTCGAATAAGAATCTGACAATTATACGATATCAAAACTTTTGATTGACAGTAAAACTGTTGGAGAGAAGAAGAGATATCTTTATTTTATGTGAAAATCTTGTTTTTTGTGCCGCCTCTCTAATATTTATAGAACTATTAACAAAATATTATTAAATTAACAAATAGTATATTTGAAGGAACTAAAAAAAGTCACAAATTAAATTATGTCTATGGAAAACGTTGATGATATATCAAATATGCAACGCGATTTTGCCGATGTTGATATAAATAACGGAGCAGATTCCAACAATGAAGATGAACAAGAGGAAGAAGAAGTGCCATCTCCGGCCACAAATAATAATGGTTTAAGCCAATCTTCAATACATGTAAGTTATTAAGAATTGGGGCAAACGTTAGAGTTAGAAAAGAAAAATGAGGGTAGCCTATGCATTGGAAGGCATCCGGTAAAATTGCCAATACGCTTATAGCTTGCGTGTCAAAAACGAACTCTTCAATCTGCGGTGTGTGTAATCTGTGGTGCCAAGTGTAAAAAAAAATACAAATTTAAAAGAAATTGATGGGCGGTGTCTGTGGTGTCCAACATAATTTGCTTTGCAAACAGCAGGGAATGAGGCGTATAATAGAGCGGACTATCTGCAGTAATTTCTTTTCTAGTTTAATATAAGATTGTTGGTATTGTACACACAGCTAAGCAGATTCTTCTACTCCCCCCTCTCTTTGTATGTTCTTGTCATTCTTACTAAACCGCAATATACATATATTAAATATAAATATGTTTATTAACTTGCTCAATCATCCTTTGTTTATTTTATAATTTTGCATTGCTTTTTGTTTTTGTATATATTAATTCATTTGTTGCTTATCAGGTTAATACCACCACCAAATCGGTTGTTTATTTGTATTGTGGATTGTTTGTTCATGCATCAGTGCAACTGTTTGAATGGTTATGAGCATTATTTCCGTTCTGCCCAAAGTGTTGCACTCATCGATGATGGTCAAATCGGTTATGTTCCCTAGTTTTCCTTTTTTTTCGATGATTGAATTAAAAACAAAACATGTCCAGTGTTCATAATTGATTGATAATGTAGAATTTATGAATATATACGTACAAAACATTCTGATTCATTTCAAATGCAGCAGAGATAAAAATACAAAATGTTAAAAGTTACTGATAAGGTTTTTTTCATAAAGCAAATATGGTTATGTTTAATACCCTTTTTTATTAGTGACGTAGGGCCTCTGTACGGAAGGGTTGTTAAGTTTGTAGATGCCCAAAAAAATTCTATTATTTTCAGATATAATGATGAAAATCTTAATAATCAGCAATTTTTCATAGTTATGTCGATTTCTTTCCTTCTTTGTTCCCGCTAAGAGCCAAAAATACCAATTTATAGCCATGTGGATTGGAAGATTCGACAAGGGTCTATAGGAATTCCTCCTCAAATATCTAAGTAAAAAATATGCTCAACATAAAAAATTATACCTTTCAACCCAAAAAAAATAATACCTTGCGACCTAATATGGGAGCTAAAAAATGGTGGGAACATATCGGAAATTTTTGTCCAGGCAGGTTTTATATTCTCGTTTTTTATTAAATTATCGGTTTTCAATTTCAGCGCATTTTTTTTTTTGTTTTTTGCTGCAGTATATGCAATTTTCAAAATACATAAAGTTTGGGGATACGGGGGGTTGGGGGATATGCTAGATTGATATTGAAACATACAACCAGATAGGCTGGCAATTTTTTCTAATGGTAGCCTTGTAATGTCAAGGCATATGTAAAGGGTGAGATAAAACAACTGCAATAAAGTCAAACGCCATTTATTCTGATGCCACGGTCGATTAATGCGAGCGAGAGCGACCATCGGCTGTTATGGCGGCCCACACCATCACCATGCCGGCGCTTGAGTTCTGGTGGCCAACCGAAGGTGCACATTTTCAGCTGACCTTTTTGGCAAGTAAACACGATAATTTTGTTCGCTTACAAACTGCTGGACAACGAATGTTTTCTCATCGGAGAAAACCAAATTCGGCAGTTCACCACTATCGGCCAAGCGAAGCAACTATTTAGCTCTTTTGAGCCTATGCGGTGTAAGTTCTTGCACTTTTTGGAATTTTAATGGCTTTTGATGTTGGGCTACGCTACCAATATCACGGTAACGAGCTATGGTACGAGACACAAAAGGTTTATTCCCATTTAAGTGCTAGAGTGCTCTAACAATAGCCACTTTTGGTTTTCCAGCCAAATATAAAGAAATCACACTATCATGCTTGATTTCCATCACGAATAACTTGTTTTCTGGAACATACTCACCAAAATGCGTTTGTATGATTAACACAATATAATGAGCTGTCACTGGAATAATTTTAACAGCTGTCGAACGAGTGCCTTGAAAATGACAGCTGTCTGAAGTTGGTTGCAGTTTTTTCATCTCACCTTATATGTACTGTTTTGAATAATAAATCAAATTCAAATCAAATTCTGTTAAAATTAAAATTCAAATTTAACAGCTATTTGTGATAATACATGTTAACTATCTTATTTTCCAGCGTCGTATCTCATCAAGTAACATGCAAGATGTTCTATCCGATAATGGTGACTATTTTATCGAAATAACAGTATCAGAACCCCAAAAAGTTGGTGATGGCATGGGTTCATATCTGACATACAAGTAAATATATTATATATTTGTTTATTTTAATATATATGTATATTAATAAAACTTCATTCTCTCCTTGAAAGGGTTACAACCAAAACCAACATTCCTAAATTTAAGCGTACCGAATTTAGTACACTTCGGCGATTTAGTGATTTTCTGGGTATACATTCGCTGCTGGCTAGCAAATATATAAAATTAGGAAAAATTGTTCCACCAGCACCGTCAAAAAATATTTTTGGTAAGTTCTATAAAAGAAGATCTCTTCCTTGAACAGTTTTGAACACAGGGACCGATTTCTCGTTTTCGATATTGGACAAATGTCGATTGGAAGGAATTTGCCTCTAAAGTTACAGATATAAGGGCCCTTTTTACTGGCTTAAAGGAGTGGGTGAATAAACAGCTTGACATCATGACTAGGCATTTTAATGTCAGATTATAAGAATAACGACGTCAGGGCTCGAGTGCGGTTATGGCATTCCTTTATGATATGTCACAAAATATGCCATACGAAGACTGCAAGCTGCTTATGCACCCATATCTTAAGTCGTAGGATGAACAAATGCAAATTGCGTAAAAGCCAGCCGATGACTTTAACCAGTAAAAATACTTTGTATCTAAACCTTTAGAATTAGACTTTAATCGGCATTTTCAATTAAACCGTTATCTCATGCACTCGAATTTATTTCGAATCAAATTTTTATACCCTACACCACATAATGGTAAGGGTATTATGCCTTTGTAGCATGTCCGTCTGTCCATGTATTTTTGTAAAAGTACAGGTCACAATTATTGCCCAATCGAGATTAAATTCTGCACAAATAATTTATTTGACCCAAGGACAAACAATATTGAAATTGGAAGTAATCGGTCAAATTGTAGATATAGCTCCCAAATATATCTTCAACCGATTTAAGGTTAATTGTGCACCAAATGGTCAATATCAATCTAAATATCCTGCATTTTGGCAAATTCATACGAATTCAGTCTAGCAGTAAGTACAACAAAATTGGTAAAAAATCATTTCAGATTTAGCTATAGCTCCAATAACTATATTTCATCCGATTTGGGGTTTTAGGTCCCTCACATGCGTAATATGCACTCCATAACTATGATCTTTGGTTCAACATATCAGATACAGCCCAGAAATAAATGCATACAATTTTGTCAAGATCGGTTTAGATTTGGATATAGCTCCCATACATAACTTTATGCGATTTTAGGTTTTTTGTGCACTAAATAACTTATGTCAGTCCAAATGGACTGAATTTTGCCACTACCGACGAAATTCAGTCTAGAAGCAAGTACATCAAATTAAGTGAAGATCGGTTCAGTTATAGCTATAGCTATCATATATATGTTTCATCCGATTTGGTGTTTAAGTCCCTCACGTGCGTTATATGCACTCCACAACAATGATATTTGATACTGTACCGTACCGTATCAGATATACCTTGAAAATACCTCTGCTAAATTTCATCGAGATCGGTTCAGATTTTAAGGTTTCTATCAACTATATGTTATATCAGCCCAAATTGGAGAGATTTTTTCATATTCAACCGAATTCTTCCTTTTGATGATACTACGGTATATTTATTGCTCAAATAAATGTTTTTTAATATAGTTTTCATCGAAATCATATCATGCACTATACAGATATGGTTGGGTTTAGAGTTGGATATAGTTCCCAAATTGTGACTGCTCTAAAGACATGATACGCTTTCAACTAAGGTTCATAGTTGGTATGATCTACTTCCCATAAATTCCCAATATAATATTTTTGTTACGGGAGCTCCTCTAAATACACGTCGTGGTGTAGGGTATTATATAGTCGGCCCGCCCGACTTTGACATTTCCTTACTGGGTTTAATTTGGTCCTGTGACACACACACCTTTTTTTTTGTTTAAAAGGTACTACAAAAGTTAAAATAAGTCCCCAACAAAATGAACCTGGCAATGGATCCAATGTTGAATGGGTAGAACAGCGCAGGGCCGCATTAGAACGATACATTAATCGTACCGCTCAACATCCAGTGCTTAGAGTTGATTTGGATTTCGTTAACTTTTTAGAAAGTGATCAGGTATGTATTTCTTTTGAAAATTTTTTCTAATATTCCAACAATTAAAAAGAAATCTTAAACATTTTTCAAAGGAGTTACCTCGTGCCGTTAACACTGCGGCCTTGAGTGGAGCTGCTGTGGTGCGTCTATTCAATAAAGTTGGTGAGACTGTTAATAAAATAACATATAAAATGGATGAAAATGATCCGGTAAATTTAAAACTCCCATAATTTCAAAGTTTAAAGGTAATTTTAATAATCTCTTTTTTTATTTTATTTTTTTTTTAATTTGCAGTGGTTTGATGACAAAATAACTGAAGTGGAAAACTTGGATAATAACCTTCAAAAATTACATTCCGCATTAAAATCCCTGGTTACCACGCGCAAAGAACTGGCGAATCTTACCGGTATGGTGGCGAAATCGGCTGCCATGCTTAGCACGTGTGAGGAACACACCGGTCTTTCGCGAGCCTTATCAAGTTTGGCCGATGTTGAGGAGAAAATAGAAATTTTACGTTCGGAACAATCAAACTCGGATTACTATATTATGTCGGAATTTATAAAAGACTATTTGGGTTTGTTTGTTGCCATTAAATCCGTATTTCATGAACGTGTTAAAGTTTTTCAAAATTGGCAACATGCCCAAATGCAGTTGTCTAAACGTCGGGAAAATCGTGGTCGTTATGAACTGAATAATCGAGCTGATAAATTGGAACAAGCTCACCAGGAAGTGGAAGAGGTAAGGTGTTGAAACAATGGATTATGTTTTTTGTAGTTCAATTCAAATTCACTTTTAATTTATTTATCAAACTTGTTATTCACTTTTTATTCTTAGTGGCAAGTCAAGGTACAAAGATGTCAACAACAATTCGAGGAAATTTCAACAGAAATTAAAAAGGAAATGGAACGTTTTGAATTAAATCGGATACAAGATTTTAAGGCAAACATTGTCAAATATCTTGAAGATCAGATGGCCCATCAGCAGCAGGTAAGCCACATAATCTCAGAGATTAAAAGTAATTATTAAAAAAAATGTCCATTCCATTCTAGATAATAAGCTATTGGGAGTCATTTGTGCCCAGTGCCCGCGAGATTGTTTAAAAATGAGGTCATCCCATAAAGTCAAAACGCGTTTTCTCTTACTTGTATGTAACAACCAATGCCAATGTTTCGCCTTTTTAAACTCCACAGCCACTACAAGTGGAACATAATTGTTGTTATACGAAATTCCCTTGATGCGTGGGACCAAATGCGTTAAGACCACCCCCTCCAAGACACACTATGGCTTTGATAAAATACCACCAATAAAATTGATAACTTTTTTTGTATATTGCCGTTGCTTAAAACGCAATTACATTTCTAATTAATGCGCAAAACCAGAGGAGTCGAAATATTGTTGCTTTAAATTTCTATCTACATAAGATTTGAATCTTATTTGACTATTTGTGCATAATATCATCACCTTTGTTAAGATTACCTCAGTCATAAAGTAATTCAATTTATTCTGTGTTATTCCTCCTATGGGGACACACACATATATAAAAACATGAAACGTTCCAACAATTATTTTAGACACCCTCACAGATTTAAAATCTCGTACATTTACTACATTATAATTATTATTTCTTTTTGTTAAAATATCTATGTATTTCCATGAAACTTTTAAAGTTTAATATTATGTTACTGAAAATTATTATTATTTTTTTTTTTCTTAATTTTATACAGCAAAAAAACACATTTTTTACATGTTATCTATCGTTATAAAAAAAAGAAAAGAAAGAAATCGAATCGGTATTAGACAAAAACTCCTAACGGTAAACAAAAATATATAAAAAGAAACAACAAAATAATTGGCCTTCACACATTACCATTATCATGTTTGTATTAGAATACAAAATGAGAGTTAATAAAGGGTTTAAGAAACATATTACATCATAAATATAATATGATCTATATATATTATGTATGACTATAAATCAACAACACACACACACACACATTTATTAATATGTATTATTTTCAATTAAAAATCATATTTGAAATTTAAAAGAAATTTTTATTAAAATACAAATAAAAGAACAAACTGTATATAATGTTAATAATAAAGATTTTTTATTTCAAGTTTTGTATGCTTTGAAAGTCAACCTACGTAACAAAGCAATATCCGCGTTTAGATATTGCATGTGTTGATATCATACACACTATTGCAGTGTCTGTAGCTAGAAATGTCTTTCGAAACAATTTCGGGTGCCAACCAAAAAAAAAAGAAAAAAAAAACAAGCAAAAAGCTCTAAAAATCTAAAAAATCATAATTTCGAATAGGGCCGGACCGACTAGGCCCACCCTGACTACGTCAGTAAGGGCCCATGGCTTTTTAACCGATATTGCATTCTACGTTAAAAAAAATACATAACTTAATTTTAAAATAAGAACCCGATAATTGGATAGTATAAAAAGCAAATTACATTTTGAAAATCCACCACTCCCAAAGAAGTTTTTAAGTGCTCTGTTGAAAACCTGCTAGAATCTACTAGTTTTAAAATTTTTGTAAAGGGAAAATCGGTTGTCGCAGTAAAAACTTTTACATTCTTGCAGCTCTGAACAGACCAAATATTGTTGATATTCATTGGTCTGTTCCAGAACTGCAAGAATGTACAATTTTTTACTACGATAACAGATCTTCCCTTTACGAAATCGCAAAACTAGCAGATTCTTTCAAGTTCTGGAACAGACCACATGTTTTGAATATATTGCATATTTTTACCCAGGGTACGGAAAGGATTTTTTATATGGGAGAGAAAAACTTGGGTGTTGAATAACCCATGGCAATATTACTCAAGGTAGAACAAAGCTACCCCCTAAATACCATTTTTTTCTTTTCTGTCAAAACATATGCACATCCATGGCACAATTACAGAAGGTAGAACAAAGCTAATCCGTAAATACAATATTTTTCTTTTTGTGCCCTTATTCTGTCAAAACATAGTACACATTTTTTGTATGTGTGTGTATTGTTTTGACTAAAAAAAAATTATAATTATTTCAAATTCAGTTGCAAAATAAATTCATATTTTTGACGTTAATGGGCAACACATTCCACAATTTTGGGATATAAATGTATTTATTGCAACACCTTTTATGTTCTTAAGAGTACATAAAAGGATGACACAATTACAGAAGGTAGAACCTTTGGTAGAACAAAGCTAACCCCTAAATACATTTTTTTTCTTTTGGTGCCCTTATTCTGTCAAAACATATACACATTTTGTGTGTGTGTGTATTTAAAAAAAAAAATACAATAATTTGAAAATATTCCAAATTTGGTTGCAAAATAAACGCATATTTCGACGTTGGGCAACAAATTGTAAAAATTTGGGATAAACTGTATTGTCCTACTATTTTAGATTCAATCTTGTGGAATAACCCCGAAATTCCATTCATGTTTCGCGGGTTTTCGACACTATAAGACTCCTGCACAGAGTTGCATTTTTCCAGTTTCTTTGAAGTTGAGCAACCTTTCTTGTTGAGCCATGTACACATCTTTGTATGTGTGTGTATTGTTTTGAATAAAAAATTCAATAATTGCAAAATAAATGCATATTTTCGACTTTAATGAACAACGCATTGTATAATTATGGGATGCAACTGTATTGTCCAGCTATTGTAGATTAAATCTTGTGGGATAACCCCCAAATTCCATTCTTGTTTCGTGGATTTTCCACAATATAAGAATTTTGTTAAAAAATAATGAAAAATTAACGAAACCAACTGTTGCATATTTAAAAGTCTATTTGACACTATGGGACTCCAGCACAGAGTTACTTTTTTCTTGTTTCTTTGACGCATATAAACTCATGCCGTCTGATAGCGGCTTTATGTGCCAAACACTGATCTTATGACCATGGTATGATTTACTAAACAAAGCCCCAGTGTCATTCGTAAAAAACAGCTTGTCGGCATTACGTTTCACTATCATTCGTAAACAAGAAAAACTGTCTGTGATTTTGTTTTGCGTTACTCATTTTTCATTGGACATCCTCTCTTGTTTCTTATTGGAACATTTATAGTTGGATAATAGTGAACGGATCAAAACAAATTAGGTTTTCGCAATTATCAATCCAAGTCCTTTTCGTTGATAATTTTTTTTTCAATTGTTTCCATTTTTTCTTTCCGGCAGCGAAAATCAGCTGCTTTGGGAGAAAAATAGCGCCGCCTACAATTAACTACAACCAGGGATGGAAACTGTAGTAAAATAGAACTTTTTTAATACATCTCCTTTCGACAATTTCACAAGTACCCTGAAGCGATTTCCAGAACTCTTATTTTGGGGAAATGTAAATTCAAAAGTGGATAAAAAGTGATAATAGAATAAAAATTAATAATCCATTTTACAAGAGGAAACTGCTTGCATGAAAAAGTGCAGACCTTAGGGTGGAAATACATAATATGCATATTTTGCTGACTTAAGTCGTCGGCTGGCTTCTTCGTAAATGAACAAAGGAGTTTTAGATTGGCTTGGTTCGATTTTGACCCTAGCCTCCTTTGTTCATTTCCGAAGAAGCCAGCCAAATATGCGTATTATGTATAACCACCTTAAGTAATTTTAAGCTTAGTAGCTGTAGGCCCATTGCTCGCAGTCATATTTAAAGGGGGGAAATACATTAAGTCTTTCAGATATCTTATATAAAATATTTTTTTCTTAATGCTTTATTTAATATATGTATATTTTCTTTTTAAAAGTCTTTCCAGAATCTAATTTACGGGGAATGGTACAAACACGCAAATTTCTATTATGCCATGTATACGTTAGAACTTTTTTTACTTTATTTAAAGTTTATATGTAAACTTAATGTTATCTTTTATAGTATTCTATTATTAGATATTTGATTTAATATATTGGTTGAAAGCCTGTCATCTATGTCCATGGCGCATTAAATCTAAAATACGTAATATGCTTTGCGTAAAATAAATTCTATTTTATTATAATTTTAATAATGTTCGCAAAAACGAAGTATAGAGTCTTTAGTATAGAATTCTCAAGATATCTTCAGTGTTCATAAAAGTGACATAAAAAACACTATTTGAGTACTATTCGAATCTTGAACTTCCATCCCTGTACTTAACTGGCAAGCAACCCCGCCGTTGAGAAAAACACTCGGCTGTGTAGTTTGTCTGTCTTTAGTTATTGTGGAAAAAAATTGAAATGGCCTGCCGCAAAGTTGTGTCGAATTTGTCGATTTTGTCAAAGAACGGCAAGAATTTGATTGCACCCTTGGCCACCAGTCCAGTGCGTTCATATTCTTCACGCAACGATTTGGAAAAAGTCACCCACACTGGTCAAGTAAGTTGGAAACAAACCCAGACCCATTGCATGGGCAAATGTGTGTTTGGTTCTGTTACGCAAACGTTTCGTTGCGAATTTCTTTCTTATGACAATTATAAATAATGTTATATTTTTCAGGTCTTTGACGAAAAGGATTATCGCAATGTCCGTTTCAACAATGCCAAACGTTATGTCAACGAAAATTGGGGTATTAAGTTAGTCGATGAGATTCCTCCCAAAGAATGCACAGAACGTGTGGTATACTGCGATGGAGGAGATGGCCCATTGGGACATCCTAAGGTTTACATTAATTTGGTAAGTTGCAATAATATTACCGATCGACTATTGCTTAGCACAGGACAAATAATGGCTTAACTCTAGTTTAGTAAAAACTCTCGGATATTTGAACCGATATGGACAAAATAGTTATCTTTTGAAGGCTAATGAGAATACCTACCCAAAATAAAAATGTCCAACAGCGGTTTCGCGAAGTAAAGTTTTTTATACTGCAAAGATCATTTCAATATACCGAACATAATAGGCTCGTAGCATTTTGGAAACTATAATCTGGCATAATTTTTTTTTTTTTTGACTTTTGGGAGATTTAAAAAATCTCGAATTTTAATAAAAATCTGGAATCCTTTTAATTAGCTCCATCATGTGGCCACTTGTTGATTAGGTATTCTCATTAGCTTTCAATTTCCAGGGTAAAAATACCTACCTCTGGAAAATTTTTCAAAAAAAAAAAAAATCCGAGAATTTTTATTAAACTAGAGTTGCTCCCAAATAATAAAATAGTTGACTTAACAACAAATTTACACATTCCCAAGGGCAAGGATTCGACGATCCCAAACGACCCGAGTTTTACTGGATCTAGGTGTTATTTCATGCCACTAAAAAACAAGAAATTGAAACCATGTCATCAAAGTTAAGAGCTTGCGGATGAATCTTAGCTATTAAGATAATCAAGACTCCCAGGTTACAAAGTAAAAATTTGGATGCAATTATGGTGTTAATATTGTTATTGGCATAGCTCTGTTCCAGAACCTGCAAGAATCCACTACTTTTGCAATTCAATTTTTTGCATGTCAATATTATAAACGAGTTCTGGAACAGAGGCAATACATAGTGATAGGTGTCGTGCATTAATAGACCGATTGAGCAGCCACACTATCAATACACGTTGTTATCTGTCTACGTTAAAAGTAGGACTACTTTCCTTGTGAAATTCGCACTGTATTGTTCAAGTGCTGTTCGAACGAACTCGTATAATTACGATTCACATCTGCCTGATAGACCTGTAAAGAGACTAGCTTCTTGCGTGCCTAGTTAACGAATCCAGTTTACAATGATACGGCAAAGATTGCACACATGAAGTTACTTCGCGGAGAAAATTGGGTTGTGCTGTCGTACGGGAAAAATTTAGATCTCTCACGTAGATGGCCCTTTGTGGTAGTACTCTATTGTAGTCGTAGCGCGGTATTGTCACAAGCCTGAAAATTCTCTTCCATTACGTAGCACATAAATTGACAAACCTCGCTGTCACGACATAGCTCCCCTGACTGACTTGTCTGTTAGCATTGAGTTCAATCGTATGAACGTCCTACTAGTTGCTGAACACAGACTAAGGGACTTTTTCCTATTCCTAATATTATTGCGAAAATTGATTTACTCGAGATATTGGAAAATATAAGGAGAGTACAATTTTGATAGTTCATGTAATAATTTCAAAACTACTTTGTTGTTTCAAAATGGCCAGGCTTAATCCCATTATTGTTGTTTTTATAAAAACAACGTTTGTTTATTAGTGGAGAACGATGGCAATGTTTACCAGGGGGTAAGGCAGGGAATACCTAGGCTTCGGAAAGAGCCACCAATCCTCATCAGTTCCCTTGTTTTATGTCTACTATGGTATCCCAGCGCTGCCCTTGTCCAGTTATGTGGGTAAACCTATTCAAACTTAGTTGGGATTAAACTGTCTAACAGAAATTTAAACACATTTTCCAGTAACACCTTGTTAAGCCTAGGTTGTCAAAAATTTTTTTTCCCGAAGTTTGGCAAAATATATCGCAACAATGTAGTAGTTTATATATTACATCGGTATGCGCATTACCCACTGAGTGGAACCAATAACAAGATTTACATTTCGCTTGTATACTGCGGCATTCTGTGTTTAGACCTTTTTGGAAACCACCAAAAGCTTCCTTCGAAAAATGTTCCTTCAGAATGGAAAACTAAATTTGAGGCTACTCAGTTCCGTATGCTAAAGCTTAACAGTCGTTGATCCCCTTGAAATCCTTAAAAGTTTAGGCTTGATTTTTAAGTGTAACATGCAAAGTGGCCAGAATCTACGTTGGCTAATATATTACAATACTTACTTGTGTTTTCCTTTTCTTTTCAGGACAAACCTGGTGCACACACATGTGGCTATTGCGGTCTGAGATTTGTCAAGAAAGATGGTCATCATTAAAACAAATTTAGAAAAATAATATTGCAATTAAATTTAAAAATATCAATTTTGTTGAATATATATTACAAAATAAAATGATTGAAAATCGTTAACACCAAAAGGAATGTGTTTATATTCATCCATATTCTATTTGTCGACGTCCACACAAGTCGACGGCGTTTGTCGCGAATCGGTATTCTAAGTGTCAATATCACAATTTATCGATATTTGAGATGTTTTTTGATATTCTTTAAGAAAATGTAACGACAACATAGAATCCTGAGAGTGCTGTTCAGGGAGTGCCGACACCAAGAATGCGAGTTTGAAACGGTAGACAGTTTTGTTTTGGCAAATGTGCTTGGACCACCTGAGAGTGAAAGCCGACAACTAGAATCAGCAATCAGTTCAACGCCAAATAATAACGGGATCCCTTTGAAAACAATGCCTAATACGTCTACTCAAAAACAAGTAAAAACACATTAAGTAAGGTCGGGCCGAACGTTTAATTCCCCTCCGCCATTGGGTAAGGAAAACATTTTATATAAAAGTATCTGAATTGAAGTGTGTTCCACTTTAAACTACATATACCAGTAAGACCGTTCGGATAATGCCGTTAAACTTATCAAAAAACCATAAAGTGAGTGGGGCCGTTATATAGGGGGGCCATACCAAAACGGGAACCTCTAAGACAATTTAATATAACAACGATTGTTATCTATCGCGAGTCTTAAATGGCAAATTTGAAAAAAAAAAATAGTGGGTAAATGTAACTTTGATTATCAAAATACTGAATATCGGTGGTCACCGTTATACGTGCGCTATAGGAAAACATGGACCTAGATATTCAATGTTCTGCCACCGGAGCGAGAACCCATTAAGAATAAAAATTCCAGTTTTTAGACAAATCCGTGGAAAAATGCGGCAAAAATACTCGAAATACGAAATAGCGGGAGGTACCTTTATATGGGTGCTATAGGAAAACGTGGACCTGTACATACAATGTTTCGGAGCTAGAACCCATTACGATATTTAGACTAATTCGTGGAAAATGTGGCAAAAAATCATCAAAATACCGAATATCGGGAGGTACTGTTATATGGGGGCTATACGAAAACGTGGACCTCCTATTTTCAATACCAACCATCCTAGACTCAATACAAATTATTGTGCCAAATTTTGAAGCTCTATGTAAAATAATGTAAGCTGTATCGTAATCGAAAATGGGCGAAGTAGGTCCACGTTTTGGTATAGCCCCCATATAACGGCACCTCCCGATATACGGTAGTTTGGTTATTTAAGCGACATTATTCACCGGAATTGTTTCAATATTGGTATTTGAAGTTCTTAATCGATACTACAGCCTATGACAGAAAATTGTCTGTTCAGGTCCACGTCTTCGTATAGCCCCCATATAACGGTACCTCACGATATTCGGTATTTTGATGATTTTAGCGAAATTATTCACTGGAAATGTTTCAAATTTGGTATTTGAAGTTCCCAATGGATACTACAGCCTATGACAGAATATTGTCTCTGCAGATCCACGTTTTGGTATAGCCCCCATATAATATTATCAGAGACAAAAGCTGGCTATGCAGGTCCACGTCGTCGTATAGACCCTAATATAACGGCTACATTCGGCATTTTTAAGATTTGAACAGAGTTTTTAAGGGTTTTTATTTTCTTTTGAAAATTGCAAAATTCGTTCCAAATGGTTGAGGCTATTCAAAGTTCAGCCCGGCCGAACTTACAGCTTTTTTCAGTTGTTTTAACAAAAATTGCAAGAGCTGGCGGAACTAATAGAAATGTCAGATTATAATTGTGTATAAACAATCGTCGCCGTTAATTAATACCAAATAAGTATCGACGTCGACAAGTAGAATAATGGTGATTGTATTGCAAGCAACGTTCAAATAGGCCAATGTAAAAAGTATAGCTGCTGTCGAGTAAAAAAGTAAACAACAAAAGAATTTTTATGAAAATCATATTTTTTTCATTTTATTTCCATGAAACTTAAAAAAGCATGTATTTTTAACACAAAAAAAGTATAACTAATTCAATATGTAACTAAAATGTGTTTAAGCTAAACAAAAATACAAAAATTACCAATTTTGTTACATAGCCAAATAATAATTTTTATTTAACTTAATTTCAAATGTCAGGGAATCTCTCTTAATCACCTATTGTAAATGAACAGGGAAAGGCAAAAGTTTATTTATGATATTGGAAATCATATTGGATATTACTCTTTCCAGTTGATATACAATATATACTGAAAATAGAGGAATTCCCCTTAAGTAAAATTTTGAAAATCTACAAACAATTACATTCATTTAAAATATAATTATAACTATAATTATGTTCTCTGCCATTTTCAGATGTTACGTACACCCAACAAGACTTCAAAGTTCAAATTAAAAGACCAGATAAACCATATAAAAGTATCAACTGCTCCTTTTGTTATTGGTACATATTACATTTCGAAATAAATTTATTTTCCTTCAATGCCGTTTGGGAATGTTGGCTATTTCCCATTACCTTTTTTTTAAATCACATTTTATAAGAGTTGTAATTATTCAAAATGTTGACCCTTTGTGGGTGAGGTACTTGATGGAGTGGACCGATATTGTCCATTTTCACACCTGACCTAGCTCTGACGCAAATATTAGGATTTTCAAACTTGCAGCAAAATCGGATTATTATTGAAAATTTCGACCTTTTGTATGGGAGGTACCAGAAGGAGTGGACCGAAATTGGCCATCTCCGAACTCGATCTAAATTTGATTTGATTTTTGATTTTTTTATTAGGTAAGGTAGGTAACGTTTGAACATGGCAGAAAGGTAAAACCAAACTCGAATTTATAACTTAAAATATCTTCATAAAACTAATTATTTCATTACAATCTAAAATAATAATAAAATAATTAAAAATTACGAGAAATTTAATTTCTCTAATATAATCAAGAAAATAGCAATACATAAACTGTTTTATAAAATTAAAATAAAAAGAGGAACTTAAAAGTAAAATCTAAAATTTTGTCTTCTTCGTAAGGAAAACTTCGTTCTAAATGATTGATTGAAAATTCATGTGATGATTTTTGTAGTTCTTTTTTTTTAGCAGATTTTATTTATAAATATTTAGTTATTTGAAATTATAGTTCAACATCAATGTGAGATTTTATTTTAAGAACAAAGAAAAATAGGGTCTTTTTCATTTACTTTAAGCAATGTTACTGACAATTTGGTATTTTAGATGAGCTTTGTTTCGCTGCGTTTTTGTTTTTTTTTTTTGCTTTCAACTTTCATTATTGAGACAGACGACTGACTGTGTATACGTGTTGGTGTGTATGTGTTAGTGGACTATTCCATGAAAATGACTAAATTAACATTTTTTAATTCTAATTAAACATAAAAAAATACTTTTTTTTGCAAGACTTTGGTTTCTCAAAAACACACTTAGATCAGACATTGCAAAAATATTGTTTACTCCGTAAGAATTGCACAAACATTAACCAGAATTGCATTGACCTAAGGTCGGAATATATTCCATATTCCTTAAAATAGAATCTTATCTAAGTGTGTTTAGTTAAATTTTCTCAAAATTTAAAGAAAATATTTCGTTTCATTTTTTTTAACAAATCCAAAAACATAAAATCAATTCACTTACGTTTCCTTCAGCTTCCTCTCGTCCATCCCCGACCAACAGTTAATGAGGAGTTGTCATTAACCTCTGGTGCTTTGAGATGATGATTGAGGCCAATGCCATGCAAATGATATTAAAACGTAAAATATTTGAAAAACAAAAACCTACCAGAGAATTACAGCTCCGCATAGGAAAGTTTTGTTTTGTTTGTTGTCATTCATAATTGTTGTCTTTTCCCAAGTGTTAGGATGTACAAAAGAAATTTTGTACATTGTCATGTAGCCAGAGTCAGCCAACCGGCCAGTAAGAGTCAAGCCAGCCAGCCAACCGACCAACCAAACTGATGGCCAACAATGTTTTCTGCATTCCTGCATAACAATGGTTATGTAGAAGTTACAACACCATCCATCATCATTGCTACAGAATGTTCCAAACAATATAAAGACAATTGTTAACAAAATCGACAATGACTAATTGTTGTTTGTTTTTTCCATTGTTCAACTGCAAAAAAGTCATTATTATTTTGTAATAATTGTGGCATTTAAATGTCCCACCACTCATGGGGGATTACTTTTGTTTTGCTTTGTCTTATTCAATGCAATTGTCAATATCTCAATAAGATTTTCTTCATCTAAAACACCAAATTCGTGGTAATCTATAAACTAAAATATCATTGGAGACGACGATAGGTGTTAATGGTGTTGTTGAATAAATATTTGCCTTTGTTGTGGTTGTTGTTGTTGTTGGTGTTGATTTTAAAGAAGCTAAAGCCATTACTACTACAATCATTATAATAATAGAAACTACATAAACAGAATCCGTAAATAGAGAAGGGTCTGCTGTGGTTGTTGTTTTACACAATGTCTTGTCTTGTTGCTGCTGTTGTTGTTGGTTTTGCTTATTTGCTTTGAGGATAATATTAATAATAATAAATTGAATTTGCAAATTATCAGTGATCTGCAATTGGCCAACCACTGGTCACCAGAGGTTCCGTGGTAAGGCATAACCTTCTTTGGATACATAAACATTACGATCTGAATATACTTGAGCCTGGGGTTCGTTTGAATGTTGTTTCAAATGATTCTTTCCCGTAACGGAACCGGCAGCAGCAGCACCGGCTGCGGCACCATCATATGTAGTAATTGTTTCAGTTTTGCCATCGACGACACGTGTAACCGTTGTAGTTTTATTGCCCTGAGAATCTTGGGTAATCTTTGTAGTTTCATATGTTCCATCCGGTTTGCGTATGGTTTTGGTCATAACACTTTGACTAAACATTTTGGGACCCTGTAAAAATAACAATGAATAGGTTTTAATATGCAATTAATTGGTTCGAAATTGGATGGATTTTTGCACCTTTAACCGAATTTTTCCATTTGATGAAACTCGGTTCGCATATATCTATTGCTACGATAAATATTTTTTAATGAACTGATGGTTCAAAGATGGAAAGTGGAACGGGAGCTGGGGTCTTCTGTGAAAGCCTAAGTATTCAAAGATCCTTCAAACTAAACAACGAATTCAGCATTTTCAGGCAGAAATCTTTGCTGTCAGAAAGTCCCTAGAGCTGCTGGCAAAGAGAAGCAATGAGCAATGGATGGACCAGTGACTATATATGTTGTTAGTCAAGCGGCCCTGAAGTCTCTAAATTCTTTTACAATAAAATCTATGGCGGTTCTGGATTACAGGAATGCTCTGGAAAAGGTTAAGTCGTTTGTCAAACTCTATTGGGTCCCTGCACACTGCAACATATCTAGCAATGAATCGGCTGATGAATTGGCCAGACGCGGATCTGAGTCAGTAGATCGAGAGATTGAGAGCCCAGTGAAGCCACCTGTATGATGAATTCGAAGTGTTGGGGGGGGGGGGGGTGTTGACGATACTGAATACTTTGTCAGGACTGTGAAGCACTTACTCTGCAACTGCCCAACTCTTATCGGAGTGAGACAGATGCGCTAATTTGTTACGGGTAGGGTATTAAGTAATCGGTACGTCCAACTTTCGACCATAGATTTTTATTCTGATTTCGTAAAAACCATTTTTTTTTTCTTGGGGCACGACCCTGGCTACCCGGAATTTTTTTGTGAGCTAAGAAGTGGTCACATGATAGGGTTATCTAAATCTGTTCGGGGGTCATAGAAAAATAATCGATTTTTGAACCTATTCGTATACCCTCAGTAATATGGCTACAGATCAATGTTCGATTTTCTTCCTAAATTCTTTCAATTGAAAGAAAGTTGACCTAAGAAGACCCAGCGGACCCAATACAAATTTGATGGTAGACACCGACAAGCCCATTCTCTCAAGGTAGAAGGTAATTGAGGTAGTTCTTCTGACACCAAGAATGCCAAATCCAAGGAGACAAGGGCTAAAAAGGCTTATCGGCGAGTAGAAAACTTCTGTAGCCGATATGTCGATGGGGATCTATCGAATCTCACTGACAAGGAGTGGGAGCTTATAGGGACGAAACTGAAGTTCTTTACGAAATTCGAGAGGTCATATCCTAATGCAACAACTCTCGATGTGTAGGATCCCCATATGTAGAGCAGTATGGGTAAATAGGGTGGGTAAAGTGGAAGCTAGTTTTAGCAAGGTTTTGGCAAAGAATTAAAAACCATTCATGAACCCTCTAATAAATTAAAATTACAGACCTTTGAGCCAGAACTCACTTCCTTAACTGGAAAAATACTGTTACCCAAATCCGTTGTGAGTCAATTCTTGAGATCACACTTTATTAAAACTACAAGTGATCTAACGGACAATGCCTCTGCATCATCTCAAACATAAACTAATCAAAAGGTTCAGTTTAAAGGTAGCCACACGGAAAAAGTTGGAAACATTCTCCACAACTAGATTCTTTATATCCAATCTTGCTGTATTCCAGAACATTTACCGTTTCTTCATTTTAAAATAATGCAGAAGTTTTCATAGTTTTTAAAACTGCTTCAATTACAGCACTGCATTATTTCAATTGCCCTGTCAATCCTTTCCAACGCATACCGGAAGGTATATGGCTACAGGCCATAGGCCATGCATCCTAAACAGATTAGCATAACAACAATGTATCTATGACAGCTACGTGGTGAAACCCTAATTCAGGAGTTTCTGAATAAAATATTTCTTGATATCTTACCGTATAAGTCCCCTCAAAGGCACCACCGCCGCCAAATGATCCTCTCGGCATCATCGGGGTCATTGGTGTCATAATATCCGGACGACGTGGGAATGCGGGGGGCGGTGGTGCACGTTTATGTTTCTCGCCCTGGGCATCATCATCAAGGGTACCATGAATTTTACCCATTATTATCTCTTCATCGCTCATTTTTGGTTTTCTATTCCAATTACGGAATGCCTTATTATCATTGCGTGGCAAAATGTGGCCAGGCGTCTCGGGATCATGTAAATGTTTTATAACCTCTCCCTCGCCGTTGGCGAAACGTTGCAATAGCGAATGCAATTGATCCGGATAGATTCTATTGAAATTAAAAAACTTAACAAATCGAATCTTTAAAGAAAGCTTATTGTAACTTACTCGCCATCCAAATCGGTGTCATAGTATTTAGCTTTTTGCTTTTCAAATTCCTTAAGAATTTCACTTTCAAAACCGGGTTTTAGATAATCTTCCTTGATGTTCTTTTCAACAATGATGTTCTTGTCTAAAGAAAATGGTAAAGAAGAAAGTTAATTTTCGAGAAACACTTTTTTGTGAGCTATGTAAATTGTACCTCCACCCTCCATTTCGCTGACAGCTTCCAAAATTTGTTGCATTTGACGTTCAAAATGTTTTTGCAACTCCATGGGATTGGTAAATATTTGGAAAGCAAACTTGCGATCATCATCAAATAATTCATCATCGGTCTCGGCCTCTTCGAACCATTGAGGTTTCCGAAACTCATCCTTGGCCAAGGAGCTGAAATGAAATAATATCCATATTGTTATATTTAGAGACTTTTCGGTACTAAAAAAAAACATTTAAAAAAAGAAAGGACTTAAAATTTTCCCTAGTAGAGTCTAGGAATTCTGTGGACAAATCCTGATATTTACAGAAGTGAAAGAGAAGCGGAAGCGCGTACTACAGTAGTGGTATTGGAAAACTGGATAATGATCATCAACAAAATATTACGGTAGGTGATCCAGGAAAAATTACAAGCTGTCCTCTCAATTACATATCTAGTCCTCTCAATGATAACCACCTTTAACGCTAATGAAGAATATTTTAGTTTTAGTGAATCGAAAACGGAATGACAGCAAATGGGCATTTGGATATTCTACATTCAATATTTGGGGACATAAAAAGTGTATTAACTAAATATGCACTTTAAAATCAAAATCGTTATAAAAAAGCTAATATTCTAAATTAAGGAGTTGTGTATAAATCTAGTCCTATCAAATTGTACATCCCAAAAGCAATTCATAAGAATTTTTGGGAAGTGCGCAGCCTCCATACATCAACCAGCCATGCATATATCCTGACGGTATATGATAACTTTTGCAACAAAAACAATAAAATTGTCTACACCGAAATGGTCCATATAGATTGTAGTAGGTATGTGTGTATTAGACAACACAACCACCGCAAACGGAAATTTTAGCTGAAAACATTTGGCCAGGAAATTTGATTTGAAATCGACTGAGTGCTCAGACAACACTGTTGTTTTATTGATTTTCTGCCTGTTCTCTTTTGCCAAAGTTCGACAATTTGAAATTCTCTATCAGCTGGCTAGCCAGCCAGCAGCAGCAGAGTCAATCCATTTTTATATACTATAGGATTTGGTTGTGTGTCTATGCATTTATGCAATTCTAATCGAGAAATTGAAATTAGTCTAGGATGGAATTGAATTATTAATACGTTCCAACAAACAGGTCAGTTTGTAGCGCATACAACAATGTTACGTTATTACTACTTACTCTTTATCCTTGCCGTCTTCCTCCGATTGTTGGAACATTTTCTTCAATATATCCATAGCTCGAAAATATAATTTAATGGAAAACAATATTTGTTTTGCCCACACACGAACGCACCAAACAAATCAAAGATACACAATTTCCCCCAAAACGTTGTAAACCACCAACACGATGATTGGAAATTAAAAGAAAATCCAAACTCAAAGTATCTTACAGATTTCGGTAGTTTGTTTTTGTAATTAGCTTTTGTATTCTTTTTCGTTTATCAGCAGAATATGCTCGAATGTTTTTTGTTTTGCCTCTTTGTGACTTTATTTACGTTCTTTTTGGCAATTTGCACTGTTTTGTTGTTGTCGCTGATTGTTCTTTTCCCCTTGGTTTATTTTATACTGATGAAAGAAAAACACTTGCAATTTTCCAACTTTTTACACAACATATATCTTTCCGATTATTTATCCGCGCGATAATGCAAGACGTCTGTCCCAACCAATCTGTCAAAATCGTTTAACTGAGAGCCGAAATACGACCAAATTTCTCTATGGTATTTTACGAGCTTAGCTGTGTTATGAGGATGATTTTTTTCAAATGCGCATGTTTACTTTTTTTACAATAAATTTTATATGATTTGTTGGTATCCACAGCAACCCTTATGTCACTCACTTTTCTTATTGTTATTTATACAAGTTATGTGAGAATTGTTCTTGTTTCTCCTTAAAATACCCCCGGCTGCAGAATGTCAAATGATGGATTGCCGTGGCAACACTGTTTATGTTCTTTTGACAGCACGTTTGTTGTTTATACATTGTAGCGACATCTGTTAACAAATGTTGAATACTGTAATTTTCTTTGACATATGGCGTTTTGTAAAGCATACTGGCGACATGCCATGCAATTTTTATACCCTCCACCATACATAGTATGGAGGGTATATTAAGTACGCTATTCCGTTTGTAACTCATAGAAATAATAATTTTAGACCCAACAAAGTATATATATTCTTGATCAGCGTAAAATTCTAAGACGATTTAACACTGTCCGTCCGTCCATCCGTCCGTCGTAATCACGCTACAGTCAAAAAGAATTAAGATACGAAGCTAAAATTTTGCACAGATCTGTCTTTTGTCTGCAGGCAAGTCAAGTCGGAAGATGGGCTATATCGGTCCAAGACATCGTATAGCCCCCATATAACGGTACCCCCGATATTCTGTATTTTAATGATTTTAGCCATATTTTTCAATGGAATTGTCTGAAATTCTACACAAGAAGTTCTTTGTGAGAACTTTACTCTCTAACAGACGGTACCACCCGATATTCGGTATTTTTATGATTTTAGCCACTGTTTTCGAAGGAATCGTATATAAAGTCCGGAACCGTTACTACAGCCTATGACACAAATTACTTATGCAGGACCACGTCATTGTATAGCCCCCATATAGCGGTTTTCATTCGAGCGGTATTCTTCGACAGAATTGTTTGAAAATTTTTCAAGTTTCTTCCAAATGATGGAGGGTATAAAAAGTTTGGCCCGGCCGAATTTAGCTGCTTTCTTACTCGTTATACCCTACACCATTCTATGGAGGGTATATTAACTTTGTCATTCCGTTTGTAACTCCTCGAAATATACATAATAGACCCTACGATTACAATTTTTTCTTTTATGTCCCTTCCATGGTAAAATTAAGAAGGTAAGATCATTTCAAAAAGGGATTTCCATCTCTGCATTTTCGGTATTTTACCTTGTCTGATTGCACTGAATAAAAAAGAGGTTTCCATCTCTGATTTCTGTGTACACAATGAATTTATAAGTATAAATGTTGACAATGAAGCTGGGAATACATAAAGCGCTTATTTGGCTGGCTTAAGTCATCGGCTGGCTTCTTCGGAAATGAACAAAGGAGCCATGGTAGAAGAATATAGGTAGACGCATCGACACAGCTGCTAGGACAGTAAACTGTCAAACAAAATTTGGAATTGAAAATGTTGAATGAAAAATTATTTAAATTTGTAAAAATTGTTGAAAAACGAGTATTATAATATCCTCGGAATGACGTCGTATAAGAAAACATATAAAAATCTACTTATATTTGAAAAGAAATTTAAAAAATGTTGACAGATCAATGCTCCCAAGCGTTGATGCATCTACCTGTATTTTTCTACCATGAAAGGAGCCTAGGGTCAAACTCGAACTAGGTCAACCTAAAACTCCTTTGTTCATCTACGAAGAAGCCAGCCGATGACTTAAGCCAGCCAAATATGCGCTTTATGTATTTCCAGCCTGAGATGTTGTCACCGAATAATTTTCAAAAAATTTTAAACATATGATTACTTTACCTTATCTTCTTAATTCTACCATGGGGACAGCTACTTTCGAATGAAAAATATTTCCTTTATCATCCCTGTCTATATGATATATGCTTAGGAATTCTATGCTATCTTTCCCTAGCCTCTCTTTCAGTAGCCTTCGAAAACTCAAGAAGTCCACATCCAAGACCCTCCAATTTTGAATCTCGTTTTTAAGATATTCTAAACATAAAGTAATGTCTAAAATCTTCTCCACTGAGGCGCGGTCGCGTCAACATTCATTTGTATAAAATAATGTTCAAACCATGGTACAATAATATCAAGGTAGGGCCATGATACCATATGATTTTAATTTTTTTCATTTTCTTGGCTTAATATGTCATCTATATTTGTTTATGTATGTGTTTTCTTTTCAATAACAAAAAAAATTGTTCAGAAAATATTCAAATTCGGATGTTTTCAAAATGTTTATTTCAACGTATGCATCGACAAAATCTAGAGTTTTTGTAGCGAAATAATCCCTTAGAGATATATAGTACATGATTTTGAAAAGAAGTGTTGACCTTTCATTCATTTATCGCGTTTTTCAATTATTTTTTCAAAATAAATGCAACAAGTTGTTTGATTTTTTATTGTTTTGATACTAATTCTGACATTACAAGCCAAACAGGTAGACCTCTATACTTGCAATTATTTCAAAGTTGACCTACCTTCTCTTCATTGTACCATGGGTACAATTAAAAATGTAATGTTTACAATTTTTTTCAAAGTTATACATTTGACAACATCTCATTGTCAAAATGTGAAACCTGTTTTCAATAGAGTTAAATTTGACAAGGTAAAGGTGAGAATACATAAAACGCTTTTCTAACAGGCTTAAGTAATCGGCTGGCTTCTTCGGAAAAGAACAAAGGAGCCTAGGACCGTAATCGAACTAAGTCAACCTAAAACGCATATGTTCCTCTACGAAGAAGCCAGCCGATGGCTTAAGCCAGTCAAAAAAGTCTTTTATGTGCTTTTACCTTAAGTTACAGAAAAATACAGAGCTGGAAATTATTATTTAAAATGAGGTTAAATTGATTTAATTGTACCATGAGTTATATGGACCTTACTATCAATTCAAATAAAAATTTCATGCATATTCAAGTTTGCTAGCTCGATTCTTGTTCTATAAGAATATGAAATGATAATTTTTTCCTTCATAGAACTTTCCATTTGGCATTTGTTTCCTTCATAAAAGTTTTCGTTTTACAAGTCCTGAAATATTCAATAGAACTATTTAAACAAAACACCCTTTGGGCATTTTTCAACGATAATTATTATGTTTTATTATAAATAATAATAATTAAGTACACAAAATTTTAAAAATATTTATTACATATGCATATATGTAAATTTAACAAGATAGATACACTTTTATCTTAAATTAAAATTGTATTGTTTAATGTGGGTTTGGTCCATTTATCTTTTGGTTTATGGTCTTAATAAAAATATATGTTCTTGCAAATATATTGTAAAAAAAAACCTTTCATCAATTTGTACCTTAGTGCTGTATGGGCGAAAATTTTAAACAAATTATTAACAAATAAGGCGACAATCCTTGGGATTACGACTCTATGCAATGCCTACGAATGCAGGCTACTTATATTCTATGTTTTCTTTATTCATTTCACGCATTGGCGTTCGTTTGTTCATTTGTAGTTTCATCATTTTATTCTCATCGGCACACTTGGTTGTAATGGCGTTGCGAACTTCCTTTTCGGATACATTACATTTTCGCGTCACAGCAAAGATAATGTCCTGTATTGCCAAAGGATCAAGCATTTGCTTTAGGGGCTTACCATGGCCTTTAAATGCCGGGGAAGGTTTGCCCGTCATGGAGTGGGTTGCCAAAGTCTGTCTATTAAATATGGACATGAGCAGTTTTCGTGTTGCAATCGATGCCGAACTCCAGTTCATACTCTCATACACCTTGGCGGGTATTTTAGTGTTATTTGGACCAATTGAGACCATGACATAGTCTTTGTTGATTTTATTGTCTAAATCGATGTTGTTATTTTTTGGTGTATTAAAATTTTGGCCGTTCACACCATAGTCATTTGTTGAGGCCAGTAGATTTTCTGCCTTCACCGGTTTTAGCAGACTTTTTTGGGGTGTTTGTTCACTTGAGTGTTTTTTGTTGGAATTTGTTAAAACCCCTTGCTCGTTGAAATAGTAGTTGGTGCTTTCATTTTCTTTTCCAGCATCATACGCATCGAATTTCCGTTTTCTTATGCCATTATGTTCAGTACTATTGGTAAGCGATGCCATTGAGTTACTGCGGGATATTTGCGAAGTATTTGGTGTTGAAATTGTATCGTTTTTCATGTCAACCTCATCTGAGGTAAGACAAATTTCCAAACGACCAGAATCCGCCGAACTGTTAAGATTCAGAGCCCCATCATCTTCAGCTAATTGTATTTCAATGGGTTCGTGGCTCCCATCACCTGAACCTTCAGCAATGATGGTATAGCTTACACTTTTCGGGGACGATGTTCTGCTGTTTTGCATTGGATCGTGACTGGAACTGTTGGGTGAGTGTTCAGAACGTTCTACCTTGGGGACAGGATGGGAATGTTGAAGCGATAACGATTCAATAGTTTGTATTTGTATAGGTTTTGTTTGATTGCTTTGTCCAAGTAATGCCGATGTTCTGGCAGAGGTTTCATGTATTTGAGACAACAATTCGGTGTGTGCTTTAAGATTCTCCTCAAGAATGCGTATTTTTTCCATAAGTTCTTCCTCTCGTTTCGATGATTTTTGTTTCTGTTCTAGTTCGTGTAGGAAATTAAAGTCATCACCAGTGGTTTGAGACCAGGCATTTACCATAAGGGGACGTTCCTGTTTCTGATCTGGAATTCCTTTGAAATTCTGGGAACAGGCAGTTACCACTTTTATGGGAATTCTTTGTTGTGGCCTAACTATGATTTGTGATGATATCTGTAAGGAAAAAAATTTGGGTTATAAAAATCCATAAGGTTAAAGTCCTCTTAGATATCACATTACACTGTACTTACCATTTTGGGATCCATTTTGAAGAAAGGAATATTCGATGAACGAGAATAATTCAATTTAGAATGCGTTTTAGCAAAACCACTTTGCTCTTTGTCGTTTCGATCGGGACTGGCTGTTTGTTTCATGAGCGTACTTGAATATACACAAAATTTGTGCCAGGGATTAGTCTCATTGGCATGCCTGTCGGCCTGCTGCGATGTCCTTTGTAATTTGTCTACCTAAATTCCTAGTTCTTGTTGCACGTTCATACACGATCGTAAGAGGGCTGCACAAATTTAGGGGTGGAAAATGTCTGTGAACGAGTGTGTAAGCCATATACCATTTATTTCTAACTGCAATGAAATCCTATTCCCTTAATAGGTATGGCCGGGTAGGTAAATGAACAGAACGCGCCACAATCTAAACAAGCGGAACAGCACGCAACACACATACACACACAAAGTATAATTATTTGCAGTTTGGTTTGAATGAAAAGCAGCTGGAGTTGAGTTCAAAACAAAACACATTTTACGCGCCCGATTCTCATGGTTGCCATATTGCAGATGCCAATTGGATGAAAGAGAATCCCATTGTGGCAATGGGCGCAACAGTGTGCTGAATAATATTAGTGAAGTGGGGTACACACTAGATGTAAACAGTATTTAGAACTGACCTGAAACAACTAGAAGCGAATTATACCAAATATCTCAACATCATTTATTGCATTAAACATTGGAAAATTCTTTATTTTCACATTTATGATATAAATGCGTAATTTTCCTGCAATATTTGTCGAAAATGTTTTTTCTGTGATGTAGGCGTCCAAAAAAATTCAAGAATAATAGTAAAACTATGGTGAAATTAAGAAGGTAAAAATGTTTGCATGACTTTACCTTCTTATTCTACCATGAGTAAAACTATAAACCCAAAAAAAAAAAAAAACCAACCAAAAGCGTCGGAAATGTTAGATATGAACTCAGAAATCCATTGCAGCAAATTCCCTTGAACATTGAATTAGTACAAATCAGTGTAAACCCTATAACAAATATGTCAAATTATGTCATTATATGGTGACATAACATGTATTCATATTGTCAACGCCATCTACTTAAACAATGCAAATATGGAGATTCCCATCTTTAAGTTTACTTTTCCTGCGGGAATTGTTCAGCAGCTTCTTCTTGAGAGCGTTAAATAGTTTTATTCTGCTTTGCAATAAAACTGTGAAAAGTAAACAGATGTAAACCCATACAAAAACTTGCATGCTACCAGCTGATTTGACAAAACAATTTGTCAGCCATATAAATATAAATTAATCACACGATAATTAAATATAAATACGGCCGAAACTCAGAACAATTAGGATTCCGATTTCAAGATTTTTTAAAATTGCTTGCTCAAACATAAATCACCGGTAGGAGAGGAGTTACAAGCGATTGCAAGAAGAAAATTGTCCAGCAAGAATTGAGAAACTCTCAGTGAAAGGTCTGTCAAAAAGTCTCTCTTGAACCGCTATCTTTTGCTTGACTTTTGTGTCAACAGACGACTTCCAGTAATAATTTGCAACAATTGCTACATATTTTTGGGTAACCAGACACAATACTTATGTCTCTGCTCTGATTCAGACAATTTGTATTGTGTATACGTGAGATTAGGAAGTAAGTGTAGAAAAATACATCTCTTCAAGACAGTTTGTTTTATGCAAAGGACAGACAAGTGTGATACACGAAATGAAGGTAAAATCATGCAATCATATGTTTGGACTCAATATCACATTGTCAAATTTTGAATTTACAATTCCATTGTATGTACACAAATCAGAGATAGGAACCAGTTTACTATGCAGCGAAAGTTGACAAGGTAAATTACAGAAAGTGAAGAGGTGGGTGATATGCTTACTTGAAATGACTTTAGCTTCTTAATTTTACCATGGTTCTATCTTTAGATATGTAATGTAAATTTTTCCGTGTGTAGAAGTTGCACACATCATGTGATACATTGACTACATTTTTTTCATAAATAAATCACAGGAAATAAAAAAAGCATATGCAAGTGTGTGAAAGCAAAAATTATGAATCATATGTAAAAAGACTATTTTGATTTTTAATCTTTAATGTCTTAAAGAGCCAATGTTAAGACTTATCTACACCGAACGTGTTTTAATAAAACGTGTTAATTAGATTTAAAATTCCTCCGTTTACACGTCACACATATAGAGAAACTTTGGTAAGGCGATTTTATCATACCGCTTGCACTATGGTAGAAAAATACAGGTAGTCGCATCGACACGGCTACTGGACATACCATAACAACCTCGATTGGTGTCGTATAAGAAAACTTATAAAAATCTACTTATTTTTGACAAAAAAAAAAACATTAAAAAATGTTCACATATTAATGTTCACAAGCGTTAATCCATCTATCTGTATTCCTCTACCATGGCTTGCACTAACATAGTCATTTTTAATACACATCAAAATATTAATAAATTCAAATTATTTGACCATTCTGTCAATCCGTCAAATTAGATTTAATATTCACATAGATTTTAGCATATGTATAAGATAACATATAGTCCTTTGAAAAGACAGGATTACAGACTCTGGTTTTATTTATGCAGCTGGACAAGGTATCAAAACCACATGTCTAATAAGAAATCCAATTCTTGGAATCTATCATCAGTAGCTCTGGTAGGATCAGTGAGTTTGCCGCCATAAATTTTTAAACTGGCTGACCTTGAAATGCATTTTTATATTTTGTACCTGCTGCGCTCAGTTTCGTTTCGGCTTTTTATGAGTGGGAAATTCCCAGTTTTCCTACTCCTACTCGAATGTTTGATTGCGTCTCTCATAAACATTTAAATAGAATACGATTATGGCCTTCACGAATGTAAAAATGGCAAATACCTATACATGTTTGAGTAACGTAAACATATGTAATTTATTGAACTTAGCGCTTAACGTGAGAATTTTGAAATAATATATTTTAATTTATTAGAAGTTAAATGTCTCAATGTATAATGTGCATTATATGTCTTACGCAATAAGTAAGATAAATAAATCTAAATCTAATCTACGCTATTTCATAAAGTCCCAAAATTTGATTAAAAATCAGCAACAAAGTCAAACGCCATAATTTTTACATATTTTTTAAATTTTATTGAATGAAAGCAAAAAATGTCGGATATAGCATAAAATTTTAGAATAAGTTTTGATTTGTTCGAATTGGTCACCTTTGGCACGAGTTATGGCCTTCAAACGGCCAATGAAACCGTCACACGCTGCCCGAATTTTGCTCTGCTGTAATTTGGCCACCTCCCGGCGAAGCGCTTGCTTGAGGTGATCGACACTTTGGTGTTTTTGTAGTATCAACCTTGCTTTCCAAAATACTTCAGACGCAGTAGTCCAACGGATTGGTATCCGGAGATTTTGGTGGTCATTGTGCGCTGGAAATGAAGCGAGGAACCTCATTTTGTAACCATTCTTGACTGGCGCGTGCTGAGTGCGATGGTGCGGAGTCCTGTTGGAATGTCCAAGGTCTGCAGTCAAAATGATTGCGTGTCCAAGGCTTTAATACACCCTCCAGAATATTCTGACCTGCCAGCGAGTGGCTTTGCTTGGTTGTATGCCTGTTTGTAGGACGGTATCGACGGACGCGCTCCAGGTCTTGTTAGGTGTTCCTCCTTTGGATCTAGAGGTAACACGGCGGGGAATTGCATTTAAGATCAAGAGAGGTTTACCTCTCTCGGAGCAAGACTGGGTGTCGGAGTTGGAGGTGTCTCGTGATATGGCGAGAAACAAGGCTCTTCTTCTTGAGCGTATGATCACCAGGTGGCAAAATAGGTGGAATGAGAGCCAGAACGGGAGAGTCACATATGGATTTATCCCAGATGTGACGTTCGTTATGAATCGTCCAAGCTTTGGTTTTGGCCTTAGTCTTGGATTCATATTGACTGGACATGGTTCCCTAAATGCTTTTCTGCATACTAGGGGCCTGTCAGACACTGCTGAATGTGCATGTGGCAGGGGTCGTGAGAACTCCGCGCATGTGCTGACGCAGTGTCCATTGTATGATGACATACGTGACATTAATAGAATGGGGATTGTCCTTGTTAATGACCGATGGGACTATAGTAAGTGTCTGGATGACGAGGGTACATTTCAAGCTTTGGACTTGTTCTCCAAAGAGGTCTTTAATAGAAGAAGGACTGCTGCTCTGGAAACCGAGAGCTAACCACCTCGTAATTGTGCCCTGATTTGTTTCAGAATTGCTGCGCCTGTCCAGGCTCTAAATTGCCGGTCTTCCCTGGTGGTTGTTGGTTTTTGTGGCCTGCTGTTAGTGTCTTCGTTGTTGGTTGGTGTCTTTTGAGATCTGCCTTTCCACTGTGTCATGTCGTGGGATCCTCCGTGAGGAGGGTCTTGTTTATTGTTGTGTCTTTTGTCTCTGCTTGTGAAGGTGATAGCCATCTATTGGTTGCAAGTCACCCGTGAGGGAGACTGAGTCGTTGTCTGTGTGTCCACTGTTGATGTGTTTTGTTTTTTTTTAACATTGCTGGTTTGTGATGGAGTTGGTTACCAGTCCAGGATTGTTTGGAGTCCAACTGGTAGTAACTTCGGTTACGAAGCCTGACCGGAGGCTATATTCTGGTACCGCGGGTGCCAGGTGCCCCTAGGTCCTTGGACCTAGCCTGGCAGTTGGTGTTGGTCCCCTAGTGGGAGCTTCGCGGTGGCTGTGGTTTGTACCCAAATCGCGGGTAGAGTTTAACTCGAATGTGGAGTTGCATTTTCAACCGGGTGCCTGACCCATAGAAAGGCAGGAGTTTAGATAGGCTCCGCCCCTAACCAAGGGGGTGATCACGTCCAAATACGTGTGAACAATTGGTACTCACTTATGTGGGGGCGTTGGTGGACGCATAGTATTCACCCAGTGTTTAGAGCACCGTGGGGTTAAGCCAAAGCGGCAGGTATCCACGTACTCACACTCACGAAACCCTCCAGAATATTATCGCGATAATATTCGGCATTTATTCTGATGCCATGGTCGATTAATACGAGCGGAGAGCGACCTTCGGCTGTTGTGGCGGCTCACACCATCACCATGGCCGGCGCTTGAGCTCTGGTTGCCAACCGAAGGTGAAGACTTTTAGCTGGCCTCTTTGGCAAGTAACCACGATCATTTTGTTTGTTTACAAACTGCTGGACAACGAATGTTTTCTCATCGGAGAAAACCAAATTCGGCAGTTTACCACTTTTGGCCAAGCGAAACAGCTCTTTTTAGTCTATTTTCTTTCTGTTGCGGTGTAAGTTCTTGCACTTTTTGGAATTCCAATGGCTTTACCTCGAGCTCATTTTTCAATATTTGCCGAATGGAATATTGCGATATGTTCAGCTGACGAGCCATTTTTCGGTCACTGCGACGCGGGTTTCGATCAAGTCGCTTCCTTACTTTCCGAACCATTTCTGCTGATGTTGCTGTTTTCTTCCGTTCACTTCCTTGACGTTGGGGGGCTACGCTGCCGGTATCACGGTAATGAGCGATGGTACGCGACACACATTTAAATGCTGGAGTACTCTAACGATAGACACTTGTGGTTTTCCAGCCAAATATAAAGAAATAACACTATCACGCTTGAATTCCATCACGAATAACTTTTTTTCTGGAAAATTATCACCAAAATGTTTTAGTACGCTTGTAAACAATATAATGAGCTGTCACTGGAATAATTTTAACAGCTGTCGGACGAGTGGCTCAGAAATGACAGCAGTCTGAAGTTGGCTGCAGTTTTTTTTTCATCTCACTCTGTATATGGGAGCTATAGCTATATCTGAACCGATTTTCTCCAAATTTGATGTACTTGTTTCTAGACTGAATTCGGTCGGATGTACCAAAACTGAGACTTTTGGACAGATACTAGCCGTTTGGTGCACAATAAACCTGACATCGGATAAAGATGTATATGGGAGCTATATCCTAATCTGGACCGATCTTGATACAATTTGGCATACGAGCTGTAGCTGATGTCCGGTACCCAATATCATTCTTGTGGAGTGCATATTACGCATGTGAGGACTTAAACCCACAAATCGGATGAAACATATATATGGGAGATATAGTTGTATCTGAAACGATTTTCTTGTTGTACTTGCTTCTAGACTGAATTCGGTCAGATATGCCGAAATTCAGGTCATTTGGACTATTATTGGCCATTTGGTACACAATTAACCAGAAATCGATTGAAGATATATATGGGAGCTATATCCAAATTTGAACCGATTCTGACGAATTTCAAAAGGGTTCGTCTTTGGGCCAAACAAATATTGTTTGGAAAATTTCATCTCAATGGGATAATAAATACAAACTGCATTTTATTCACAAAAATACATGGACAGACGGACGGACTCAGAAAGTGATTCTGTGAAGATCTTCAAAAGTTACAATGGGTCTATCTCGTTTCCTTTTCCATGTTACAAACAAATGCAAAACGACATAAAACCCTTAGCACTATGTGGTGTAGGGTATAAAAAGTTCCAAAACTGGGTTTATATCCATAAAAATACATTTGATCCAAGAGACCCTTTACAAAGCCATTCATCAAAATACCCTTTGACCCGAATGAGTGATAAGCTGACACATTAACTTAAACAATAATATTTGGTTTTATTTTCATAGAAATAAATACATTTGTATTTGTAAATATTTTAATACAATTTCTTTTTTTTTTTTTTTGTACTCAAGTGCTTTTTTGAACAGAAGATTCCTTGGGATTCCATTTTCAACAACAATAATATTGAACTTTTTAAAGTCTCTTTCCGGTAGCATTTCAACCCTCTCACATCATCATGTTCGCTTTGACGCCAAGACTGTTTTCCTTTTTGATTTCTCGCATTGGCGTTCGTTTGTTTAGCTGCAGCTTCATCATCTTGTTCTCGTCGGCGCACTTTGTTGTAATGGCATTGCGTACCTCCTTCTCTGAAACATTGCATTTGCGAGTTACAGCAAAAATGATATCTTGTATTGCCAGCGGGTCTAACATTTGCTTCAATGGCTTGCCATGATCTTTGAAGGCAGGTGACGGTTTGCCAGTCATGGAGTGGGTTGCCAGGGTTTTACGATCGAATATGGCCATAAGTAATTTGCGTGTGGCAATCGATGCTGAACTCCAGTTCATGCCCTCATAGATTTTGGCCGGTATTCTGGTATTGTTTGGACCTATGGATACCATAACATTGTCCATATTGAGTTTGTATTCGATATCCGTGTCGTTTCCTGAAGACGACGGAGATGGCTGTTGTTTTGGCGTGGATTGATATGGATTTTCGGTTTTAATGTTTGACATGTTGTTGTTCTTGTTATTGTTGTTGCTTGATCTTCTCTTTGTTTGTTCATAGGAATAGGAATTATCAGCAGGTTCCTCATTTTCATCAGCCGGTAGTCTTCTACGTTTCAAAAAGTTCTGTTCACTGCTGGCATTGCTGCGAGACAAAGGGGTAATGGTATTGGTGGTTGTGGAAAGAGTGTTTAGGGTTTCCGTTTTAATTTCCATATCATCTGATGCCAAACATATTTCCAAACGATCCGAATCTGCAGAGGTGTTGAGATTCAATGCCCCATCATCTTCGGCCAACTGGATTTCTATTGGCTCGCCATGAGCATCGCCAGCACCTTCAGCGATGATGGTATATTTTACACTCTCCATGTGATTGGTAGGCATTTGTTGGGGATTTATCACCGAACTTGTGGGAGAGTTGTGAGAGCTCCTACTGAGCCTGGGCTCAGTTATTTTGTAGGTATTTACGCTCGAAGATTGTGATTCAATCGTTTGAATCTGTATGGGTTTAACACTGATTTGTTCAGTAACCGTTGTGGATGATTGTCCCAGCAGGGCTGACGTCCGTGCCGATGTGGCATGAATTTGAGAAAGTAATTCCGTATGGGCCTTAAGATTTTCCTCCAAAATGCGGATTTTTTCCAGCAACTCATTTTCACGTTTTGTCTGTTCCTGTTTGTGCTCGAATTCGTGCAGGAACTTGAAATCATCATTTGTGGTCTGACACCAGGCATTCACCATCAAGGGGCGTTCATAGACATCGGGAGAACGTTTAAAATTTTGTCCACTTCCCACCAATATTTTGGCGGTCATATTCTGTTGAGGCTTAATGATGATCTGTGAGGAAATCTAAAAATGAGGAAGCAAGGGATTAGTAAAAAAACTCGCTGGACTTATTCGCTTCAAATTTACTTACCATTTTGGAATCCATTAGTAGAATAAATTTATTATATCACTGCTATTAGGCAATTCAAACCAGAATATCCTTCTTCGGTTAAATGTTTTTTGCGTCACTCTCTGCACTCAAGCCGGTTCCACTTAGTACTGACTGGAGTTTGCTGCGCAGGACACATAATATAAGGATATCTTTGAACTCATTTATGTATACCTACTGGATTACAACAACTGATCCTCCTTTTTTACTTGCCTGTTGTATTACACACATTCTTCGGCTACCTAGAGGCATCCCATGTCACATTAGGGGAGCAAAATTCTCATACATTGTGATCTGACATTCTAACTGAAATTATATCCTATTTCGTTTTCTGGTTAACCAGGGTAGTTTGCAGATGACTACCTGAAATTCTTTTATGGCGGGCAAATTCTTGTTAATGTCTACGACAACAAGCTCTTTGAAATGGGAGATCAAGCATGTACAAATGTTCTATTGTTCTTGTTTCAAAAATCAGCAGTTGGTTGGATTTTTAAAAAGCAACAAAAAATACAATGTGTGCATGACAGTTTTTCGCGCTCTTTTTCTTGGCGGTGTTACCAGATTCAAATATTTTTCTCAAAGAGTAATTTGATGCAGAGAGAAATTAGTTGTTTATATGGCGAGAGTAGTAACAACAAAGAGAGTAGATTCTGGATTATTGCTCTTTTGAGATATTCTTATATGAAAATGCTAGCTAATGCTTTGTTAGCGAAAATAATAGAAAGAATTGACCGAAGATTAGGATTTAATTTAATATTAATAATAATATTATATAGTAATTATACCGAAAATAGACAAACATTTAAATTCAACAAATTCGTATTTAAAGTTGGGGGAATATTGTGGTCATTATACCCTACACCACAATGTGCATTTGTTTGTAACATGGAGAAGGAAGTGAGAGAGGCCCATGGTTACTTTTGAGGGTATTCATAAAATCACTTTCTTAGTCGATTTATGCATTCAGTCCGTCCGTCCATGTATTGTTGTGAACAAAATGCAGGTTGCATTTATTATCCTATTGAGATGAATTTTTCCAAACAATATTTGTTTGGCCTAAGGACGAATCCTATTGAAATTGGTGATAATCGGATTTATATATATATCTTCAACCGATTTCGATTTAATTTTGCCAATATCAGTCCAAATGACCTGAATTTTGGCACATCCGATCGATTTCATTCTAGAAACAAATACTTCAAATTTGGTGAAAATCGGTTCAGATGTAGCTATAGCTATAGCCATATATATGTTTCATTCGATTTGGTGTTAAAGTCTCTCACGCTCGTAATATGAACCCCACAAGAATGATGTCTGGTATCAGATACTGCTCGAAAAATACCTCTGTCAAATTTGATCGAGATCGGTTCTTATTTTCGCGTTTTATGAGAATCATGGATTTTCAAAATTTCGACCTTTTGTGGGGGAGGTACCAGAAGGTGTGGACCAATATATTCCATCATAACACCAGATCATGGGTTAATAAAAATATTTGGATCTGTGAAATTTGAAGACAATCGGACTCTTATATCACATTTTATAAGAGATGCACCTGACCTAGAACTGACATAAATATTAGGATTTGCAAAGTTGAAGCAAAATCGGATTATAGTTCCTCTTTCTGTGCAGAAAATATATTTTTTAAAAATACAGATCTTTTGTGGGGAAGTACCAGAAAGAGTGTACCAATATATTCCATCTTAACACCAGACCTTGGGCTAGTAAAATTATTGGGATGTTTGAAGACAATAGGTCTCTTACATCACATTTTATAAGAGTTGTAATTATTCAAAATTTTGACCCTTTGTGGGGGAGGTACTTGATATAGTAGACCGATATTGTCCATTTCCGAACCTAATCTTGCTTTGACGCAAATTTTAGGATATGCAAAGTTGTAGCAAAATCGGATTATTTTTTTTCTGTGCAGAAAATATATTTTTTTTTTTGAAATTTTAGATAATTTGTTGGGGAGGTACCAGAAGTAGTGGACCGATATTGGCCATCTCCGAACTCGATCTAAGTATGACAAAAATATTACTATGTACCAAGTTTGGGCCAAATCGGATACTCCCTTCGTGAGTTATCGTGCGCACCAGCCAGCCAAACAGACGAACGGACACCTCTAGATCGACACCAAATGGATTTGGTCCGAAGAGACCTAGGTAAATTATTAACATGGGGTAACGATTTTATATGTAAACATGCTACCAACCTATGATGCCAAGTTTATATTTCGACCTGCAATTGTCGGTGGTAGTAATTTAAGGATCGTGTCTGTGCTAGATGTTGGACAATAGTTAATATTTTGTGACGAATTGTAGATGGCGCCCTACTAATGAAAGTTTTAATCAGCAATGTGACTAAATAATTCTTTGTCCGATGCAATTCGTGGCAGTTTTTGGGATACCGTAGTATTTTCTTGTTGCAAAATGGTCAGGCTTTATCCCTGATAGCAGTTTGGCATCATGAAATGGCATATATTGTGATATGCCATAAGGGAATGCCAGAGCCACACTCGAATCCTGCCCCTAGTATAATTCGACTTTAATATGCCATGCCATGGCACCAATCTGTTTGTGTATCATCACCTAAATTTAAAAATTAAAATTCGCAACAAAAAATTCAAAATAAACAAGTTAAAAAGTAAAAATACCGAATATAGCCCTTATATTGGGGTCTATACGACATGGACCCACACAGGCATTGTTTGTTATAAGCCATTACCATATTCAAATTCGAAACTTGAAATAAACGGTGAATAATGTAGCTAAAATCCTCAAACTACCGTATATAGGGAGGTATCGTCATATCGGAGCTATACGTAGACCTGGACCTGCAAAGACAAATTTCTGTCACAGACTGTAGTTCCCATTACGAACTCTAAATACGTAATTTGAAACTAATACCGAATATTGGGAGGTACCGTTATATGGGGGCTATACGAAGACGTACACCTGCACAGACAATTTTCTGTCATAGGCTGCAGTAACCATTACGAACTTCCAATACCAAATTTTAAAACAATTCCGGTGAATAATGTCGCTAAAATCATCAAAATACCGAATATCGGGAGTTACCGTTATATGGCGGCTATATGAAAACGTGGACCTACATGACCCATTTACGAACTTAACCTGCCTACTGCCAAAATAAACATGTGTGCTAAATTTTAGCCTTCTATCTCAATTTGTTCGAAAGATAGCGTGACTTAGAATTTTACGCTGTTGGGTCTGACATGAGTATTTCGAGCAGTTAAAAACGGAATGACAAAGTTAATATGTCTTCCATAGTATGGTGGAGGGTATAAAAAATGTGAATTGCAGATAGATTAAAATATATAGCTTTGGCTTGTACCGACAAATCGCTATTCTAATCACTTTTAATAATGTCATTCTAATAAATGTGATCTTCCGTTAGGAACAATTGTTATGAAGCTCAGCAGGGCAATAATTAATCCTCTACACCTCGAAAATAGAAGAGGAAGAATGTGCATTTGTTTTCTTACAATAAAGCAACAACAACAACTACATGTCAACCAAAGATGCCATAAAATAAAACAACATTCATAAATAGCAACTACCCAAAATTCGTTTCGTATACTCTTCTTTGACTAATCCTTACAAGACATTGGCAAACAAGAATCCTTCCAAATCTAAAACCAAACAACAACAACACCACCCGTCGTCTATTCAATATTTTCTCAAGAATTCTATTCGAAATTCAATATGCCAACTCAATGCCATATCTTCGCAAATATAGATCTCAAACTGTGAGTATACCACACGCACTGCCTGTCCATAAATTGGGAATTCCCAGTTGTAAAACTGCCGTAAATCGGAGACCAAGCATCATGTTCGCTTGTAGAGAACTTGTGGACACTTTCTCCGAAGTTAATAAAAATGTCCTTTTATGACCACATTGGTATGACTGCAATATCTCTACCTATGCGATTTGAAAAAGGTCATAGTAGCATCCACGAACACTTCAAGTATCCGATCGAATTACTTTAATCATACTTCTCTCCTTACACTCTGTTCAACATAATCTTTCTGTCTGTCAATTCAAAAGAACAGGTATACATGTAAGTGATATTATACTATATAAGTAATCCGCTTACCTTATTTTTTTATCCTGCCCAATTGGAATATATGTTGGAGGCTAAAAATACAGGGTGAGATCAAACAACTGCAACCAACTTCAGACTGCTCTCATTTCTAAGCCACACGTCCGACAGCTGTTAAAATTATTCCAGTGACAGCTCATTATGTTGTTTACAAGTGTACAAAAGCATTTTGGTGAGAGTTTTCCAGAAAAAAAGTTATTCGTGATGGAATTCAAGCGTGATAGTGTGATTTCTTTATATTTGGCTGGAAAGCCACAAGTGGCTATCGTTAGGGCACTCCAGCATTTAAATGTGAACAAATCTTTTGTGTCTCGTACCATCGCTCGTTACCGTGATACTGGCAGCGTAGCCCGACGTCAAGGAAGTGGACGGAAGAAAACAGCAACATCAGCAGAAATGGTTCGAGAAGTAAAGATCGAAAAATGGCTCGTGATCGCAATATTCCATTCGGTAAATATTGAAAAATGAGCTCGGGGTAAAGCCATTGACATTCCAAAAAGTGCAAGAACTTACACCGCAACAGAAAGAAAATAGACTCAAAAGTGCTTCGCTTGGCCGAAAGTGGTGAACTGCCGAATTTGGTTTTCTCCGGTGAGAAAACATTCGTTGTCCAGCAGAGCAGTTTGTAAACAACCAAAATGATCGTGTTTACTTGCCAACGATGTCAGGTGAAAATGTGCATTTTCGGTTGGCCACCAGAATTCAAGCGCCGGCCATGGTGATGGTGTGTGCCGCCATAACAGCCGATGGTCGCTATCCGCTCGTATTAATCGACCGTGGCATCAGAATAAATTCCGACTATTTTCGGGAAAATATGTATGTATGGTGTATTAAAGCCTTGGACACGCAAACATTTTGGCCGCAGCCTTGGACATTCCAACAGGACTCAGCACCCAAGAATGGTTACAAAATGAGGTTCCTTGCTTCATTTCCAGCGCACAATGGCCACCACCAAAATCTCCGGATACCAATCCGTTGGACTATTGTGTCTGAAGTATTTTGG